ATTGGTTGATGCATACAATAATCAACTTTGATTTTTTGATGGTCTGCAAATCAAGTGTCAGTTTAGCTTGTGTAATATTTGGAGTTTCACTAAATTTACTTACTGTGTAGCATATAACAATATACCTCCAATGTTTTCTTATTGCTGCAGTCGCATTGATATGTGCTTTTCAATTGATTTGGGACTTTGAGGGTAGGGTCAGCATGGCCATGAATCTCGTGAGATTCAAGATACCACTTCTTGAGCGAGACACTTTCTTGAGCCCAAAAGTCTTTTCTAATTCTCCTTTGTTTTTTTTGTCTGAAAATGGTTGTGAAACCATAACGCTGGTTAGAAGGCTCTATGTAGTCGAAGCCATGGTCGATGCTGTCATCGTCAAAATGAAATGCTCCGTTTGCATGGACAAGTTGTTTAGTGTTGTCGTTCAGCGAAGCATTAGGCTGGGTTACAGCTTGCCTATTCCGTTTCTCCAGCTCATTGATGTACTTGATGGCTTTCGCATGTGCAGTCTTTGCGCTCTTCTTCATCATCTGAGACTTTGTTATAGAGCGGCTACGTTGTTTGCGTGCTTTTTGTTTTTTTTTCTTCAAGGCTATCTCCTCTGCATTCGTTGGCATTTTCTTGATAACCTTTTTGTTTGATTCCTTGTTTGCCTCTTCTTCAGTGGCTTTCTTGGCTCTCTTAGCAATTTTATAAGCTGCGTCGTTTTTCAACATTTGATGAATAGCGGACGAAAATAGAAAAGTGATGCTGGCTTCCTTATAAAGAGTATTTGGTGAGTCGACTCGATTGTTCCACAACCTACACAGTTACACAGTTGGGGAAGATGTTTGTGCTCTTTTCTAAACACCAATTTGCTGAATCACATACCAGCAGATGAAAGTGCTTTGCGTTGACTGCAATCAGAAATTTGTATTTGATGCGTGCTCATCAAAATTATTTGCAATGTTTTGAGGAGGTTGCGCATCAAATGCTTTCGCAAAAGAAACTACTGATAAAAACTGCCAATAGCATGCTTGAAACTATTGTTACAAAAATAATGCAGCGTAGAGAATGAAGCTAGGATTAGATAGGCAGGCAGGGCAATATAGTTAAGGGAAGAAGCTTCTGCATCAGTCGAAAGAGAAAGCTAAACCAAGCGCAACTAGTAGCGTGGGGGTACAAGTGAGTTGTGGAAGGCATGATAGCCTACTGGGATCAAATGATATTTAGAAGGTATTCCCCAATGATTGCGATCAATAAACAATTGGCAGCAAGGTATAGTAGAGGGCAGAACGCATTATAGGCAGCCATGTATAGGCAGCTAGGTATAGGCAGCTAGGTATTATAGGCAGCTAGGTATAGGCAGCTAGGTATAGGCAGCTAGGTATAGGCAGCTAGGTATAGGCAGCCATGTATAGGCAGCTAGGTATAGGCAGCTAGGTATTATAGGCAGCTAGGTATAGGCAGCTAGGTATAGGCAGCTAGGTATAGGCAGCTAGGTATAGGCAGCTAGGTATAGGCAGCTAGGTATAGGCAGCTAGGTTTAGGCAGCTAGGTATAGGCAGCTAGGTATAGGCAGCTAGGAATAGGCAGCTAGGAATAGGCAGCCATGTATAGGCAGCTCGGTATAGGCAGCAGGGCCTATTAAGCCCAACAGCATTGGATTTTGATATTACATGTAATTTCGATATCATCTGTGATTGGTACAAAAATCCCCCAAGTGTTAATGGAAAAATATATAACTCTGAATGAGTACAAATAATGCTCATTTTTGTAGTGACACATGCAACTCTTTTTGAGTACAGTAGTGTGTAAGAGCTGGGAAAAATATGAGGATTTTCATGGATTTGGAATGACCCAAAAAAATTGAGATAAAGCATCAGTAAGTAAAGCGTAGCTAAGAAGAGACGTTTGGTCCTATTCCGAGCGTCCACAACGCTCTATAGCATGAGTTATTCGTGCTTCAAAATGCCCAAGTTTGGACAGAATCTGGCCTAAAAATAAGGCCTAGTATGTCGTGCTGCCAAAAAAGCAAGTAAATTACAGTTCTGTCTAATGTCGCTGGTGTTCTGCATTGTACGGAATTGAATCTCTAAGTGATAGACATTTTTATTTTCATTTTATGGATCAAATCTTTCTATTTAGAATGCATGATTACAGTAAAATTAAGACTTGGACGTTAATGATATCATACAAATTTGAATTTAACAAATCTTTCGGATTAAACGAAATGTTTATCAGATCAACAGGGCACTCACAATGATCGCCCACTACAGAAGAGATACTATATCTAGCCGTAAAACTAGGCTTAAATTCGATTCACGATGTTGAGCTCTTATAATTATTAAGAAATGGCTGTTATTGGACACGCTAAGTCAATATTAACATGATTAGAGGGGACAAACGACGAAATCATGTATCAAAATGGACCGAACAGAACTTCATGATACCTACAAAGTTTATGATACAAGAGTCGACATGAACCAACTGTAGTGATATCGGGTTTAAATGATTTTACTGAACACACTGACGAAAAGATCAGCTCCTGCCAAATTGTCCAAAATTAATCACCACTCGAAGCTAACTTTCGCTACAGTAGTGGCGCAAAAATGATTCGCTTTTGTGCTCCAGCATTAGTCAAAGCGCACCCTGGATTTGTTTTTATAAACTTGAGCATCATATGAATGGTTTTTTTGCTGTTTTGATCAAAGGAAAACGTTATTTCGCCACTGCAAACGACAATTTTGGGGTTTGAAAACCGACATTTGAAAAGAAGTATTGTAATGGCTGTCCAAGCAATATCTCTTTTTGTAGAGCAAATACAGGAGAGCAAAAACTAACTAGTTGAGAAGAAGCCTAGTTGAATTATCTGCTGTTGTACAGGTAATAGCGTCGAGACACTACTGATTTTTATATATTGGTTACGTTACAACTTACCCCGCTTAATTATTTGACAACAATGTAATAACTGAAAATCCATTTATATGCTTATCAGCCCCTCAAAGTGGGCACATAGTAGTATTGATGTAAAGTTTCAAGCATCAAAGTGGCCGGTGGAAAAACGACCTTCCTTGTCGTAAAATGCGCAGCGCATCCCCTATGGCCCTTTGCCAGCCACAAGAAAGCAATATGCCACTTAGCGGTTTAGACTGCAGGTTGCTCCAGCGCCTTTCGCATCGCTCCATCATTTGTAATTACTCGTAATAGACGAGCTGTGCACGTCTAGTTTATGTTCCTGTAAGCATAGCTGAACTAAGACTCGCTTGTACAACCAGCAATCAAATTTCGACACAGAATTGCATTTTGCATGTGGAATGTAACCACAGACCTTGGCTTTTCATGGCCATCTACTTGAAAATATGGAGTAATGCCCATAAAGAGAAAGATTTAAAAATATAAATCAAGTGTTAATTTGGATTAGGAAGTGTTCCTTAAAGAAACAAGTTCAGTGACAAAGTCTTAAACGTAGTACATCGTGCCATCATGGTAACGCAGGCTACTATATTAAACACAATGCATTGCTGTCCATTTCATATCCTTTGAGAGAGATTTTTGAGTGTGATGTACTCGCATTATTATTAGTTAATTAATAAGTAGAATTAGTAGCATTTCGTTACTAAAACCAGCTCACAACCAACGATTTAAAGTCGAAACTTTACTAGTACTCATCTGATACTATCAAAACACAGTAGTATTGTGTATCGCATGGATTCTGACTTGGAAGCGTTCAGCCATCATCCAGCAAATGTTAGTTTCGCGGCATTATTGGTTCTTTAACCAGCCGAAAATACCATTATCTGAACGAAGGATTCTTCTCGCAATAACTTCAATTACTGTTACGATATCAATACCATCAGCGGGATAGTCAATGGAGTGGAACTGACCTGTCTCAAGACGGTCTAAACCTATCTCAGGTTCTCTTCTTGTGGATGAACAATCCAACGCTTACTGAATTCTAATTCACTAACACAGTAAGAGCTGGCATCAATAAATCAAAATGCAACGTCGCTATGTGATGTATCATTTCTAAACCGGATCTCCAAATGCGTAGAAACAATCAGTTCAAGCACATATCACATCAGATCATAAACTTTGACATGAAACAGGACTCAGTTACGATCCCTATCATGGCAGGTTCAGGATAATAAATCCAAATCTATTATCCTATCACCCAAATCAACCCATCTAATGCCTTATCCTCACATCAAATCCCTCAATTCGAATAGTATATAAACCCTCTTATTTCCAATGTAATAAACGATATTCTTTACTTGATTAATTTCATACTCTTTTTTTTTTAAATAATTTATTTCTGATAAATCACTATGAACGCTTGGCTGCCACAAGCCAGTTACTCCTGTGGTAATTTTTCTGGCATTTCTAGCCTCAATCCATGAGATATAAAAGATCGCTAGGCCGCACTTTCATGATTTGTATTCGCTCTGAAAATGTAAATCAAGGGGACTTTTAGCGTTTTCTTCTGTATGGGGTTTCTGTTCTCCTTCGGATGAAAATTATCGCCCCATTCAACATTACATATGACCTATGGAACGTCAGTCTGGTTGACCATGCTAATCAACTCGATAAAAGCTAACCTATGCTCTTGTGGGTCTATAATAAATATGTAAATTCTCAATCGTGAAGCAGACATGTCATACGAGCAATTGCATTGAAGTCGATAACTTATGAATCTAAAGAAATCAACACAATATCCTTTGAAAATTGGAATGAAACAATTAGCAGATAACACTTAAAGAGCATTGCGACATTAATCGGCATTATAGCACTGTCCTGAACAAACAGCGTGCCTCCACGGAAAAGATATTACGATGTGAAATTCAAATCCTATTCGATTTAGGGTTAGACATCAGCTCCAAACACAGACTTCATTGATGCACAAAGGATGTATCTCTTTCGCACGGGCACGTGATGAAAAGAGCATTTTGTTTATTAGGCATCATTCATTAGCCGAGAGGATATATCTCTCTTCTTTTCTCTCAAACAACAGCTCATTGATCATGTCTGCATTCGTCTTGTCCACTGGAAAGTTTGCTCTCAGAAGCACTTTAAAGGTAAATGTACAATTAAGAAGCATTATACATTGACTAACGCACTTTGATGATAGACTCAAATCAGGGGTATCTCTTCTGCTGTAAGTGACATGTAGCAAAGAAATGCCAACAAGGAGGGACTAACACGCCTTTATAGATTGACAGTGTTAAGCGTGTCGGTATTATTGGCTCTGGTCAAATGGGTCTCGGTATTGCCTATGTAGCTGCCAATGTGACACGTCTTCCTGTTGTCTTGATGGATGTCAATCAAGCACAAAACGAAAAGGGTTTGCAATTTATGGGTAAAGTATAGGTCTATAAATGCGGTGGCACTTTAGAGTACTGATGCTTTGAGTAGACAAGCTTTTGGCCAAGGATGTCGCCAAGAACAAGATCACAGCTGAACATGCAAAAATCACTAGGGAATTGGTCTCCACTACTACTCAAATGTCCGAGTTAAAAGATGCTGATTTCGTTATTGAAGCAGCTTCCGAAAACTTGAACATCAAGACAGCCATTTTCCGTGATCTGGATCAAATCTGTAAGCCTGATAGTATTTTGGCTACCAACACCAGTTCCATCAGCATCACCAAAATTGCTGCCGCAACCAAGAGAGCCGAGCAAGTGATTGGTATGCACTTTATGAACCCTGTACCTGTGATGAAGCTCGTAGAAATTATTCCTGGTTTGGCTACAAGTGATGCAGTGCTCGAGCAAACTCGTTCTCTTGCCACCGCCATGGGAAAGACATGTACTGTCGTTCAAGACATCCCTGGCTTCGTAGCCAACAGACTCTTGATGCCTTATATCAATGAAGCATTTATGCTATTGGAATGCGTAAGTACAGACTCCATTTAAACACCTGAATTAGTTACTCATTATGCAAACAGGGCGCTGCTTCTGCCGAGGATATTGATACTACCATGAAGTTGGGCACCAACATGCCAATGGGCCCTTTGACATTGGCAGATTTTATTGGTTTGGATACCTGTCTTGCCATTACCAAGGTGTTGTACGAGAATACCGGCGATTCCAAGTACAGATCCAGCGTATTGCTTCAAAAGTATGTTGATGCTGGCTGGATGGGCAAGAAGAGCGGAAAGGGCGTCTACAGCTATTAAAGAAAGCGAAACGATCAATTTACAAATAGAAATAAATTTATTATGGGGGAAAAAAAAAAAACCAAATGTAGCATTTTTTTTCTCTTGCAAAGAGAAATAAATTACGATGATGATGGGGTGGATATGAATAATTTTTGATTGCAAAGCTATATTACTACTGGGCAGAAGGAGAGAATTCTAAGAGAGCCTTTTTGAAGCTAGTGCCTTGCCATTGAGTCAGAATAGGATGTGCCATTTCCCGTAACTTGGTGCGTTCATCTGATGATAGATAATCGCTTGAAATCACTTTGAGTGCAAAGTTTAATCCGCGAGCTTGATCTGATAGCACCTCTGTCATGGTCTCGGTGTTATTGAGGGCGTTATACAAACATTGGCGTGCTTCAGGGTCGTTATCTTGGTTGATCAATTTGAGCATGATTTGAGAGCCAAGCTTATGTGTTGCTACTTGGACCAAACATGGTACTAATTGCGATGCTAACAGGGACAGACGATTTTCTAATGTAGAGCAGTCAATGAGCCATGATATCAATAAAGCGCCGTTCGCATGGATAGCCAAAGAAACAGCATTCTGTAATAGTGCTGCGGCAATGAAGATCTACAGACATATTTAGCAAACAAGCCTTGTTATATACATGGTTGTGAAAAGGATCTCTACCTGCTGTGAACTAGTAATCAAACTGCCTTCAAGAATACCGCGCATGGCTCTGGCACCAAATCTACCTTGAGCAATATGCAAGAATTTCTCAACCATTGCGTTCATTATGAACTGGGTATCTCCATCCAGTCTCAAACAGCATTGAACAACGTAATTACCATACTGATCTAGCAATAAGGGTGGTATAAATGGTTGAATGTGTGCACAGACGATTTGGATCTACATAGCAATGTGTTCAATCAAGCCATCAATTTGTGTCATTTATCCATTGCTTTACCTGTTTTTGGGTATTTAACGAATCAATGATCTTTTGTGCAGCCCATGTTCCGTTTTTATGGACTCCCATGGCTGCCAAGTGGGGAGCAACTGCCTGTAACATGAGGGTCTTGACATCTTCAGAGCACTTTTCAAATAGCCGCTGAGCTACTGTATTTCCGATATAGTCTGTAATGTAATGTGAGTTTTGTTGGGACTGCTGTACTATGTTACTAAAAGCTTACCACTACAAATCTCTGCAATTTCATCCATGCAATCCAAAGCAATAGAGTCAGCTTCCTTGTGATCATCTTTGGATGTAACGCTGTCTAGTCGTTTTCTGATTTCTCGAAGTTTGGCAGCGTCATGCCGTCTTTTTAGTCCATATTCAGGAACAGGTGGTATAGATTCGAAATACGAAGATGATTGCAGGGCTGTATAGAGGTCAGATCAAGTCAATCAACAAGCCCATTGTCACTTACATTTGACAAGCTCCATGGCAGCGTCAGGAGCCCCCAATCGCTTCATGATGCCCCATAATTCCCAGTTGGTTTCTCCATCCAGCATGTCCTCATTCGACAATGACTTTGATAGTAGTTTGCTGTATGAGTTGGCTGCTTTGCTGTTGATAGGCACTTTGGCAAACCCTATGCGAATACCCCAAAGCTCTTTCACATTTGGATCATTTTGAATCAATGCATCTCTTGCTGCTTTGGCGCTCTCTTCCTTTTCAAAGTTGATGAATGCGCAGTTTTTATGAGACAGTACGCGAACAGATTCAATAACACCAAACGAGGAGAGAGTTCTTTGCAGTGCAGACTGTGAGATGCCAGGAGGCATGTTACCTAACCCTATGTATACAGTGCTTAATACACATCACTCCTATCTTGCCCTGTGTACCACCACTTACATAATGCTCGAGTGGGCTGCGACACCACTGGCGTTTCAATAGCGGTTGTAATAGGCGATACTACATTTTCGGCTCTACCGTATCCAATGCGAACAATGCAGTTTCCAATTCTCCCGCCCAAGTTTGTTAAAACATCGTCTTTGGCTCGCACTGCATCATCGATATGATAATAGTTGATGAAAGCGCACTCTTTTTCTAGTAACAGGCGCACACTTTCAATGGGGCCGTACATGGAGAATGCGCTGGAGAGGTTATCCATGGTGACTGAAGCGTCTATATTACCTACCCACAGTGACCGGGATACACCTAGATTGGATGGCTGCTGTGCTGAAGATAGCTGCTCTCGTGTTACTGCTGCTGGCGTTGTTGGCATGGATACGGAAGCAAATTCGGTGTTTATAGCTGCATGATTATTGTTATTGATCTATAAAGACAGCGTCAGTATGACATTGTTTGGTGCATCCATGAAACTTGCACTCACATCTGGTTCCATCATCGTACTGCTACTATCGCCATTGATGTGTAGCATGTTTGCTAGTAGCTCAGAATCACCTAATGACAGTGAATGCTGCTGCTCTAGTGACATGATGTTCTCTTCATTGGACTCATAGATGGAGTCATCTTCCAATGTGCCCAGTTGCATTTTCCATAAAGAGGATAATCCAGGGGGCGTGCTGGTGTTATAGTCCATTTTTCCCATACTAGAGGCTCTTGGTCTGCTGCTTATGCCTCGATGGCCATTGCTACTCATCAAGATGTTCTCCATAGATGATGCAGACAACGAGAAGCCATTGCTCAAGCCTGCCCCCAGTGGCTGTGGTTGTGGCTGCTGTTGCTGCTGCTGCTGCTGCTGATACATAGCAGCGTTATTTACAGAATACGACCTACTCCTTAATGTATTTCTCTGCTGATGTAATAAATTGGCGGATGGAGATCCTCCTGTCGGTGGTGTTGCAATTGAGTTGGATGCAGACGAAAGTGGGGAACTGCCACTGCCGTCTTTGTCATCATCCAAACCAATCGATCTTAGCGTGCGAGCAATATCATCACCCTGCTGCAATAGCTGTTCCGTGGTTGAGGGAGATGTTGGCTCTACTGTGGATGGTCTCCAAGCAGCATAAGTGGCTGGTACCGGCAGCGTGAGAGAACCCGAGCGATGTCTATTTACAGCGCTGTTGGTCACCACAGGGAATGCGACCGGTGGTAGTTGTGGTTGCTGTGGCTGTAGCGGTGCTTGGTGGTGATGATGATCCATGTATATTACAGAGGGCATGGTACCCGCACGGGCACGTCGTAGTGGCAGAAGTGGAGCTCGTGTTTCTAAATTAGTGGTATCCATAGGAAATAATTTGTTGCTTGAATATGGCGTGTTCAGCATGTTCTCCAGGTAGCCATTATTGTAATTTGTTGTATCTACCGTCTCTTCAAGCACAATATCCAAGTCTCTATCGTATCTAAGCGTGTTAGACATCTGCAACTGCATATATAAGTGATGCTAATTACCTGGCCGAGTGAAATGGAGCTGTATTTGGCTGTCGGTCTTTTTTGTTATGCTGCATAAATGAATAGGTTTTAGTAAGATACGAGGAAAGCAAAAAGATACGAGTAAAATCAAGAGAGAAGAAGGGAGGGGAAAGAGAAGGGAGAAGGGAGAAGGATGGCCCTTTTAAGGGGCTGCTCTCCATTTGATGGTCTGGATAAACACACACCCCGAATTTACACACACATGACACACATGGATTTACAGAAGAGAACCTTAAATACCAACATCAAGTGCTTTCCATTGGATGTTGAGGCGTTCAAGGTTTGATTTTTCATGCATCTAAAATCTGGTTATATTACGCTAATGTATAGTACAGTCTTTATTTTTGAGATGGGGCAGGGTAATCGTCTAACGCAGCACTCTTTTTTGCAGATTCGATCAGAGGCAAAAGACATGATAAAGGGGCCGCTTTGGCCAGAAAGGGATGCTGCAACAGTTCAGCAGCAGAAGGTCTACTTTCAGCATTGAATTTGAGACATTTACTCAAGAAATCACGGAATGTCACTGATAGCTGCTCAGGATCTTTCAGCGAAGGTGGTACACGTTGTGTTGTCAGCAGTCGAATTGCTTGCTCCGGATCTTCTAGATGAGGTGGACTTCCCTCCACCATCTCAATGGCTGTAATGCCGAGCGACCAAATGTCTACACTGGGTCCATATTCTTTGCGTTGAACAACTTCAGGTGCCATCTAGTGAGAAATCATGAGTCTCTTATGCTACTGTATATATAGCGAGACCTACCCAGCAAGGAGTACCGGCTAGAGTTGTTCTTTTGGATTGCTTCTTATCGATTTGAGCGCAATAGCCAAAATCAGCTGTACGCACAATTAGCACACATGCCAAAGCTTGATCATACACTGTCACTTACAAAGCTTAATTTGGCCCTGCATGCCAATCAAGATGTTGTCGCTCTTGATGTCTCGATGGATGATGCCTCTGGAATGAAGGTAGTCCAAGCCATGAAGCACCTCTAGACATACAGCGGCAATCTCTCTTTCTGCCATGTAGTTTTGTGTCACGATATCTGTCAAACTACCGCCCTCCATGTACTCCATCACAATCCAGACATCATTCTTCCATATATAAGATTCAATGTGCTGTACCATGTTTTTGTGTGCCTGATCTACTTTGCCCATTCGAACTTCATCCACAATCAAGTCTTTTCTCACTTGCCTTCTAAGGTGGATTTGTTTTATAGCTACAAATTGGCCATTGTCTTTGCTGGATATTCTTTGAGCTTTATAAACAGAACCAGAGGCCCTATTTGTTTGAGAACGAAAAAAGGGGGACCATTAGTATGATACTAGGGAGATGAACAGCTACCACCACACTATCAGGGCAATAAAGTTTGATTTGAAATGCACATACCCTTCCCCAATTTTCACCATATCAGTGTATATCGTGCAAGGATCCTCCTGTTTACATAATTTGCTTAGCTCGGCAATAGCTTCAGGTGTGGACATGGCCCTCTTTGTGGGCCGCTTGCGATCGGATTTCTTGGTCGATTCTGACATACTCTGTGGCTGTTGTGGCATCGCCTCTACTGCTGCTGCTACTGTCATGACTGGTAGAGGCCTGTTTTGCTGGTTCTTTTCAATCTCGGCATAGACTCGCTTGATAAAAGAAGACAGTAAAATGTCTTGTTGTTTGCTACCTAAACCAGCTTTTTTCACAAGGTTAATAATGATGGATTTTAATGGCCACTGCTTGGTTGACATACATATTTCCCAATCTGGCGCTTTTCCAAGTGTCATTTCCCCTGTATCAGCATCAAAATGTATATGTGTTTTATGTATTGCATCAAATGGCCATGAAATAACCATCATGTTTCTGCTGGAGTGTGCCTTTTTCTGCTTGAACAAAAACATACCTGTGTCAAAAAGGGTTACAAGTGTGTTTTCTAGCACTAGTGGTATCCATGCTTACGCATTATTCTATTAATGACGCCTGAGCTTCTTCTCTTTTGTGTAGTGTTGTAGGAGCCCTCAAATGTATTTCTCTTTGATCTTTTGTTGAGTCCAGCCAAGTAAGAGGCAATTGGCTCGTCATTTTTGGGCATTTGTTGAATACTGTGCTGAGATGCAGACAACGCACTCATTTTAACTGTAATTATGGAAGAGAAAAGAAAGAAAGAGAGAGAGAGAGAGAGAGAGAGAGAGAGAGAGAGAGAGAGAGAGAGAGAGAGAGAGAGAGAGACAAAGACGGACAAAAATGAGCCTTTATAAGCTGTAGGCACAGATTACTATAAAAGATCACTTGTAAGGGAACAAGTTCGGTTCATATCTGTATTATCATTATATTGGAAACATTTACGTTAGTAAAAATTTATCTACTGTTTACATGGAGGAGCTGCTTCCTTGAAAGAAACAGCCTGTCTGTGCTAAGAGGAGTAACTCTATCATTATAAATACTTTCTTGGGTAATTAGCATTTGGATGAGAGGGAAGAAGACATGGCTCAATCACCACAAGATATTCATATTGTGAACATAACATGTGTATATATAAACTTGGTGATGGGCTGCATATCACGATGGCACTAGGCACGGTTTTGATATTTATAGACTGATGATAGCTAATGTAATCGGCACAGGCCTTATTTTTAGGGATCTTAAACGAAATGTAATGATCTACTCAAAATGAGATCATTTAGCAATGTCTGCAACATTATGAGCTGATGTACCGAAACGGCACTTGTATGAACAGATTCGCCATACAAGTTGGTTGTCATAATAACAATCTATACAAATTACAGCGTAAACGAAGCCTGGATAGTGCTCTCATCTGAATACAAGTTTGAAAGAATCACAGGCAATCGCTTTGGTAGCATCTGAGCACAAAAACACGTGTGTCGCCATAGAGTGTATCACAGGCATTTAATTTAAAAGACACTTTTTTTTTTTTTTTTTTTTTGTTCTCCCTTTTTATTTCTCTCTTTATCACTGTTTTGCATTCATCTTTTCAAAGATTCGTTCAGGGCAAGCATGGCATCTGAAAAGTATCAAAAAATTGCTATTGTTACCGGGGCCAATGGAGGCGTTGGGTTTGGTATTTGCCAACGGCTACTAGAAGCAGAAGGAGAAGCATTGACACTTGTGATGGCTTGTCGTAATCCTGCAAGAGCAAACAAAGCCAGAGAATTGTTGTGGAGACAGTTTCCTCTCGCAAACATTGATATTGAGCTGGTGGATGTGGGCTGTGCTAAAAGCGTCTTGTCGTTCTCATCTGCTATCAAGAACAAGTAAGACAAAGATCATATGTCATTGTATTGAATACTCATTCAGCGCAGATACCCTCATATCAACTACTTGTTCTGCAATGCAGGTATCCTCAGCTCTTGTGGGTTGAATTGGAAAGCTGTATTTGTTGGGTTCTTTACAGATCCAGTGGGATTGTTTGAACGATCAGATGCAACTATTCAAACAGTGGGAGAAATCAATGAGGATGGCATGGGCAAAGTGTTTGCTGCAAATGTATTTGGCCATTATACCATGGTAAGCAGGGTTCTTGTCTTTTGAGTATATCGACCAACATGGATGACAGATGCGTGAACTGGAGGGCTTATTATCCTACACTGGCGACGGAAGAGTCATTTGGACCAGCTCGATTACAGCCCACAGCAAATCATTCGACATCAATGACTGGCAAGGCATCCTATGGTACGTTGGTGCCTGCAGAGACAGACAATGCAAACTCACACTTTTAACAGCAAAGAGCCATACGAATCCTCTAAATGGGCCTGTGATCTTATCTCGATCGCTTCAAGCGAAAGATTTCAAAAAGAAGAAACTCGCATTGCATCTTTCACCACATCGCCCGGTGTTGTCGTAACTGAGATTGGCGAGCTGCCTGTATGGATAGTAAAGGCTAGGATCCTTGTTCACTACATTGTAAGTTGACGTTGACAACAAAAGTGTGGTTGTGCTCACACCTGTGCTCGTTTCAGATGCGCCTATGTGGTGTCGCTTCTCAAAATATTACAGCGTACAATGGTGCCATAGCGGATGTTTATGCAGCATTAGAACCATTGTCAAGATTAAGCTATTTGAACCGTTATAATTCGTTGTCGACTCGATGGGGAAGAGCCTATGTGGGTGCTCAAGCTATTCCAGAGTATGATCGCGTTACAGCAGAGAAATTAATCGAGAAGTGTGAACTGGCCTACCAAGCCTTTAAAAAGAGCTTTGATCCTGTGGCAACTGCACCCGCAAACTGATATTACAATACCTCAGCACACAAAATTACTGATACTCATTCATACACACACCATCATCTTGCCCAGTATTTTTCTGGCCAAATTTAATTAAACGCAATGTACAAAAAGGCTATTTTGTTGATGATGTGTGTGTACACAATGTTCATCCAATTTTAAATTAATCCAAAAAACGAGAGACATTCCGGTTGCGAATTTTGTGATGTAGCCTTTCATCTGTTGTGTCTAAAGGATAGAGCATGGATGATATGGACAGTGTAAATGTATGGATAGCATCAAAGTGCTGTCAGGCATTGAAGGCCATGGGTTGCTTCTGAGTTGAGATACTCTGATCCACTGCTACAGCAGCATGTTGAGGAGGAAAGGATTCAAATATGACAATAATCACAACAGCATATCGCAATAAGCTATGTTCATAAAAGGGCATTAGTCAAAGATAACATATCTCTCTTTTGCACATTCAACACTTTTCTATGTCCTTATTTAAATCAAAGAGAAAAAATCAGATTACATCCGAGTCTGATTCTACATCACAGTCTGCACTGTTGCCAGTTCAAAATGTGTACAGCGCATACAACAGATTACCCAGCCCAGTGCATACAGTCGATCAAGAGATGGAGGACGTTTACTCAACCAGCAACATCCGAAGCAAATTCCATCGACAGCATTTTAACAAGCACCATCACAATCGTCATCATCAAAAACCACATGAAATCAATTATGATCACACAGAGAAATTTAGTCAACAACAAAAGCTGATTAAAGAAGCAGAGGAACGAGCTGCTGCAAAGCTACACAAAAAATCGCTCTACGCACGATTACTATGCTGCTTGTGCTTCCCATGCCTGCCCATGTGGACAAGAACTCTTTGCTGCTTTGTTTTGTTGTTAATATGCGGTTTTAGCTGTCTGCTGTTATTCTTGGCAATGTCATTCAAGCAGCCTCAGATTGTACTTAATGGGGGCAATGATGCTTCATTGAATTACAGCATCTACAATGGAAATTACTTTGAAATGAATTTTGACAAGATCAAGGCCGTGGTAAGCTGTCCCAGTAATACAAGAGTCTTGTTACTAAACAATGCTACAGATGTATTACCCTACTCCAAATCAAACAACGATAGGCGTTGGCCAAGTATCAGATATCGTATTGAGCCCTCATGCAGTGACAAACATTACATTTCCAATGCAATTGCTTAGCAGTAGTTTTGGCAAAACTGTTATAAATACGACTACCAACGTAGCAGACGATAGCCCGGTTTTCAAACGCATTGTATCTCAACTATGCTCGGCAGAGACGGACGATTCTGGCAACCCAAAAGAGATAGACGTTGTGTATGACTTGATGCCAACGCTCAAATTTGGGGATTACGGGGTCTTGAGCTTATCATTTATAGGGCAAGCAACAAAAATATCTTGCGAAAAGGTATGTGTGCATCTATTCCCCGCGTTATGCGTATCTAATTGTCTGTCATTCAGTTACAAAATATGGCCAGAGAATCTTGATTTCTATATATTTGCCATTGAATTGACGCTTTTCATGCATGAGATGCCAAAGGAATAAATTGGTTCGTTTTCTCTAGTAGAAATATATGACCTGTAGAAAGCACTCCATGAATTTTGATCAAGTCAGTTAGGGGTTCTGGATAAAGTACATACTAATTAGTGCACTAACAGACATACCGCATCTTTAAAAGATGGAAGTTGTATACCAAGATAAGATATACACATAGTGATTGGGATGAATAGCATTCCTGCAAGGATTAGGATGACATACTGCGTGTCACTTTGGAATGAGCATTTAGCACCGATTAAGCCTATAATAGCATCCAAATACTCTAGAATAACAATAGAAATTAGCCATTTCAATCTAGCGAACCCTTTAGCCTCGCAATTCTCTGCTTAAAAGCTCCACATTTCATGGATTATCTTCATGATGAGGGTAGCATTGTATTTGCCAGGCAGCCTCGCGTCGTTAATAGTATTTCAATATCCGATATACTTTTTGTTCTGGTTTGTTCATTTTTAAATATTTTGGATTCTATTCGACCTATTTTGCAACATTCGACTATAAAAATTGTCGTATTCATCTCATACTTTCTTATATTTTCTTGGAGTACTTTTCAAGGCGCTTCTAATGATGCTAACTGTAATAAGTGTTTTAAATGAAACTATCGAGCAATTTAATAAAATATGAAATGAGGTTTTTAGCGAAAATAGCCATATTTTGCATATGAAAACCTCATAAAAGTGGTTTCAGAGGTTGCTTTGGATCGAGAGAAACATTTTGATTTAATACATACCATATTAAAAGTCTTCATTTTCAAGGTGAAAAACGCAATTGTTTGGTTTTCGATGAAAACCATGAGGTACCCCTCAATCTTTTTGGTCGATTTTTGGCCATGTTTTTTGGGTCTCCAAAAAGTTGAGCAAAGGTGCCAGAAAAGTACTACTACTCAAGTACAATTGTTTGGCGTTATTCTAGTGGCTCAGGAAGGTCTACATGTCAAGATATGAGGGCCTGAAAATTGTCCAATTTGGTTATGTTTTTGCTTTATGGCTTTTATTTACACGGCATGAATCACATCTTTAGTAGTTGAAGTCTTCTGGAAGGGCAGTTTTGCAGCTGGTGCAACTTCTAATTCGAACAGGAAGCATATTGTCTTTGGTAAGACTAATTCATGCAAATTTTGATACGTTATGTTGCTGGTAAGCTTGATAATAATGGAAATGAGTAACTGAATTTGCTGCTTATTAGATACTATGGTTTTGAACCTTCGCTTCGCTACAATTAAACCCTCATATAGATCAATGGCACCAAGCGTTGGATTAGACGCCTGATTACCTTGGCTTTGCACTTTTGATTTGCTACGGTAAAACCTTCTATAACTCAATGCTACCCAATGTTGGATTAGATGCTTAGTTGTCATAGGCTTTACTCCTTTGCTTTGCTACAGTAGACCTCCCCTATAAATCAATGCTATCAAGTGTTGAATTAGATGAAATATTATGTTCTTGTACATAGAGAAGATAATGATTAACTTTACCCCTGAAAATGATGAATAGTCTCCGCTCTTGATCTGATTCAGGGCATCTTTGACAACTTCGATCATGTTTCACCACATAGATAAGCATTTTGTATAGTTTATTAATCTCTTTTTATTCAGAATAGAAAGGAGTCCCGTATTTTGCTTACTCGTAACGATGCATTTAAAGATGCAAACTTGTTAACGTATACGAAAATTATTTGGAGTAAAGGCTTATTGCAAATCAACGAGTGGTTCTGTATTTTGAAGATTAATTGCTTATTTGAATGACAGGATTAAAAAGTTTATTGAATAAAGTGTAATATGTATTGATTTAGTTAATGTTTATATGCTTTGCATTAAACAGAATAAGTGCTCAGAGCAGAGAAGGCGTTGCACAAGCTGCGATTTTTTGGGGTTCTCAGTGTTTGTTTATTCTTTAGAACATGCTATATTTATCCAAATTAAAACTGTCAATGAAAAGAGAAAAGGAGTATTTAAAGATAACATCATACATGTTCCATAGTGTGCATATGAGCATATGTGATGCATTTTACGAGTTTGGCTGTGCCAGATGAAAAAGGCTTTTAATTCTATCGCAATAATAATAAATCAAACATTTTGACTTTTTGAAGATTCTTGAGACAGTACGGCTTTATGTACTTTCGGGATGACAAGAAAATAAAACTCACACACACACACACATATACAATTATTTCATTGTTGTGATGATACAAATAAACATTGTAAAACTGGCTCAGCAGCGATTATAGTGTAATTTTGATTTACCTGCGACCATGACATTGTCGTATAGACCATTAGCTTGTAGTTGAGATTGCAACATAAAATACACACACACACACACACACATATATATATATATATACGTACATATCATGCCCTCACTTAGTAAACGTTGAATACATCATTCTTCACATATTTACAGTTTGTTTCGATCATGAATTGCCATAACAAGACAAAACATCAGGTGGTCACAGGGAAAAGGGATCTATTTAGGAGGGAGTAAGAAATTAATCTGTACAGATTTAACCATGTTGTTGCCATTAGAGTTATACTTTAAAATAATTGATGCTTGTATTTATGAGGACATATTAGCATGTATAGACATTCTCAATTCGGATTCAAATCAGATTATCACCACCCACCAGCTTGCTTTAGTGAACCACTGCACAAACAACTATATCATCCAGAATGTCGCTTTTCATAGGCTCAGGCTATGGAAGTTGTTGTTGCATATACCTAAAGGGCCAATACAGCTAGCAATTGGAAATACAAATCAATGGACTCTGGTCTATATTGATATTCATACGCAGTACATGGACACTCAAGAGGAACACTTTATCGTCATTAACGAAAGAATGAAACGGCATTGTGAGCCTAGCAAATGGACGAAACACTCATCCATGCTGTATTTACAAAGCACCAGCACCAGCACCAGCACCACTCCCAATGCAATGACTCGTAAACAACAAGATACAAGAATTCCCTTTTTCGATCTATATGGATTCTTAATTGATTTATACACATTCACGACCAATAATATCATGTCGATATGGCTTTGGAAAAGAGCAAACACGTTTTTTAGAAATGATATTCTCAACCATGAATTCAGTAACAAAGAGCAGAAGCAGCGTAGGAGGGCCATACAAACAAACAGTGAGTCATATGTGACCCACCACGGTTTTCGACCAATATTGGACACGCAACAGAGATCACTAATGGCTTGGGATCGACCCATTACCTTTAAGAAAAAAGGGTTGACAGAAACCGTAATGCTTTACAACACAGAATTGTTTGGAACAATGCTTTGATTTTACTCCTTTTGATATGTATATATAAATGCTCTCTTTTTTCTTCTCTCTCCCTTCTTTTTCTTTATCATCTGAATAAATTGCTATATCGCTCAAATGTCTGCCGCTATCTTCATGTCTCCTAAATCCAGTGCCACTGCTACCACTTTAGCTGAGGACGCAACCATCACTCTTCCTGTAAATTCAATCACTCGCAAATGCTGCAGCTGCGGCTCATTCGCTCACAAAACAAGGTAAGACTTCATCTGCATTTGATAGTTACAACCATGATTCTAACATACTTTTAACAGAGATTGTCCCAAGCTACACCATTAGATCAACGCTGCCTTCTGAATAGACTTTTATATACAACTCATATACTCCTTCCTCATTTTCCTAATACTACTTCACTGCTATATTACTATTACCTATTGTTACTACCACTTTTATACATATTGTTTTTTTTTCCCAAAAACAAACAAGTTTCAAATAAACAAAATGTCAAATGGGACAATCAAAGACTTTCCCATGACTCATACATATTTGTCCTAGTAAAACACACACACACACACACACACACACACACACACACACATACCAGATACTTTGCTTCACCACTTTGTTGTAGAGCACAATATCAACAACACACAAGTTTCATAAGCTTTATTCCTTCAAGTGCTGCTTTTGAACCAACTGCTTTAAATCGTCCAACATGGGTAACAGTTCATCTTGAGAGTCTGTGAATTGTTCAATCAACTTTCTTGCTACTGTCAGTAGCTCTTCATGCTCCTCTGCAAATCTGCGCTCCATGGCTTGTAATCTACATCTCATTGTTAGTCTTGCCTTAAATCAATCTTTCGGCGTCATGACTTACCGTGCTTCCTCCGCAAAAAGTCGTTCCTTTGCTTGGAACAACGAATCTCTGCTTCGACTACGCTCGTCATCCAACGCCTTTTCATGCTTTTCGGTGATAATATTGTACTTTTCGTTTTCTTCCATGAACTGGCGTCGACCCTCCTCATGCTTTTTTGCCTTGATCTCAATCTCTTTCTGCTTCTCTGTCAAGTCCAGCTTGGTTTGTTCGATATCTGCATTCAGGGCATCCGTTTTCTCGCGCAATCGTTGTGTCTCAAGAGTGATTTGATCGAAATCTTGTCTTTCGGTGATCTCTAATCTTTCTAGTATTGGCTGTAGAGAAACAGATGCATGAATATTACATAATCCAGCATGCCCCTCAATTTCAACCTACTATAAGCTTTTGATCCACATCATAAGAAAGCATTTGATTTGTGGCCGTTGCACCAGGGTTGTAGACTAACAATAATTCGTGCTGTTCTTGACCCGAAGGAAACAGCTTCTTGATTTTAGTGTTGAACTCGTCGACTTGTTTGCGCACTCTGTCCCTCAGAGCAGTCAATGTATCCATCTTTTCGTTGTATGCTAATCGGCGTGTCTCTAAATGAGCTGTCAGATCGGCGCATCTCTTCTTCTCAGCCTCGTGCTCTTTTGCCAAGGACTCCAGAGTAGCTAATGATACATTCTTTTCCCTCAATTTCTCTTCCAGTTCTGCCTTTTGCTGCTCTAATCTCTGATTCTCGTTGTCCAATCGCTTGACTTCTTCTTCGACCACTTTATTGATGCTTCTATACTTCTCCACTCGCTTTCGCTTCTCCTGGCAATAGTTTTGGAATTTTGCACCGTCTCTTGTTAATTCGTGGTTTCTTTTCTTCAAGTGTTCGATTGTTGACTATGACAATGAATCAGTACACTACATTTTCCCCCCTCCCAATTGCTGACATTACTCCGTCTGACTCCAACATGGCTGCTGTATCCTTCAATGCTGCTATTTCTGCGTCTATTTCGTGTAAATCTCTGTCTCTTTGTTCAGCTATAGTAGCTAAATCACAATAATAAGCTGTCATGTTGAACAATATGGATATTCTCTTACCAAATCTGTTTCTCAATGGATCCATTTCCTCGTCATACGAAGGCTCCTCCTCTGAGCTTATGTACTTTTGATAGGAAGCAAACGAGAATTCAGCAAATGCACATGCCATTTGATTCTCCTCGATCTCTAGATGGGCTAGGGATGGATCTTTGAATTCCTTTGGATTTGATACATCTCTTGATTTGCAGGCTTCCATCAGCCAATGCAGCAGACCATAGAAGTTTGCGTTTGAGTGAATGGCGCCAATGGACAGTAGTGATTTGCGACTGATGCTGTCTCGTAAGGGGTATTTCAGCGTGTTCAAGATTTCAATCACATGGTCTTCGACTTTCTTCTTGTTTCGGTAACTCGGGTCATAGTGTTGCACCAGATGTGTATAAATGTAGTGAAAGTCCTTGGAGGAAAGAGAACGTATAGTCTTGTATTGCGGTACAAATTCCTTGAATCCAATCTTCTCCAAGTAGTCAGCAATAGCTTGCGCATAGCGTCTCTGATTCTCACCACTCTTGATGTCTCTGGGATCGCTTGGGTATTTTCTGACGGTGGGTGGAAAAGTGTGTTCACTGAAGTCTGCTGCTAAACTCGATTGAACCGTAGGATTCCCTATTCTGTGAAATGAGATTAGCTTTGAATCTCTCTGCTTCAAATAAAGCTCATGACTGAGAACCTTGAGAGCAACATTTGAGGCCGATTCGGTATGTATGGTTCGCTGGCAGATGTGTATGGCTCATTCTGAGCGTATGTTGCTCTGGCGAGGGCTGTTGGTGTAGATGCTTCTGCTGCCTCTGCCGCCTGATCTGCATCCGCTGTTTGTGGGTCTGATATCATATGATGGCCAAGCATGGTGCGTTGTGAGCCCACTGTAGACGCTGCTTCATCATTGTTCAAAGTAAGTCTATCCATCCCATACGACAGGCGATTTGCTCTCTTGGAAGGGAACCCTGGTGTATTCGATGGCCCAGGACGCTTTCTATTGTCACTCATGTTGTATAATTCGAAAAAGAAAAATGGGTTCGTGCAATAATTGATGCGACGCGTTTTCTTTTATATTTCGTACCGCGAGAAAGCAGATCAACCCGCCCGCTCACATAAAAAGTCAAAACTGCTAATTTCCATTGAATCACACAGGGCCAGCGAGCTGCAATCACGTTTTTATTACCACGAGTGCTTGTATTATGCTATCTTTCTCGATCAGAATGGAGTTTTTCTTGCAAAAGGTCTTTACAATATCTACTTCCTGTTCGCTGCAAACAAAGGCCATTTTATCCTGCAAAATCCTTACTAGATAAAACAAGTCGCAAGGTGTGTGTTTCGTTGCTGATCCCAAGTTGTTTGCAGTCATATAGGCGACTCCTTCATGATCCAACGGTTTCAAGCTGCGAGCTGATGGTCAGTGTAATATTTTTTTCTGTCGATAGTCTAATAACGACTGAAAACGGACTCAGAGAGCAGTTAGGTGCAGGCACTAACTGATGATGATCCATGGTGGAATTAGAGTACATGCTAGGGCTTTCTTTCATCAGAAACGTGCATGACAGGGCTAACGAAGATTGATCATCCTCTGTAGTCTCTGGCTGATAATGCTCTGATATTAAATTTACAGGAGATACAACACAATATACAGCTATTTCATATTCATTTCCTAGCTCTACATGTATATTAAGGGAGTGGTAATATCGTAATAGAAAGAAGGGGAGATTAATGTCTACATATGTCCTCGCTTTTGTGAAATTTACCGTCAAAACAGCCTTCACACGGATTCCCAGTAGGAAGAGTTATACTTGCTGCCTCTAGTATGGATCTTGCCATAATGATGTCTGTTTCTGAGAATGCTACTCGCAATGCCTGCCATATCTCTTCTCTGCCCTGAATCCAGCAATTAGTCACTCTCGATACAACATCGCATCAAGATAGTTACCCCATAGCTAGGCGCTGTTTCCCAAAATGCCGTTCGCTTGCGGTCTAGTTCTACTCTGGTGATAGGCATGCCCGCTGTCCACAGTAAACCCGTCCGTTTGAATGGCTTGCTTTTATTGTAGTATGCTCTAGGAAATGTAGGATGATCTCGATTACTGCCATCTGATTGATTTGTATTTTGATTGGTAGATGATGCTGATCTTGACAGCGAGCCTTGATCTACAAGGTTGGATGGACAGCAACCCATTGTACTCTATGATTTGGTAAGAAAACAAGAAAATAAGCAAGAAAAAGAGAAAGGGAGCTCGATGATAAAAAACGCTTTAATGTTTTATACAGAAAATAATCGCAAGGGGTAAGGAGAGATGTCTGCGTTCATGTCTATTGTTGTGATATGAACAAAACATGTGATGGATATTTAGAAGGCAAATTAACTGCGCGGCCTCCACTCATTGTTCTCAATATCTTGCAGCTTGATCTGATGGAAGATATTTGTATCATTTTTAACCTGCGAGGGTCTACCAAGGAGTTGTGTTGATCGACCAAATTCAATCATCTTCAAGTCTAATGTCATTGATGCCTCGATGTAACCACAGCACACCACAGCGAGTGTCGTATCATCCAAGCGATCTAGGTAGATTACCCAATTATCCAGTTGCTCACCTTCAAACCTCACCTTGATCTATTACAACGTCGCATTGAATTTAAGAGGCAAAATGATATATTATGACTGACGACTCACCGTATCATGTACATTGGCAAAATCCAATTTTAGTAAATCCAGAGACAGCCCTAACCCAAGCGCTTTTGTGTAGCTCTCTTTGCATCCCCACAATTGATAGAATGTCTCTAGGCGAGTATCTTCGTTATCACTGTCCATGACTAGATGCATTTCATTATGCGTCAACTGAAAGCCAAGGGTGTTGAGCAAGTGGTGTCTAGACATGTTCTCTTTCTTCACTCACCTGAGGCTGGAAACTCTTCAAATAAGCATCGATCGATTGCTTTTTAGGGCGATCGATGGCCACAGCATCGACACCAATTTTCATATCTTTTGTACAGCCAAAAATAACCCAATCTCCTTCATGAGATGTGTTGTAATCGTAATTTAGAGATTCAAAATGTTTCTACCGCATGTTGTAAGTCTAACAAGCTGCATGAATTTCTGAGGGGATATTATACCAAAATCGGTTTTCCTGCAGGTAAGCGTTCAAACTCGAGATCAAACCAAGGCACCTGTAGCTCTTGAGAAAAATAATGTCGCCTTAAAAGCAAATTGGCTAATGCTAAATGTCTATCTCTAGCAAATTTGAATCTCATGACAGATGGATGTTCGGCCTTTGGTAACCATGACAACGCTCTGTCAAACTATACACATGAAATGAGCATACATGACAGGTTTGAGCTTGTTAGAAGCCTACCTGGTCTCCTTCAAAAGCGCCTTTAATATCAAAAGAAAGTAAATCCAGCTTAGCCATCGCGTCTGTGATTGAGAAAACAAGTGAAAAAGGCTCGAGTCGTCAGCAAACTGCTGCCGAGGGGCTGCTATTTAAAGCACGGCTGGATTATGTAAGCGTCTTGAATGTTTAAGCCATGGATTTGTAATTTTGTCTTCCAACCCAGTATACCACGTTGCTTTCTGATAGATGGGGCCATGGTATATAGTATTCAATGCAAAGTATTCCGTATTCAGTACTTTTTCTACCACAGCCAGGCACACATCACCAATTTGCATCCAAAAGCAGCTGCGGTAGGCTCTCATTTGCATTTTACACATGTAATCCAAACTTCAAGAAATTTATTAAGAGAGGTGGCTGCAATGACATATCTAGAACTGAGACCAACACAATGCACTACATCACCACACATTTCTCGCTGTAGTCAATGAACAAATCATCGGCTTTCCTAGGGTTCAAGAAGTTTGGCTCGTTGATGTAGACTTTCTCCTTCTTTCCATCCAAGACGGCCGATGTGAAGCCTGCTGCATCTTCGACAGTGTCAAAAGTCATATTGATGGCAGCTATGTTGTTATGCTTAGTATCAGGTTGTTATGCAGATGATACAAATGGACTTACTTTGCTTCAAATTATGCTCCTTGGCAATTGGCTGTGATTCCGGATGTTTCAAATCAAGGGCGTCCTTGTAAATGTGCTTCTTGTCCTGGTAATCAAACATTGTAGTAATAGTGTAGCTGAAAGGCGATGAATAAGTTTTGGTTTTCGTTTGAGGCATTTTTATAGCTTCACGATTTCATTGTTCTAATGTGCTGCTGAGAGTTGGATATCCATTTATAGCAGGAGAAGCCTTTTGGACGATACACATTTCTAAATCATGACATTGAGAAAACAAAAACATTCAAAAAGGATGCCGGATACTATAGAATAGGCTGCCAAACACATGGATAAATTCCCGGGAAAGTGCTATTTTCATTTGAACTATATATATATATATATATATAAGGTACATTTGCGCGAAAAACAAACGCAATCAACGATTTAATCCCTCTTTTCCCAATATTGATCCTAATACTGAAAAATTCCCTTGATCGCAAGACATAAACCATGGGCACAGCAAAGCAGAAATCAACAAATAATCAGAGTAGATTTTTGAACAGAAATCCACTGTCATTTTCCATGCGACAAAAGAAGAAGGAGCGCTCGGAAGTGCGAAATAATGCTTCCTACAATGCTTCATCCCCGGCCTTACCAGCACATGAAGAATGCCCAAGCCCTATTCAGTGTGAGTACACAGTAAGCAATGAGAGCCTATCCCCTGTCATGGAAGAAACTGCCACACATCAATCACTTGCAACCCAGAAACCAGCCGCCATACCAGCAACTCCCAAGCAACCTCCTAAACGATTGGACTCTGCAGCCATTTTCCCCTACAGCAACAAACCGCATGAAACACGAAAAAAGACCATTGCAGAGGAAAGTAAACAATGGGAGTCCTTGTTTGACCCTCAACATACATTTGGCTCATTTCAAACTAGCATTGCAAAACCCGTGTCATCTCAGCATTACTTTTACAAGGGAAAATGGCCTTTGGATCAAGAAGACATCTTGGGCATGATCCCAAAACCCAAAAAGACGCTCCATCAACAGAACAGCGCAACAACAACCCCAAATCTGTCTATAGTTGATGGAGATGGAGCATCCACAGCAGCATTTGCATTCCCTACAGTGCCCAGTCCAACATTGCCAAATAAGAAGCAGCTGGAATTGCACATCAATCCCGTTTTGCAGGACAATGAAAATGACATCTTTGATGATTCGTTTCCTAAAAGCGGCTCACAGATCGAAATACTGCCTTGTCCATCACTAACACAGTTTCCAAAGTACAAAAAGACAGAAAACGAAGTGCTGTGGAAAGACAGGCTGGAACTACTGAAGAAGATTCAACATCAAGGATTTCGCGAAGATTTGAATGGAACACTCAGTATTGGAAACCAAGAATCTGCTGCCGTTCGGTTACAACGACAAATAAAACGAAAGGCAGAGAAGATCATGCGTGAGACACTGGTTTATTCCAATACGGAGGAAGACGAGGATAACGATGAGAACGAACATAACTGTAACATAGCAAATGCGGCGGAGAAGGGGACATTATTGGTGGCTGTGGAGCCCGATACAATGCTTGTGGATTTCAGCACCTTACATACTAAGGAAGAGCAAGACACAGTTAGCAGCTTGCATTCAATACAGCCATACGAATCAAGCTTAGTGAGTCTGGATGATGAATGGGAGAACATCTCGTTTAAACCGCCGTGTTCCGTCAAAGATGTCGACATTGAAAATCAAGCCAGCAAGCAAGACCTTGCAGACATCAAGCGCAAAAACCGCCCTACCTTTTTGCTCTTTGCATATGGATTCCTGTTCCCTCCACTGTGGATTATTGGCGCTTTATACAGCCCAAGTCGATCACTGCAAAGAACAGCATCTAGTAAAAAGATAGATCAAAAATGGAAGAATTATTCCCGAAATGCATTTTTTGTATTTATCGTGATAGTGGCAACTATCATTGTACTGATTCTAGTGCTGAAACCACAAACTGTAGGATTTAGAAGTAGTGGCGACCAGATATATCCAGAAGAAAGAATCGTTTTCGATGAAAATAATGCGCATATCCCACTGTAACCTCTGTGGCTGCTACTGCTGGACAGCAGTTGCTCTAGTGGTATTGCATTTGTCCTAGAATAAAACAAAACTGTATGATCCCTCTTATACAACCGAATGATTTCACCACGATGGATTATGGATTGACTTTCCGATGCATTCAATCACTGATCTATTTTAAACTCTTGGTACGCATGCATAGCATTTACAGCGTGATTGTTGTGTTCGTGGTATGGTGGCGGTACTGTATCCCGATGTCCAATTTCTGCTCTATGAGGTGCTTGATATGTACTAGAATCCGTATAAAATTAAAGCAGCTACTAGATACTACTTTGACATTACATAGATTTGAGAATACATACATGCATCGTCAACTGCTGATTTGACATTGCAGGCTTAGACAGTGCAATAAATGTATAATTGAAAACTAGATGCCGCTTAACGATCTCGACATAATTAGAGGACCCTGAAGCCGATGAAGCGGTTGATTGTAATTTAGACTGCTTATACAGTATATAGCGCATGTGTCATTTTATCTGTATAATTAATCTTCGGTTACTGTATGCTTATCTTCTGTTGCGTTCAAAATCAGCATCTGGCAATTGACACGCAATACCAAAACAAGCAATAAATGGAGACACTGAATGAAACATTCTGCGTCTCTACCCCCTTTTTCACGACCAATTAGATATTGCTGTGCTATGTGCCTATAACGAACATAGCACAGTGATGTATGCCATTCACACGAGATCAATCAATGCCGTCCGCTATAGCATGATGGTGCCATTATGAGTTGTTCAGAAATGTGTCGAAATGTGATCTGTCGAAATAGACATGAGGGCCACTCCGTCCAAAAATCGGATATGGAGGCAGACTGGGAAATGTTGAAAGTGTATTAAAACGGCAAGATAAAATCAGAAAGATGGACAGACCAAAGAAAAACAACACCAGAAATATATAAATGGATGCTTGAATCAATTAATCTCTCGTTTTTCCTTTTTTTCTGGACTCTTAACTTTGGTTCTTTTGCCTTTTTACACTTCATTTACTTTATCATGTCCCCTACCGCAATGCACATTGCTGCTCCTTGTGCGATTCCAGATCTCGCCAACAAATCTATTGCTGCAAAGAAAGGTCAAGAACATAGGCATCTGGAAGAAACCCTTCAAGGCACTGTCTCTACAAATCACGCTGAAGATATTGCTTTTGCTCAAGCCTTGCACGGCAGAGATCTCAAGAAGGGTTTGTGGGCTCAGCTGAAATCAAAGAATCAGGACGTCTATGGTGTTACCTCTGATACTTACTTCAACATGTGGGGGAAAGATGCAACAACAGACTCCAAGGCAAACGAAAAGGAGCGCGCTTCTCGCTACAGTCAGTTAGTTAACTCTTACTATCATTTGGCTACTGATTTCTTTGAGTATGGCTGGGGGAAGAGCTTCCATTTCTGCAGATTCTATCCAGGCGAAGAGTTTCATAGTGCGGTCAAGCGTCATGAACATTTCTTGGCTATAAAGACCGGCATTGATTCAGGCATGAAGGTACTGGATGTTGGTTGTGGTGTTGGCGGTCCCGCTAGAGCCATCACTCATCTGACTGGTGCCAGTATCGTTGGACTCAACAACAATGCTTATCAGTTGGAAAAGGCCAGAGAGTATACTATTCAAGAAGATTTAGGTGACAAGTTGAGCTTTATCAAGGTAAGTAAATGGTTTGATCTTCAAGAGATTCCAGAGCTTAACCTTATTGCATGTTTCTGTATAAATCAGGGTGATTTCATGCAAATTCCCTTTGATCAAGGGACATTTGATCGCGTCTATGCCATTGAAGCAACCTGCCACGCTCCCTCATTTGAAGGTGTCTATGCAGAAATTTACCGTGTATTGAAGCCTGGAGGCAAATTTGGTTGCTATGAATGGTGCATGACTGAGAAATACGATGCTGAAAACCCCAAACACAAGGAGATTGCACATGGTATCGCCATTGGTAATAGTCTGCCTGATGTGCGCACGGTAGCTGATTCATTGGGCGCTCTGCAAAAGGTTGGTTTCAAGATTGAGATGCATGTGGATCTGGCTCGTATGGGTGATCGTGTTCATTGGTATTATCCTTTGGAAGGAGATTTACGTCAGTGTCAAACGTTTCGTGATATCTTTACTACACTAGTTATGACTCAAGCTGGTCGATACCTCACAATCAACATTTGCCGTATCTTGGAGAAGATTGGGTTTGCGCCAAAGGGTACTGTGCAAACTCAAGAAGTACTTGAGGTTGCTGGTGATTCTGTTGTTGCTGGTGGTCGAGAGGATATCTTTACTCCCATGTTCTTTTTTGTGGCCCAGAAACCGATGTAAATACTATAAAAGAAAGATGTACTATAGCAAATAAACGGGCAATATTCCCAAAACTGATATAAACAATTGAGCCCTTATTAATACGAGTGCGTTTTCTTGCGTTCAAGGCCGTTTTAGATGATCAGAATAACACCAAACAACTGCTCTCGTCTGGCAGTTACTTTCTGACACCTTTGTTCAACTTTTTGGGGATCAAAAAAACTGGGCCAAAAATCGACCAGAAAGCATGAGGTACCCCTCATGGTTTTCGTCGAAAATCAAACGATCACGTTTTTTACCTTGATAATGAAGACTTTTACTATGGCATATATAAGATTAAAATGTTTCTATCGATCTAACGTAACCCCTGAAACCGTTTTTATGGGGCCTTGGTATGGAAAATCTCGACTTTTTGGCCAGAAACCTCTTTTCATATTTTCATAAGTTGCTCAATAAGTTTATTCAAAACATCTAAGTTACTTGATACCATTGGTTGCGCCTTGAAAAGCACTCCAAGAATGTATTATGAAGCATTTTTTTTTTTTTTTTTTGTAGGGGAGTCGAGCTCCAGGTTTTATTTAAAGTCCTTTAAATGTCATACTGAGGGATAGAAAAGACTGTTGGTGGACCCAATGTCTGCAATGAAGGGGAATAAGATATTTTTTGAACTAAGTTGGGAAAGAAATCTACTACTAATAAGGTGCGACTCCTAGAGCCAGTACAGTCTTGCGGAAAATCGTCAAAATATAGATCATGGATAAGAGCACAAAACACCAAACGAGGACATCAGTACTACGTCAAAAAATCAAACAACTTGCGTTCACCAGGATTTGAACCGGGATCCTCCCGTTGGCATACGGGAGTTTTACCACTTCGCCCTACCACCAGGGACTGTATTATGAAGCATGAGATGATCATCACACTTCATATAGTCGAACCTTGCAAAATAGATCGATCAAGTCGAAAAACCATTAGAATCAGGCCAATCTGGAATAGACTAAGAGTCTGAGTTGAGATTAATTTTGGCGGCTGGTAGCGCCGGCTGGCAAACTCAATGCCCTTTTCATCATGAAGGCAATACAACAGTAAGAATAGATGCTTTTGAAGCTAATAAAAAGTAGGCGGCGAATTGCATAGTACTAATGTCAGTCAGGCTATTTTTCTTTAACATATCATACAGTATTTAATAATGTCAGTCTATCAAAATACTTGTTAGATCAACTTCTTTCCTTTTTGAGACTTTGAAAGTGTGTAGGGACCATAAATTTATTATGTTATGATAGAGTGGTTGAATCAAAAGATATAGAGACGAAAAACCAAAAATTTGATTTACAAAATTGCACGCAGAAAGAAAATGCATTCTTCTAGGTTAATCAAAGCAAATTATGCCTCGATACCAACAGAATCAACCTCGAGAAGGTGAAAATACAACTGATCCCAAAAGGATACCTACCTTGTTGGCAACCCTTCACTGAAAAACCTACTGCTCTCATCGGGGGAGTGATCATGCAGTATGTTATCCGGTTTTGGTGTAATAAAAGGCGACACTTTGGGTATACGATCCTTGACACTCTTCTCCTTCCCAACCAAACTATGGAAAAAGCCTCTGTGAAAAGGAACTCTTGCAGCTCTTGGTGAAAGTAACCACACAACCACCTTTTTCCCTGATGTCTGGAATCAAAGACCTAGCAGAGAGCCGCACTGATGCTGTGACAGAGCTACATTGAATTCCAAAATGCCGTCGATGTATATGCAACAATGTATGCCTGCATTGGTACCTGACACAGGTTTACAAGGCCTTAAATTGTCGGCGCTGCCTCCTAGTAGTGAGAACGATCTAACGGACGAGCCCAGCTGTGAATTCTCCTTCTAGCCCTACCTCTCAAGTTTTAGACAATACAGCAAGCTGGTTTGAGCAGCCTTGTAATGTATAAATGGTAGCGACAGATGTTACACCCCTTCAGTGGCACCTTATTCCCCTTCATCCTTAAGCTCTTCCTTGGAAGAAACATAAAGAAGAAAAGCGTTGCTAGATGTGAGATAGATCTCCTGATCTAGGACTTCAAATCCGAATTAGAAATGAAGGAGACACAGAGTAATCAAGAAGGCCTTGTGAGACGATCATAACAACCTGAACCTAACCATAAGACCCAAGAATGTGATAAAAATAAAAGTGTTTTGGTGAAAATTATCTACATTTGTTTACTGCTGCGGTTGTGTTGAGATGAGTCGCCATGTATAAACTACATTTACTACTGCCACCAAAGCAATGTTTGATGAAATACTGCAATGTACGATGCTTGCCCTTTTGATCTCATTGCAAAAATTGAATCAGAACCCTTCAATAGAGGTGAGTTGAGCAAGTGCTACCATTGGCAGCGGTTATCCTAATTTTAAATGCTCTTTCAACATCAACATCAACATCGTACGATATTGCTCCACTGAAATGATGGATGGTAAACGACCTTTAAAGTACTAAAACCGATGATATACAAATATATGTTCCGCTAAATCATCTCATAACTACCTCTTTGATTTGTCTGTATTTTTGTTTTGTTTTGTTGTAGTATATCTTCTGGACAGATAATTATTGACTAGCAATACCTGCTTCACCACAATTACATGAATTATCACTTTGAAGGACAGCAGCAACCCTGAATTTAAGCCAGGAAACTAATGCATAGTGGGGCTCTATAGTTCTAAGCAGGCAAAGTTATAGCGATACACAATTTGCGAGCATTTCTGTGAGATGGTATATGAGATACTAGCGCTGGATTTGACAAAACGTAACATTGAGTCAAATTAATGTGATTTTTACAAAAGATCATTTCTTAGTAAAGTGGTTTAACAACATACATACGTGCGTACCCACATTAAGCTGCTTCAAATAGATTATAAAAACAATAACATCAGGAACACAATACGACCATAAAAGTAGATACTCCTTCATACCTTATTTGATGTTGATGAGCCATGAAATATCGGAAGAACTATTTTTGACCTTGATTGATCAAACTGTGCAACCTTGGTATCAATACTAAGAATGACTGCGCCCTGTCTTCTTGGTTGTGAGGACAAAGGAGGAAGCCATTTGTCGCAAGTCTTTTATTTTCAAAGGCTATTAATAGACAATTAGTTGGAAGCCATCCAAAACGAGCAATTCAGGGTATCGGTTTTTCTCATTACAAAAGATCACTGCTTATCACCATCAAATGACACCAAGCAGTTTTACATTTTCCCAATAATCTTGGTCAAATTTCGATATTTACTTGGTTCCTTCTCATTTAATAAATATTGCCTTCCTATAGGCCAAAGTTTGCAAACATAAAAGCTTTGCTACAAACAATTGGAATCGTCAGGTTGATCGTTACATCCTATTCTGCATAGGAACGGTTTTATCTCTATCATTGAAAATTGGGAGACATCTTTCTATTCTAATATGGATTTAAATGTGATTTATATTCGATGAATAATGTTAAAAAAAATCTACCAAATTTTCTGCTTGTTCTTTTCATATAATCGTAATAAGAGTTTCGCACTAACATTTCTTCTTGATTGTTCTGGATTGAGAAGATAAAAGAGTGAGCTCTTAAATCGGATGTGGCACAGTCTTCCATATCCGACTTTGAAGCTTCAATACAAAGTTTATGTGCGTTTACAAGGCGGTTGGTATTAGTATACCTTTATTCCACATCATGTTAGGATGCTGGAAACCAAATATTCGTGATTCAGGTACAGAATGAAAAGTGAAGTCATGGATCATATCAGAAAGTAGGCAATTTTGGCAGAATGTTGATCGCGCAGCAACAGCTATTCATCGGTATTGCCTGTTTGTGCATTGACCCTCCTTCAGAGTAGATTGTACTACAATGTAGAATCACGAAAGCATTGCATGACTCAATTGTGTGGTATACCTATAAAAACGGATTGAAAATCGTCTCTGTCTTTCCTTTCACTTCTTCTTTCTCCTTCTTGCTTCTTTCCCTGCAACAATTTCACTCAAACAGCACATCAAACCAAACATTCAGCTGCAATTATACAAACCCCATATTTCATCGATGACATTCACAAATGAGCTGTTTGTAATGGACGACTTCGTGATGACAGATTCGCCTGCAATTTCACCGTCTCCGCACTTGCAATCGCTGTCTGCTACTGATAATACAAGTTCATATAGTATCAGTGGAACGATTACTTTAGATGATAGCTTTGATTTGGCAAGCAACCTGTTCCCTCTCATCGACGATCAGTTTCCAAATATAACTATCAATGACACTACGACAGTTGAGCAATTCAATAGTTTATATACATCGCAAGAGGAGGGAGGCTTGTTGGTAGCATCCTCAATGGCGCCAGAATTCGAGCAAGTTTTCTTTGAAAACGACTTCCAGCTACAGTCAAGTGCTGCCACTACACAAACTCAACCAATACTAATGATAGACACCCCAGAACTGTCGTCAGTGTATACCAGTAGCTACTCTCCGTCTATTCAATGGCCTAGTAACTTGGATCATGGCTATACCATTGGGTTGAATACATCGCTATTTTTACAACTGCATCAAGAGGAATTTCTACCTTCGTCCTATGAAGCTCAGCAGCAAGACATGGTATCACCTGTTTCCCAATTTGATTTGATGTATTCTCCTGCGAATTCGTATTCTATCATGGAGGAACAGAGCGTGTATAGTGCTACACCTCCCATTCAATCACTAAATAGTCCTGCCGGCGATGGCGATGGTCGTTTCTCTAACACTATCGTAGCTATGAATAGCAGTCGATCTGCCAGTACACAGGACAAATCAAGATATGATTGCCCTGAATGCGATCAAACAGTCGGTAGATCTCAGGATCTGAAAAGACATCGCCAATCTCGCCATTCTGATATTAAGCACTATCATTGCGATTGTTGCGATAGAGCTTTTTCTAGAAAAGATGCATTGAAAAGGCATGAAAAGTCTAAGAATCGCAGCCGTCAAAAGCAAAGATTCCAACATCAGGGTCAATCGATCAGCAGGAATCAGAAGGTTTCGCCTTGAGTCATATATGTACATTGACACCACCATGTAAATACCATCGTCACATTCCTTTCTTTTCTTTTTTTTTTTTGATCTTTCAATTCATGATATATCCCATCCTATACATATCCCAATTATCATCTTATATCTACTTAAAAATTGTGCAAGAAAGCCATTGTTGAAAAATATAGAAATTTTACTAAAAGAGTATTTTTTGCTTGTGTGAGTCAAATCTCTAAATATTTATGTGTTATCATGTAATGCGTCAAGTGGATAGAGTGGATAGCTTGAAGGTTATTAATATTATTACGCCATGTATCACTGAAATGTTGATATAGTAACCGCTTGGTTGGCGTAATGATTGACATTGAGAGACACTATATTCTATTCGTTATGGGGCACAGGATGTTGTCCAGTTTTCGGGATACGCGACCCTGTTGTTCTTTGAGATGGCTTAGTGCATGCATATCAAAAATTATCTAGTACAATCCTCATTATCATAACATAATAAATTTATGGTCCCTACACACTTTCAAAGTCTCAAAAAGGAAAGAAGTTGATCTAACAAGTATTTTGATAGACTGACATTATTAAATACTGTATGATATGTTAAAGAAAAATAGCCTGACTGACATTAGTACTATGCAATTCGCCGCCTACTTTTTATTAGCTTCAAAAGCATCTATTCTTACTGTTGTATTGCCTTCATGATGAAAAGGGCATTGAGTTTGCCAGCCGGCGCTACCAGCCGCCAAAATTAATCTCAACTCAGACTCTTAGTCTATTCCAGATTGGCCTGATTCTAATGGTTTTTCGACTTGATCGATCTATTTTGCAAGGTTCGACTATATGAAGTGTGATGATCATCTCATGCTTCATAATACATTCTTGGAGTGCTTTTCAAGGCGCAACCAATGGTATCAAGTAACTTAGATGTTTTGAATAAACTTATTGAGCAACTTATGAAAATATGAAAAGAGGTTTCTGGCCAAAAAGTCGAGATTTTCCATACCAAGGCCCCATAAAAACGGTTTCAGGGGTTACGTTAGATCGATAGAAACATTTTAATCTTATATATGCCATAGTAAAAGTCTTCATTATCAAGGTAAAAAACGTGATCGTTTGATTTTCGACGAAAACCATGAGGGGTACCTCATGCTTTCTGGTCGATTTTTGGCCCAGTTTTTTTGATCCCCAAAAAGTTGAACAAAGGTGTCAGAAAGTAACTGCCAGACGAGAGCAGTTGTTTGGTGTTATTCTGATCATCTAAAACGGCCTTGAACGCAAGAAAACGCAGCTCAAATGCACTCAAAATTTGCTGTATCAGGGACACTGGTGACTAAAACGAGGAAATAGCAGTATGCTACTTGTCCGTATACGAAGTAGCTACGTGTATATAGATGTAAAGCATCACATAGGAATCAGATCCACAGATAATATGAAGGATTTTCATGTGCAAGTGAAGGGTCAAAATGAAAGTAGCAGTATTTTGATAAGGTACGCAAGGGAAATTGGCAGCGCGAGCTACCGCTGCGCAGGTTGGTTCTCACCGATGCGAAGCGAAGGTAGAGAGCCATCCGAAGCATAAACACTCGTATGGATAAAGATATTATCCAATATAGATTGTAACCTAAATCTTGATCCTGTAACGGGCTAGAAAAGAACAGGAGATTCTTTTAGATACGGAAATAATGTTTTAAAATCTTCACATGCCTCTAGTGTCAATGCGTCGTTTTAATCGCTAATAGACATCAGGTAATATGAGACATTGGATTGTCAATTTTGAGACAAGGGACATGATTTCATATTTAAGCAAGAATATATGGCTTTAATACACTATATTTTCCTTTCCTCAACAACACTCAAAAATGGCAGCTGTAAAGAAGAGCGATAAACAGCTTGGTGGTCTCGATACGCTGTTTCTCAAGGTGGAGCACCCTCGTCGCTTGATGACTGTCACCTCCATTTGGACATTTAAGCAACGTCTGGACCAAAAACAAGTGTACAAAATGCTTGAAAAACTATGTGAAGAATACCCAAGATTTGCAAGGACACCCGCCCATGAAGGCTTCTTTAGATCTGCTTCTTGGGTAGAACCTGTTGGCTGGCAGTTTCAAGATAACATTGTGACACACACCTTGGAGGAACCCACTAAAAAAGCACTTCAGAAATACTGCGCTGAACAGGTAATAACCAACGCTTGACAAGCTCATCCAAATGAGTAACTGATGGCCTGTATCCTTCCTAGGTTGTTACACCATTTGACTACACTAAACCTCTTTGGGAGCTCCATGCCATATCTGGACTGGAAGATGATCGATACGCATTTTTCTGGAAAGCACATCACGCATTGGCAGATGGTGAAGGGTTCATCAGGAGTCTGTTGAGTACAACTTCCCTTGGCGCAACACTCAAAAAATTGGAAGAGCAGTCTATAGTGTCCCATCGTCGCAAGAAGGAGAAAACCAGCATCACCAAAAATGATACCAACAAACCAGAATCCATTTGGCAAAAGTTACCTGCAAACATTTCCGCTGTCCTGAGCTTTATTTGGCTCATCCTGTACCAAATCTATGTCTATAGTGTTGTCACTATCCACGATTTATACTGCATCATGTTGTGTATGCTGCCTGTTACTCGCAAAGATTTGTACTATAGGGGTTTGCAATCGCATGAAAAAGAAATGGCCTGGTCGGATGATGTGAGTATCAAGGATATCAAGATTGTTCGTGAAGCTTTTGGCGGAACTCTGAATGATGTGATGTTGGTGGTTATCACAAGATGCTTGAAGAGCTATTTGGAGAGTATTGGCAAGAGAGATGACAACTATATTAGCTTTATCATTCCTGTTTCTTTACGTAAACCTAGTGATTGGAGGTATTGAACTCGGATTTTAATGAATTACGGTAAACACGGGCTAATATTAACCTTGTAAAGCTTCCAAAACGTCGTTAGTGGATCATGGGGCTTCTTTTCGATGAAAGATCTCGACACAAGAAATCTTTTAAAGCAAGTGCAAACCGAGATGTTGGCTATCAAAAATTCTTATGGTCCACGTATGTTGTATGAGACATGGCAATGGTTCCTTAGTCATGCTCCTGGGCTCTGTCCACCTATGAGTGTATATAACCATGTGTGTGATATTCCTCATGGTGTCTTTACAAATGTGCCTGGTCCAACTGTGCCGATTCAATTTGCTGGTGAAGAAATTCAAGAATATCGCACATTCCCTCCTCAAAGCGGGAAAGGTTCCATCGGCATGGCTCTTATATCTTACTCTGGCAAAATCAGTGTTGGTGCTATTGCAGACATTCATCCTGATTATCCTCAAGTGGCCAACGGCGTCTGCAGTCGTTTTGCAGAGGAGTTCCAGCTTATTCTTGACGAAGCAAAAATGGAAATTTCTAAAAAGAATGCGAACTTGACCCTGCGCGAAAAGAAAGACAAATAAAGACAAAATACTTAATGTTTGCCATGACTAGTGATTAATAAAATCCTTGCTCTATCTGGTAATTGGCTTATTTGATGTGTATGGCATTAACTACTGTGAAAGCTAGAACGTACATTGCTATCTATTAGTGCCCCAAAGACCAAGGATTTGAAAAATAAGGCACGCAATACAAGTAGCGCAAGTCTGAAAAGACTGTATTTCACATTATCTCGCCGAAGACATTTCAAATTAGTGATAATAAAAATTTGGTATACCAAGTAAATTTTAAACATTCAACTATTAGTAGAAAAAAAGGCTATATCAGAGTCAGGAGGGAAAGGTATTCCCGCACTCTTCTTGGCTCATACACTGATATCAAACAAAGGCTATCATTGAGACGATGTGAAAGACAGTTCAAGTTTTATGCAGCATTTTTACACAACATTTTCCGCTCGTGTCGCATTTGCTGGCATAATAGTAGAATTTTCGTGCCATTTGCTGATGTTTCTCTTGAGATGGCGACATAAAAAAGCTGGCCATGCGTAAATACAGAACTTCTACTGGAGCTACAGCGATCTTTTGTGAGGTTGTCATTACAAACGACATCTGTATAGGGAAGAACTCCCAACAACACCAAGAAAACGCGTTTAAGTTAAGTGATTGCTCTTTTAAATTCATGATCCTCATTTATTTAGCATCCCAGTATACATTGTCATCATCATTGTCAACATCAGAAAGGTATTTGGGTCAGATAGCAGCAGCATCATCCGCCAAAATTAATTCACATTCCGCCCATGTTTTCTGCTCAAGATTGGCTAAATTTCGTCTTTTGTCGACTTGTTTGAACCATTTTCCGAATTTTGACTATATAAGTTGTGATCATCAGCTGGTACTTCCTAATACATTCTTGTAGTACTTTTCAAGGCGCTTTCAATGGTGCAAAATAAAATAGCTGTTTTGAATAAGCGTATTGAGCAATATCAAAAAATATGAAATGTGGTTTTTGGCCAAAATGTCGACATTTTGCATATAAAAGCCTTACAAAAGTAGTTTCAGGAGTTGCGTTGGATTTCGAGAAACATTTTGACTTAATATACTCTCATCTCGGTCTTGCTAATCTGTTCCCTACGGACGAGGCCATTTGGATTGGGTTGACCACCTTTCACGACCAGGACAATAATCCTCTGGACATTTCCATCTTGGAACTTCTCGGCGCTGCCTTCTCATCTATCTGGCAACATCATTGGGGCTGCACAATTGATGGTAAATCCTGGATCACTCGGGCTGTTTTCTCCTCTTTTCTGGAAGATCATTCCAGGTTAATTTCTTTTTTTCTTAGACATGTAAGACCCTTATGGTACCTTACTGTCTATAATATAAATAAAAAACACATTTAAATACAAAAAAAAATTGACTTAATATATGCCATAGTAACAGTCGTCATTTTCAAGGAGAAAAACGCGATCGTTTGATTTCTGATGAAAACCATGAGGGGTACCTCATGGTTTTTGGTCGATTTTTGGCCAAGTATTTTTTTTGGCTCAAAAAGATGAGCGAAGTTGTCAGTGAGTGAATACTCGATAAGAGCAATTGTTTGGTGCTATTCTGGCGGTCTAAAACGGCTTCTACCACGAGAAATCACTGCTCAAATACAATCAAATTTCGCTGTATTTTGCGTTATTTTGAGTATTTGATGGTAATGTAACAATGTTATTTGCCAATACTTAAGTTGTTCCTATTGATACAGATGTAGACCATCTTAGAAGAGGCAAATTCACAGTTCTCAGTCGTTTATGAAGGGCTCTCACTTGATAATGTAGTACCTAAAGCAACATTTTAGGTATATTAGAAGGACAATAAAGTTTGTTCCATTTGAAATACATTTTGTCAAGGGAAGCAATCATTTTCTTTATGGTTAGAGTCTCCACAAGCGCCAAAAAAGCATAACCATGCGCCTTTAGAAGTGGCAATTAATGCGAATTTTGGTGAAACGGCAACATTCCGTGGTGCTACGTTGCATTTATTGGTACCGCATCATGTCTTTGTTTGTCAATAGATTGCAGCTGGAGATCTAGGCTATCAAACCAATATTCAACTATGGGTTTAACGCTACCTTTATTCGGTTGATGATGGGCTATCTAGGCCTTTGCGAAATTATACTTATGAGATTGGCTATAGAGGTGCCTTTTTTTTTGGCTGGTGGATTGCCACAAGAGTAAACATCTCTTGGCAGGATACATGATGCACAAAAGATTTATGTAAATTGCAGTTGAATGCTATTGAGCCACATTGATACTGATGAATAAAGTATTTCTTGGTAAAAAAAAAAAAAAAAAAAAAAAAAAAAAAAAAAAAAAAAGTCTTTTTGTGACATTAGGCCCACATGGTTGAAGTTTTATTGATATGTTTGAGATGATAGATGCAAATCAAGGGGTGCCCCAAGCACACCATGTGGTTTACAATTAGCCCCTTCTCCTCATTGTTCTCGAGGAGATTGATGTTAAAGGCTGATTTATAGGTTAAATATCTTTTACTAATAATTCACACATCTACGAAGGTATACATGGTACAAACTCTATTTTTCAAAGCAATATTGCGATGCACTCATCTCCGAATGGCTGTTTGTATGGATTTATGATATATAAACCTTTAGGTAATGGCATCTCTGGAACTACTATGATTCATGATTTTTGGCTGCTTTCTTTTGCAATATAGTTTGCGCTGATTTATCATTTACAAAAGCTCCATTCATATATGAGGTTGACAATCTATTTGTGTGTGGGGTTTTTATGTATTTGATTCAAAAAATGGGGTTGTCCGGCCGTATTGAGTTCCAAAGCTATACGACAATGTGGGGGGCGAGTTGGTATAAATACAACCACACTATCAAATTGATAAAAGCAGAACTCTAATTTCTTCCCTCTCTTTTCTTTTTCTCTTTAGATAACATACCATTTTGAAATGAGCTTGATATTGAACGATATTCACTTGCCATTATTGATCAAGACCACACTATCAGAGAATAATCAATACAAGGCATTACCTTGGAACAATCTCGATCAGCTGTCCAGTTTATGGGCTGGTAAGTCTCCTCGAGCACAATCACAGCAAATAAAAGCCCACACTGACCCTGTTTATAGTGTTCACTAAATACAAGCGCAATATTCAAGATGGATTTCGCTTAGAAAACTTGTCTTGGAGATTATGGTATCGACAATCTGTGCTACAAAAGAAAGTGCAACCAAAAACCTCGGAGGATATTGACTTTTCGACAGCAAGCGCATCAACAGGCAATAAACATTTGACTCGAGCTCGCTCCCTGCCTGATCTCTCACAGTGGTTGCAACAAAGACAGTTTTTGGAGGCATCAGATCATGATGTAAATGTGAAACAAAAGTTTTTCATCTCGGCAAAAGACGAAATTCATTTCAATGAGGATGAGGATGAGGATGAGGATGAGGATGAGGATGAAGACGAGGACGAGGACGAGGACGAACTTGAGGAAGAGCCTGAGCAACTCATGTTCACCAAAAAGAAGACCCGATTCAATAGTTTCTCGAGCACAGCAAGCTCTGCCTTATCAAAACCTGTATCATTGCTTACCGATATGCTTCAACGCACCGAATCCAACGTATCTCTTGTGACGAATTCCGGATTACGCCGATGCCAGTCCAAGTATTGTCGATTAGATCAGTTCTTCTTGAATGCAGCATGATAACGTCCATCATCTCACTCATGAGGAATATATAGAATATTTTGTACTATTTCATTTTCTGCATACACATCCCCCATTACTCCTTCCCAGTTTCCCCTACAAGTGTGATTCAGCACTTTTCCTTCATACTGTATTCCCAAGTTATTTATTTTTCTGATGAATATCATCATGGAAGCTCATAGTCTAAAATTACCTAATCATATTATATATTAAACAGAAAACTTAATCACAATCCGTATAATTTCTCATGATTATGCGAGCGATGAAGCTGATTCACATACACGCAAGGGGTCAAATGTGTCATACTTTAGCAAATTTCGATGATATGCCTTTTGGCAGCATAATGCATTCATGTGTTGGGCAAAAGAAACATCTGAATGCATGTGTTCTGTTTCCATTGGCGTCCTGAATGTCTTCATATTTTGTCCATTTATGGGTAATTCTTAAATATGGCTCTTCTTTTCGCGGTGAACACTTGTCTTGATCTTTACAGACATTGCAATTCAGACTTAAATACTTGCTCCTTTGATAAGAAGTATAGCCTGTGTCAATCTATGAATGTCTCGACATTCTTTTGTGGTCACCAGACCTCGGCTTGTACATCTCATGTCATTGAAATTTTTGGTATATAAATTCTGTTTGGTATTGTAAAGTTTACAAGACTCTATTTATTTCCAATTTCTAAGATGATGAGAATCTATGAGCATGATGCTCAGCATTGAAGCTTGGGCTATTGTACCCCTTCTTTACTTGCTTACGAATTGGACAGATTAAGGATATTCACATCCATATAAATTACATTTCAAGTCGAAATTCGCCCACAAATGACGCCATTTGGATCATAAATCTCCATCTTGCTTGGGCTGCAACATGGTGAGAAGTGGTGGTAATCACACAATATGAACCAACAATTAAATCATCACATGCGATAATCGTTAGCAATTTGCACGGCTACTATCAAGCACTTCAGAACACAGGTATAATATTCTTTAATGTCGAATATATATATTTTATTGATTGTTTGCGTATGGTACAGTGTAAATTTCTAAATAGGAGGAAAGCAAAGAATGACAAAGGATGCGAGATTATTTGTTGTAGGGAGGAGGAGGGGGTAGGAGCAAGTTCTCAGTGCTTGAGCTCCGGCTAGATGGTGAAGACTCGAAACCATTATTCTGGCGTATCATCATTCTTTCTTTGCCGTTCAGCTTGCTGCTCTTCTTTTTGTAGTCAACGTAACAAGGGCAGATAAAAAAGCCTGCTCGCTTCTTGAGCACGTCTTCTGCATCTTCTTCGTTGACAGCAGTATCAGACATAGACTCTTGATAGGTGGGTAATGTAGTAAAGTCCTCCTTCAAGCGACAATCCAGAATGGTGATAGGAGTCTCTAGATGAATGTGAGTTCTTTCAATTGTATTTACCATCTCAGGTGGCGCGCCGCTCGAGGATGGCTCACAATTGGGTTTGACGGCAGTAGAAGGTACAGACAGCTCAATGTCAATCTTCAGGTGGTGTAAAAAGTTCATCTCCTTAAAATAGGTTGTGTGGTTGAGCGTCAGGCAGTTTGGCAGTGTAAACATAAATTTGTATTGAAACGGATTGCTTCCTAAAGGGATGTGAGCATTTTTGGCGCTGAGAACTCTGCGAATTTGCTGAAGAGGTATATCAGAGGAAGGAATCATGGCTTGACTCAACTGCTCAGAATCCGTCATGTCAGTAACAGACGTCACCTGTAGCTTGAAATCGTGCAGTTCAGCTCTCCGTGCGTTATATTCAGGCACTTGATAGAGTCGCTTCTCCGTCAAGGTAACGTTGATGGCTTCAAGGCTGACATTCTTCATTTGCGTTGTGAGTACAATGGAGATGGGGAACTGCGTTCCAGACGATACGATCGACTTTTCAATGTAGATGGTGGCATCGCAAGCGTCAGTCTTTCTTTCGGCAACGATGGACGTTGTTGGAAGCGCATGAGATGCTATCACATCATCAGACCAGGAGAGCGTCCGAAGCAGCAGGATATTGCGACGACATCTGAGGTTGGGGATGCCTAAACCAGGTCTCTGAACAGTTGCAGAGACAAAATAGTAGACTTGAGCCATTTCATCTTCAATGGTTTCGACCATTCGATTGGGTATCAGAAATTCGAATGGCCAGCGGTTCAAGCCAGCGGGCAACATTTGGTCCTCCTCAGGCCTATTGTCCAGTATAATGTTCTGATCCAAAATGGTCTTTTCATGGTACACTTTGGATCCTCTGTTTCCCAAGCCTTCAGGCCATAGCATGTTTGATTTTCCAACCAACTTGACGAGGACTTGACTGGCAGTCATTGGTCTAGACAACATGAGTTCCACTTCACCTCTAAGCACATGCGTTGTAGGATCAGACGGAGGGCCCCTCAGCAGAACAACGGGTTCTGCCAATTCAATGGACAGTTGTCTACTACCAGTTAAAAATGGTACAGCAATAGGCATAGTTGTATCTACGCAAGCATATAGTATACAGGAAGAAAGGAAAAAGGTAAAAGGAAATTTAGAACATGAAAAAAATTGAGATATAATTGTGCAATTATGAGGCTATACTCAGTCGATCCTGTCCAGTCGAATTCCATCGGAACGGGATACAAAAGCATGTTAAACAGAAGCATTTGGAGTCTGTTCACTATGTCAAACCGGCCCATTTATGTGGCCTGATATGTACCTTGATTTATTCTGTGTACAAGGCACGCCGATTCTGCATCAAAAGTGGCATGAGAAGAAATAGAATGGACCCTGTCAAAACGTCAAAAAAGAAAGAGGATGCCATCTTACGATTGGCTAAACAGGGAATGAAGGTGGGAATATTTTATTTCAAATCCCGTTTTCTGTACGATGCTGCCATGGTTTCCTGTCAGTGGCTAGTTGACCATTGCTGGGGAAATAAGGTTTTAATTGTCGTATTTGCATTCCACAACTCGTCTGCCCAGCACGTCGTAGGCCCATCGAATGGCATCTGAACTAATTCTCTGGCAGTTGTTCAGTTTCAGCTTTTCAAGAGTTTCTCGATGTGCCTGCACTACTTGCTGTAACCCAACACCTGTGATGCTATTGCAATGAGAAAGGTCTAGTCTTCGTAATTTCTTGGTAACCGTCTGGATGTCACTCAACACACTGTCGGTGACTCCTGAGTTCCATGACATGCTCAGTTCTTGTATAGTTGGACACGACGATATGATGGTGTGCAGATTCCACTCTTCGAGAACAATCATCTTGTCAATCTCCAGCACTTCAAGACAGGGCAACCCCGGGTCCATAGCGAGCCGTGCCAGCGTGGTGTCCATCGAGGTACAGTCAAGCATTGAGAGATGCTTAAGGTTCTGGTATTCTTTTCTGATGACGCCGGCTAATAGCTCGCCTGTGAATGACATATCACCGCGTACACTACACGTTTCAAGCCCTGGCGTGGTGGTAGTCCTGTCTGGTAAAGGCCATCTTGTGTTCACTCTGTAATTGGATCCAACAGTATAGTGCATCTCTTTCAGATAGGGCATCGTCATGAGCTTGATAAATGCATCCCTGATGGGAACGTCGGTTGTCTTGACCTCCAACACGTTTACTCCTCTGCACTGGGCTAGTATCCAATTCAAGTTGGCCTCTCCGCTGATCGAAAGCCTCAAATGTGACACCAGGGAAGGCAGTGTATTTTGTCGCAAGTCTTCCATATCTCCTGTCTCTATGCCCAGCATAGACAGATGGGTTAGCAACGTACACCGTGGCAACACCTCTTTGAATACCGTAGCTACTTGTATATCGCATTCATCCACTCTCATGCTTTTGACATGCTTACCGACAAGTCTCAGCATGCGTGGTAGTGATGTCGTAGGTATCTCGCATCGTACAAAGTCTACTCGATCGAGTCAGTCTATCTAAATTTGGCTGCCACCACCGCACACAGCTGTGCTTACCCAGATCTTCAATGTATTGACAGTTTTCATCTATAAGCAATTGCAGTATCTTCTTCATCCTGTTTTGATCTGCATCCATCATTGCAAGGCGCCGAACGTGGCGTCCCTTGGCATAACCGAGGTACTTTTTGATGGTAGCATAAGAAACCTTTCTATCTCCAAAGTCCAGATCTCGCCACATGCCTGACCAGCCAAGCGCAAATCCTCTCCACGTCTGAGACACGCCAGTACATTGAATTCGTCGATCAAATGAGAGCATGGAGAATATAAGTGAAATAATGTCGTATGGTAGGATCCTCATAAAATCGAATGACGGTGGTGGTGATGCCTTCTTTTCTGCAATGGCCATCATAGATTTGATTTGCAAATAGCGCTTATCTTGTGAATCGACTCGAGTTAATGCTCGTTTGTAGACGCTCACGGCTTGCTTATGCTTTTGCTGGAGTGACAACACCTTTCCCGCTCTAAGATATCCTCTCGCTTCTTTGGGTGCTAGTTTGATGATACTCAGCGCATCTTTCAGAGCAAGATCAAGTTCATTGAGCTTCTCATAGGCGGCAGCGCGACAGTCCATGATGGTGATGTGATTTGGATACATACCGAGTGCTCTGCTGAAAAGTGCTACTGACTCTTTAAACTTGTTTTCTCGAAATGCTGTGTTTGCGTCAGAAAAGACCTGCTTCCATGGCTCTCCCGAGCTGTTGATTGCCGCTAGTTTAGGTTGTTTGATTTTGGATGGCTCTGCTGAAATTTGCTTCCGCTTGTACATTGTCGTGTTGTTTGATTCAAAAAAGATAAAAGGAGACTATTGCACAAAAGTGGCTTTTTAAAGGGAAGCACAACCTACGGAGTTGATTGATTTCAGCTGTACCTTGCAGGATTATCTTTCTTATTTAACCAATGATTTAGTTGCTAGCCTCTTCTTGAGTTCTTTTTATGTTCGTTCTGCTATCATATACTACACGGTTTGTAGTGGTATAAGGAAGATACAGATGCTCACGTTGAAAGACGCAGACGATTATACAAAACCGGGCAGCATTTAGTTTATTGAGATCAAAATTAGAGGCTTTATTGCTCACTCTGATCAAGCTTTTTCTCCCATGAAGCCTTTCGAGATACTTTCAAGAGGCTGACCATTTGTTTCAGGCACTTTATAATAGGAAAAAAGTAATGCCAAAGCAGCTACTCCTGCAAAGATAGCAAAGGAATACCCTTTGATCTTTTCGAAAATGAGAGGGAAACATTGTCCAATCAAAAAGTTTGTTGCATAGTTAAAGGCAGTGGCAACAGCACCAACTGCAGACGAGGCATAGACTGGCGATAGCTCTGAGGTCATCATCCAGGGCACAGGACCTACACCGATGGCAAAAGATATTACATAACCAAATACGGACACAGTCAAGAGTGGCCCAATGCTGTATACGTAGCCTATGACCAGCAAAATGGAAAAGATGCATGCGCCTATCTCGGCTGTTATGAGCAAAGGTCTACGACCCACGCGGTCAATTAAGAACAATGAAGCGATGGTAGATGCAAAATTAAAGACTGTTGAGACAATAGCCATATATTTAGACATGTCTGCGTCAAAAGACATGTTGAAGATTGTTGTGGAGTAATACATGACGGCATTCATACCAATCAACTGCTGAATACAATGTAGAGTAATGACAATCAAAGCGATAGGCCGAATTTGAGGGTCTGTAAATATGCCGATGATGTTCATTGGAGCTTGGGTACTGATCTTTTGTTGGCTGCTGATGTCTTCTACCTGAGTGCTTATAGATTTGAGGTCTTCCTTGATCTGAGACGAATCACATTCGTTGGGTACGAAAGCTCTGGCAGCAGCAGTTCCTAATTGACCCTCGAGCATCCCGAAAAATTCAGTATCAATGTTGGAGTTGTGTCGCAGCTTTTGAAGCGATTCCCTGGCTTCTGTAATGCAGTTGATGGAAATCAGATAACGAGGGGATTCGACACATGTAAACATCAGAATGAACTGTGCGATAGCAGGGATGGCTACAATAGTATAATTTATTCTCCAGAGAGGCACATAAGCTAGAGGAAGGCCAATGACAGAAGCAAGAAGGATGCCAATCACAATAGCAAACTGATTGCAAGCGCTCATTGCTCCTCTGAATCGACTAGTGGACACCTCACTTATGTACATAGGTGTACAAAGAGACCCAATTCCACATGAAATACCGCAAAAGATACGGCCAATGATGAACATAGCAGGGTTGACTGACACACCTATTAGCAGCGCTCCAAAGATCCAGCCAACAGTGTTGTATATGGTTGCATACTTGCGACCAAATTTACTTTGAAGAGCTCCTCCAGAGAGACCGCCAAAGATACCGCCAACGCAGAAAGATGCTACTGCAAATCCCCAGAGAGCATCATTCATCAAAAGACAATCAGGAAACACACTGCTGGCAATGTGTGATGTACCGTTTAAACAAGCATGAGTAACTTCTCCAGGCACATTGGCAGAACCGATAACCCAACCATTGCAGAATGATCCAATGGAGGAAACAAAAACGCAGTATATCATGTAGCGAGGTAACTTAAGATCAACTGATTCCATTGAATGATGTGATGAATTGATTTAAAAAAGATGATTTCCCATCATTCATTCGCAATTACCCTTATGTTTTTATAAAAGCCTGTCCCTTTATTACAAATCTAGATCAGTCGTTTTCATGAGTTGTGTTCGCATCAAGAACTTGTACCTGGTACAGACAGAAGATGTTTAGAGACAGCGGACCGATTTACTGCCGCGGAGATATCCTTTAAATATTGTGAGAAAAGATGCATTGCTGGTAATAGCTGATCAGATGTCGAACCAAGGACAATAAGTACCCGTGTTACACTTATGCATCTATATTGAAAACATTTTCTAACAAGACTAGATCTACCATCCGGCTTTACGGAACATATAAATTCTTGATCTAATAACATTCAATTGAGATCTCCGATGGCACTATTATTCACTTTGAATTACATCGTAATTTTCTATGTTGTTTTATTAGAGGTCAAGGGGAGAGTTGAAATTATTATATTTCAATTTTTATTACTAATAAATTTCTGCGATCTTAATTACATAAACATTGTGATATTTTCATTTTCTCGAAAACTTTGAACCTCACGCTGTACCCCTACTAGTATCACACGTTGATTAACGACTACTACTTTTCTCATACAGTAATGGCAGAAGGCTTTTCATTTCTTTTTACACTATTCCCATCATATATAACTTCGTTATGCCAAGTGGCTCATCTATAATTATAGTGTTCCGAAGCACTGTAGTCAAAGCCGCTAGGTGATAACATGCTTCGTTGTGGTGTTCATTGTTTATCTGATTTTTGATGAGATAGTTTTTGCGATATTTTGACTGTTTTCTAAAGATTAATCAGGATCTGTCATCAAAACATTTTGCTAAGCATTACTAAACATTGTAGATCAAAACATTTCCTGTCAAATGAGGTATTGCTTGAAGCTTTGGTATAACTCTATCATGAAATATTGACAATATTGTCCTGACCAAAAAAAGGTCCCAGTTTTTTCGCTTGCTATCACAGGCAGATTTTGAATAAAAATCCATGATTTTGCATAATACCCTTTTTTGGCCATATCTCAACAAATATTCATTAGATTTGCGCAAAACAAAAATAATTCAATAGCTCTACGTTATATCTAGTATAATGTAAGGGCTTTAAGTACCAAATGTACGTTCTCCTCATAAATTTGCCCAAAATCTTATATTTTATGAGCTACAAGCAGGGAATATTCAACTTTTTTATTATTTATCTACAATAGCCATACCATCGTATAGAGAATTGAAAAAGAAACAGAAGTTACTAAGCTTTAAGCTCATGTTCACTTATTAGTAAAATCCAGCGGCACAGCTGCTTAAAAATTAACCATTTTCTTTATTTTTCATCAGTACTTATCCGTATTACCGTTAATAGCCCCACATAAAGCTTGCTCTAGTCAGAAAAATAATTCTCTACAACTTTTACTATACATACGCTCTACATTTATATATTAATTCAAAAAGTTTTCTTAGTAACATCTACTTAAAATGCACCATTTTCTAAAATCACCGATTTCTCAGTAAACATGTTAGTTACCCAAATTTAGCTTACACTATCGTTACCTTGGCAAAAAACTGGTATAGAAACATGTTACTTTCAAAGCTCTAGCATCAGTATTTAGAAAATCGATTCTCGATCTTCCAAAAATTGAAAACCTCAAAATCAAAAAACATTTTGTACCTCCAGGACCTCATTGGTAAAAAAAAAATAGAATTTCATCAAACTTAATACATTGTGGAATAATTGTGGAATTTGAGGCTTAATAAGACTAAAATTTACGAAAAAAAAAGAATGAAAAAAGAATAAAGTCAACTTGATAAAGGTAGGTTTTATTATCACACTGACAGGTGTGATATATCATTTCTAAACCGAATCTCCAAATGCGTAGAAACAATCAGTTCAAGCGCAGATCACATCAGACTATAAACTTTGACACGTAACAGGATTCAGTTACGATTCGTATCATGGTATGTTTAGGATAATAGATCCAATCTATTATCCTATCACCCAAATCAACCCATCTAATACCTTATCCTCACATCAAATCCCTGAATTCGAACAGTATATAAACCTTCTTATTTCCAATGTAATAAGCGATATTCTTTACCTGATTAATTTCATACTCTTTTTATATATAATTTATTTCTGATAAATCAAGGTGTAAGGTAACCTGAAATATCTCTACTGGCAAGGTAGATGATCCTTCTTATATACTATAACAATGGATAAACATTCTATCAATTAAATTGACAAATAAGTCAATGTCGGAATACAAGTATAAGTCTATAGGGCCATCCATATCCGTTATGCCATCTACAGCCTATATCTTATAGTATGAATCTTATAGTACTAGTGTATCTGAAGTCCATATCTTATAGTATAAATCGATATCGTACATCTAATCCAGTGTACATACAGTTTATATCTAAATCTGGTAACTGGATGAACTGTCGGAACGCAGATCATAGTGGATGTATTCCACATCATATGCCAACATCTTAATGATGAATGCAACCGCAGCATTTTGCTTATATATGAAGGTCATGGCTCAACATTGGCATATCTGGAAGATTATCGATTTCTCAACAGTCATCAGCAAGTGCCCATCAACCTACAATTCAATTACATTGTTGCTTTTCTTGCAACGTTTCGTTATAGCATCATACTAATTTCAGAGTTCTAGCATCAGAAATTGGAATCGTCTTTATACTTTCAGAATTCGATTTGAGGCAAAAAACAGCAACCCATGCAATCGAAACTTGTTCAGAATCAATGATAAACAACGCAGGGGCATTTGGTACAGGAAGAAGCTGGTACCTAGTGCACTTACTGCTGTGTCTATTATATAACTTTCCCTGTATAATAAATTTAAAGAATGTCTCTTACATAGAACAGTTTAATGGATGATAGATAAAGTGCTTGCACCTTATCTTACTTTGAATAAACGAGGGTTTAAATTGTATTTATTTAGTTGTAGTTCTTTTATTACAATATTATATTAGGATAAATGTCAGATCAACATGGAATCTACTAGTTATAACTCTTCACCGTTTAGGTCTCTGAGCCAATCAAATCGCTTGAAAACTCCGCTGACCTAAAAAAAAATTTGCGAGGGTTTCCCCCTGTTTTGATGTGAGGCAAAATTTTAAGCGCCGCTATAATAACAATATAGCCGCTGCTATCATCAAACTTCCCTCAGGTGCTAGAGCATGCCTTACTTACACCACCTAGCTTTAGATTCTGGCATTGAGACCCTCAATCATCACTAAAGTAAGTAGCGATAACCAAGTGGAGGCAGCCTATCTACCTCCTAGCCTCGGATAAGGTCTTGTTGAGCTTCAGGGATAGGCACATCCACACAACGTAAAAAAGGTATGCTTCAAAAGAAACAAATAATAATAAAGGAAAGAAGAAAAGAACATACTACTATAGGAGTATAGTAGTACGTAGGCCAAAAAAAGGGATACTCACACAAAGTGGGTCAAAGAAAAGTATAACAAATACAACATCAGAAACGTTCAGAGCATCTCGTTGTTGTCGCAACAAAAACGCATACATGAGCAACATGCATAGGAATAATAGTCGTATGTAAAGCAACACAAACACGCACAACTGCAAAAGCAACAGTGGTATTATAACTTTGCAATAGAACATAATGACTGATAATGTTGTTTCATATGAATCCACAGAGGCAACACAACCAACAAAAGAAAAAGAAAACGCAACAAAACAAACATCATGATAAAATGCATTATCACGAGAAAGGAAGCAGTAATACAAACATTCAAAGAGGTTTTATATCATTGCGACCAGAGGAAAGAAGATACTTACCACTTACCACCATAGACAGACCAGAAGAGTATAGGCAGCCACCAGAGATAGACCAGAAAACAAGCATGCACCAAAGACAGTAGACCAGGAAAGACCATATTAGCAACAGCAACACCAGTAGCAACAATACCAGTAGCAACACCATTAAGCAACACCATATAAGCAACACCAGTAGCAACAACACCAGTAGCAACATCACCTGCACTATAGAAAAAACCAACGAACGAGCGACAGCAGAGACCAGGCAAAGACCAAAGAAGCAACCGCCAGAGATAGGGACTAAAGAAGCAACTACCAGACGTAATAAACAGAAGCAAACAGCAGAGGTAGCAGAGAGGTAACGGCAGCAGCACCCACATCAAACAGGCAAGAAATCACCAAAAGCTAATAAACAAATTCAATTAATGTTAATTCTATGCCTTCCAGTGCTCGTTATCGAACCGTGCCTAATATATTCCACTTCAAAGAAGCAGTATCAAGTTCTTCCAACGGTACATGACAGTGTTATCAGCAGTTAGGGTATTATTATCAATCGAACGGTTTCCAAAACAGCCATGGTTTGATACTAAACGCGTTTTGCAAAAGGAAAAAAAAACGGGCGTATGGAAAAATGAGAGGGCGTTCTATCCGACGTCACGGCCAGTAGATTTGGCCTCAGTCTTCTGCCACAGTAGCTGTCGCTGCGGCGCCCAAATTTGGATTCGTGCATTTGTCATTTTTGTGTTCCAGTTTGACTTGATCTGACATCCTTCAAACGTTTTTGCTAAATTTGACTATGAAAATTGTCGTTGTTATACTTTACTTTCTAATACATCTATAAAGTGTCAATGAAGGCGCATCGAATGATGCTGGCTCCATTCAGCTTCCACACCAACAATAATGAGCAATTTGCAAAAAATATGAAAACAGGTTTTCTGTGGATATGTCAAAATCTAGCATATACAAGTCTCATAGAAAGAGTTTCCAGCGTTGCATTCCATCTTTACAGTCAATTTGATCTGATATGTATCATAAGAAAAGTCTTCATTTTCGAGGTGAAAACCGCGATCGTTTGATTTTCAAGAATTTTTTTTTGGATGTTGCTTATTTAATAGTAGGTATACAAATATAATAACATAAAATGATGGACAAGTGTATGTAACAAAGTGAATTGCCATATATAATATCTAATTAAGCTATTACTTATATTAATGCTTGAGATCTGACAATCTCATCGCTTCGGCACAAACCTTGGTGGTGACATAGTTGGTATCAAAAGGCATTCCTTCGAATGTATGTAGGAGGTGGAATCTCCATATCATACGAATGGTGGCAGCAAACAGGTCGAAGATTGTAATCTTGATGTCGAGATTGTAGATGAAGTATGTCTTCAGGTTCAAATTGACTATAGATTGGTATACTTGTTGTGGATTGGCAACTTTGGGATATCCCAAGAATTGTTCAGAGATGTTGGACCAAATGTCGTTTTTGTGGGGGCAGCTAACCATGAGATGTTTGATATCTTCAGTATCATTGCAGAGGGTACATTTGTCATCTTCAACGTTCCTCAGGTGTCGAACGAAAAGAGCTGATTTACTTGGGCATTACTTATGGATCATTCTATACCAGACATTTCTCACAGAGTGGTGCATGTTTTGATGATAGAAGTGTTTCCACTGGACTTTGCTGATGGTATAATTGAACTTTCGTCCAGCATCAAGGTTGTGTATGTCCAGCATAGTTGATCTCAAGTCTTTGTTCGCCATTCGAAGCATTGGGCGGTCTTGGTAATTAAGCATAGCAATGAAAGGCTGTAGATCTAGATGAGCCTCCATGTTTCTTGTATCTGCGAAGGATTTCAATTTGATGTTTCCACAAAGAAGGCCTCTTTCTATCTGGTTCCTGATGTTTGGTCGCTTGCATTCACTTCTTGACTTTAGCTGCAGAGTACTTGTTTCCTAATCGATGTGGAAGAAGTCGTGAACTTTGCTCTCCCTGATCGAGTCTCTGCTTGTATATCCCATAGCTACTTCCTCATTGCCAAAATCTAGAATTTCCAGCACTGGCAATAACAAGAGTGTCATGACATTTGGTTTGACAGACCAATCTAGTGAGAGTGGAGAGTGCTTCATACAAGTATCTATTGCCGCGAACATCATGTAATAAGGGTGAAAGCCTCTTAACTGGTTCTTGTATCTAGCCGTTTGGAACAGTATAGGGATTATGTGCGATGATGGTGAGTCGTGCGACATCTTCAAATAATCCACTAGTAGCCTATAAGTGATACCAGATATGTTGTTGCTGCTTTCTGTCAGCAAAGCGTTCAGATATCTGAATTGCAGAACATTTTGTTGCGCCATTATATCAATCAGTTCTTAACCGCCTTGATACCTTGGTAGGAAGAGAGAATTGCCCTTTAGAGGTGGATACAGGCCAGACATTACAAACTGATAAATGATTGAGGTTATATTTTTGAGTGTGTTTTTGGGCAGGGAAACGATCCGAATGACATGCCATAGTTTGGACAATATCATAGTGTTGACAATATTCGCTCTGCCGTACAGTGAGATTTGTCGTGCTGCAAACCTTTCAATAGCAGTAGTAATATCACCCAGAAGTTTAGCAATGTATACGTCTCTTTCTTGACTGCAGAACCAAATTGGATAACCTAGGTATTTTATAAATCCTGTAGACATAGAATCATACCATTTGATTTTGAGATTATTTGTTGCATGATCTTGAATTAGGCCACCAGTTTGGCTTGTCATTCTTCCACCATGAAGAGGGAAGGCTACGGACTTGTCGTAGTTGATCTTGGAGCTCGGGGTCTTGTTGTAAGATTCCAATCTTTCTTCCAGATCAAGAAGTTCAGCCCGAGATTTAACGAATGTCAGGACATCATCCGCATGTGCGAGTACTTTCAATGGAGGAGGAGCCACCCAACTGTTTGCTCTCTTGCTTATAGGCTTGGCGTGTTGGAGACTATACCCCGAGATAGTTGTACTTTTGGTCACAGATAGCTGAAATGGTTCAATAGTCAAGTTGAACAGCATTGGTGATATACTGTCTCCTTGTCTGATGCCCCGTCTTTGCTCGATAGGATCTGTTAAAAAGCCATTGACATTCACGTAAATTGAGTTGTCGAAGAATAACTTGCAGATGCATTGGACAAACTGTTTTGAAAAACCAAACTTCACTAGGACCTTGGATAGATAATACTGGGGATTCACCCTATCATACGCTTTGGCGTTGTCCAGCAAAATCCCAGCATATTCGACAAATTCTCCAGAGTTGTTCCATCTTGCTTCACGTGCATTGTCTACAATCACTTTCAATGACATCCCATGGTCTCCAATGTATCTACCTCTCAGAAAGCCACTTTGGTGGAGGCCTATAAGGTCACTTGCTACCTCTATGACTTGTGAGTAAAGTAGTCTGGTAAAAACTTTGCAATCAGAGGCTATTAGGGTTATTGGACGGTAGTTGCAAAGGTCAGTCATATCCCCTTTCTTTGGTAGCAGCACAATACATGATTCCTGCCAGGATTTTGGAAATTTGCCTAGTGATAAAGCATCGTTGAACACTTGCAGAATAATCGCTTCACAGCTTGGGTTGATAACTAGAAGGTGCAATATTTCGTAACATATACCATCCAGGCCCGGACTACTACCATTTGGCGTTCTTTGAGATCCTTGAATGATATCTTCGTAAGGTATGTCTTCAATGATGTCCTGTGAGTCCTCAGCTGGAATTGTTTTGTCGATTGTGTGGAATACATCCACTATGATCTGCATTCCGACAGTTCATCCAGTTACCAGATTTAGATATAAGCTGTATGTACGCTGGATTAGATGTACGATATCGATTTATACTATAAGAAGATATGGACTTCAGATACGCTAGTACTATAAGATTCATACTATAAGATATAGGCTGTAGATGGCATAACGGATATGGATGGCGCTATAGACTTATACTTGTATTCCGACATTGACTACGTATGTTTACCATATCTGGATAAGCACCAAGATTAATGCAATATGAGCTTGTTGCTTCAGATGTGCACTTTATGATCCACGCTATAAGACACATGCTTATATCCGTGATACTAGCTACAGATACTTTATGTACTACAGACTTGTACTATATATAAGACATGCTATAGACATGCATACGATATGCTATAGACATGCCATATATCCAAATACATGCTAAAGATGTATGCTTAGCGATATACACTCAGATATGTACTATTAATATAGACTAAGAAGACTGTACCTATCGGATACATGCTACTAGATCGATATTAATTATCCTTATAGAAAGGATAGATCAGGGTACTTCGGATGAGAGTCTAATTATTCATCCAGACAGAGCTAAATCATGATAAGCTTGCTGGAGTTGTCTTTTAGCATGATTAGACATTAGTTGATCTGAGTTGACTTATTTGTTAATCTAATTAATAGAACTTTTATCCATTGTTATAGTATATAAGAAGGATCATCTACCTGGCCAGTAGAGAGACTTCAGTTTACTTTACACCTGTCAGTTTGATAATAAAATATACCTTTATCAAGTTGACTTTACTGTTTTTTTTATCCTTTTTTTTCCCGTGAATTTTAGTCTATCAAGCCTCAAATTCCACAATTCCAAAGGATTGGGAATTAGAACACGTATGGTTGGCAAGAACCATAAGGTCATTGAAATCAACTTCCCAAGCCAGGAAGATTGCGAGGAGGCTCTGAACAAGGAACTCGTCTTACAAGGGAAGATAATCAAGGTGAACAAGGCTTTGGACAAAAATGCCAACGTCCTCAGAGTAGGTGTCTCTGAGCTTCCTTACAAAACTGAAGAAGTTTTGAAGCCTTTGATGGTGAAGACTTTCCAAAAATATGGGGACATTCTCAATCTTGGTCTTAGCTATACCAAGGATGGTGATTGGTTTACTGGTCGCGGTTTTGTCACTCTAAATAGGGACAAATTAAAGAGTTATGCAGCTGAACTTACCCCTCAGATCCAGTTTGGAGATTTCAAGGAGAAGCTACATTTGGTTTGGAGTAACATGAACCCAATTTGTCAAGACTGTCACACTGATGATCATATCAAAGCAGATTGTCCTCGAACAAAGAGGAAAGCATGTTTCCGATGCGGAAGCTGGGAACGTCTCATCGCCGGGTGTCCATTAGCCTTATGGTGTTAAGCACAAAGAATAAAAGGATTATTATTTGTAGCTTATAAAAAATGTTCGATATTATAAAAACAAGAAAAGACTTATTTGAATAAGATCAGACACAAAAACTAAATATTTATTGATGAAGACAAGAGTTATTCTATTTATACTAAGCTCTGAATGCCAAAGTAGCAATTTATCTTGTACAACGCTTATCACATCTGGCGAACCTCAGCATTTAGGTAGCTGAGATGCACTTCAATTATCATAGCATGTCCATGTTGTTGCACAACACAGACATATCTACCCATCAAAAATACCTTAATCTTTATAGACAGTTGTAGCCCTTCTGATACAACACGGGTGGTTTATGAGCTTTCACGTAGCACATTTTCGTTAACTGCTTCAAGGCTTCTACAATTATCCAGTATTCAGGATTATTAAGGCTTTATTGCTTTGGCATTTTCAAATAACTATAAACACATTCGAGATTTACATTAGTTTTAACCCTCATTCATTCTTGAAATAACATGATAAATATATTCAGTTTTAATTATATTTCTTCTCTCTATATTATTCTTAACGCATTTTTTTCTCGCTAAATTTGGCTGTACGAACATGCTACTTTCAAAGCTCTGATGTAAATAGTCTAAGATTTGATTGTGGATGGTGGCGTAAATCTTATGACAAAAGGTACTTTTATACATGTGAAATCGTTGATATGAAGCAAACGTTAGCAACCCATTACATTGAGACATGTTGGAAAATACTGATAAACAACGCATGCTTGGCGGCGGGACATCTGTTATTAAGTCCTCTTGGTCCTTGAAGTAGTATTGCATTATTGTACTTGTATATATGGGTTTCCTCCAACCACGTAATATCAAGTTTAAAGAACACTCACTCACATGCCACAGTTTAATGCATGTTAGATCAATTGATTGCACCTTATTTTATAGTTTTAAACAAAGGACGACATAAATTGGATCTATTTGATACTCTTTTTATTACAAATACACAATTATAATACATGACAGATCAATAGGAAATCAACTAGTTGTAGCCCATCGTTGTTTCAATCCCTGAGCCAATCAGATTGCTTGAAAACTCCACTGACCTAAAAAAAATTTGCGAGGGTTTCCCCCTGTTTTGATGTGAGGCAAAAATTTAGAATCCAATATATTTAGCAATATAGCCGTTACTATCATCAAACTTCCCTCAGGTGCTAGAGCATGCCTTACTTACACCACCTAGCTCTAAATTCTGACATTGAGACCCTCAATCATCACTAAAGTAAGTAGTGATAACCAAGTGAAGGCAGCGTATCTACCTTCTAGCCTCGGATAAAGTCTTGTTGAGCTTCAGGGATAGGCACATCCACACAACGTAAGAAAAAGGTATGCTTCAAAGAAACATAATAATAAAAAAAGAAAGAAGAAAAGAACATACTGCTATAGGAGTATAGTAATACGTAGGCAAAAGAGGGATACTCACACAAAGTGAGTCAAAGAAAAGTATAACAAATACAACATCAGAAATGTTCAGAACATCTCGTTGTTGTTGCAACAAAAATGCATACATGAGCAACATGCATAGGAATAATAGTCGGATGTAAAGCAATACAACCAACAAACGAAGAGGAAAAACGCAACAAAAAAGTAAACGCCATGAATGCAGTAACATAATGAGAAAGGAAGCAATAATACAAACGTTCAAAGAAGTTTTATATCATTGCGGCCAGAAGAAAGAAGATACTTACCACTTACCATCACCGTAGATAGACCAGAAGATATGCAACCACCGGATATAGACCAGACAATGAGCTTGCACCAAACACAGTAGACCAGGAAAGACCGTAATAGCAGCAGCAGCAGCAACACCAGTACCGTAGACAAACCAAAGAACAAGCGATACCAGCAGAGACCAGACAAAGGCCAAAGAAGCAATCACCAGACATGATAAACCAAAGAAGCAGGCAGCAGAAATGGCAGAGAAGTAACGGCAGCAGCACTCAAACATGCAAGAAATTATTAAAACCTAATAAACAAACTGAATTAATGTTACTTCTATGCCTTCCAGTGCTCGTTATCGAACCGTGCCTAATATATTCCACTTCAAAGAAGCAGTGTCAAGTTTTTCCAACAGTACAAGACAGAGTTGTCGGAAGCTAGAGTGTTATTATTAATCAAACGTTGTCCAAAACCACCATAGCTTGATACTAAAACGCGTTTTGCAAAAAGGGTAAAAAACGGAGGCATGGAGGAATGAGAGGGCACCCTATCCGACGTCATGGCCAGTAAATTTAGTCTCAGCCTTGTACCATAGCAGTAGTAATTGCGGCAATTTAATTTGAAATTGTGCAGTGGTATTTTCGTGTTCAAACTTGACTTGATCTCACATCCTTTAAAGGTTTTTGCTTAATTTGACCATGAAAACTGTCGTTGTCACATCCAACTCTCTAATACATTTCTAGAGGACTAAAGAAGCCGCATCGAATGGTGCTGATTACTTTCAGCTTTCACACCAAAAATAATGAGCAACTTTCAAAGATATAAAAACAGGTTTTCTGTGAATATGTCAAAATTTTGCATATGAAAGTCTCATAGAAAGAGTTTCCAATGTTGTATTTCATCTGTACGAACAATTTGGTCTAATATGTATTATAAGAAAAGTCTTCACTTTTGCCGTGAAAAACGCGATGGTTTGATTTTCAAAAATTTTCCCTTGCTAATACTCATAGAAAAAACGATGATTTTCATGAATTTGCAATGACCCAAAAAAAAATTGAGATAAAGCATCAAGAAGTAAAGCGTGGCCAAGAAGAGACGTTTGGCCCTATTCCGAACGTTCACAACGCTCAGTAGCATGAGCTATTCGTGCTTCAAAATCGCTAGATTTGAACAGAATCTGACCTAAAAATAAAGTGTAGTAGCTTGTGTTGCCAAAAGAGCAAGTAAATCACAGCTCTGTTTAATGACCCAGATGTTCTGCATTTCGCAAATCTTAATTTCCAAGTGATTTTGGTAACCATCCTAGTGGGTTTGGTTGATTAAATCTCTCATTTGCTCTTTGACAATCATTTAGTCGACAGTTTTTTTCTTCAAAAGTCCCTCAACTACGAGACCTAAATCAAGGTGACCTCATCAGCACTATCTCATTTAATCTTGCATTTGAGCCGCTGCTCAGAAAGATTCTCCACAATCCTGAACCACCCGGCTCCCGGTTTCCCCCCTGGTTAGGAGGTTTTCTGAGTACTCATCTCTTCTATAGCTCTAACACTCCACCAAATTATCCTCTACAACCACTAGACCACGCCATCAGTCTGCTTTTTTACCGGACGCCAACCAACCATTTGTAAATAACACGAGAGTTCTTGGTCACTGTTAGTTAAAGAAATGGAGGATAGACTTCCAAAATATTTCTCATCCACAATCATCAGTGCGTCTACTAGTTTAGATATCCCTCTGAACTCGTCTTTCATGACCTAAAAATCTCAGCGCACCTTATGACCAGTTGCCAGCCTCCATCGCATACACTTTCGATCCAACAGCGGGCCACTGCCTTTGTCCCTAAACTTCTCGAGAGATCTCCTCCACTCCAAAACTTGCCAAAAAGTTCTTGAAGCTCGTCAGGCAAGATCACATCAAGCTCGTAATTTTCTCTGTCCTTATGATTATTTATAAAAGGTTCGCAGACTTGGGCCGTTTTCCTTTCTTGCCAGTTGAGAATAGCCGCATATTAAATGCCTCGCCGTTTGCCCAAGCTATTTTCTCCTCGTTGTCATCTACATCCCATGTTCACAAGCACCGTCTTTCCACTAAATCATACCGGAAACTTTGCTCGCTGATAAAACCAAGACCACCTGTCTCTATATGCACAACAAACTCTGACAATCACCATTTAATTATCTAAACAAGCTAGCAACCCAAGTATTATAGTAGCACATTATTGAAAAGTGTAAACCCTTGTTTTTCTACCTATAATATAGACGTTATGCCGTAATTAAACAAATAAAAAAGTTGCATTGGCTGTTAAATAATGATTAGGTCTGCCCCCATTATTGTTCTTCAATTTATTAATACAATCAGACATTATCATTGTTGACCTGCTCCATGATAATCGAGTACCTCGGCAAGAAGTAACATGAGTTGAACTATTCTTGTACCAGATTAACATTAATTTATAAGAGTTGAACTTGTTGACAAAACCCTTTCCGTCTTCTTTGGACAGCGATGATTTACAACGGCCATCCTGGCTGCTCTACATATCATACTATAAAGTAGGAGTAGTCTTATTGTTTGCGTTTCGGATGCAACAAAATGATAGGAACCAACTTTTTAAAAGAAGCAGCAGTGACAGTGATGATATCGATTGCAAATCTAAAAAGGAACATGGGAGCATACCATCCAGAAGCATCAAAAATCAATTTTCGAATCGTTATTCATCTTTCCAAAGAACAGCTGGTGCGACTTTAATTAAGGCTGTAATATTGAGACAAAAAGAGACTGTCTATAGTACTTATGCTCCAACAGAGCCATCTTGCTTGAGTTTATCTACCTTTTCCTTTGAATAGCCCAAGACTTCAGTCAAAATTTCATTTGTATGAGCACCTAAAAGAGGAGGAGCCAGACGAATGCTCGTTTCAGCTTCACTGAACTTTACAGGAGGACCGACCATCTTGATTGTGCCTGCTCGCTCATGCTCAACTTCGTGCACCAAGCCTCTTGCTACGATTTGAGGGTGTTGGAATGTCTGTTCAATGTTGTTGATGGGAGCAAAAGGGAAGCCAGCTCCTGTAAGCTTCTCCAGCCAGTAAGATGTATCTTCCTGCTCTAAACGATCCTCCAGCAAACGAATCAATTCCTTGCGATGCTTGACACGATCCGAATTACGCTTGTATTTAGGATCTTCCAAAAGATGTTCAAGGCCCATACGATGACACAGCTTGGCAAATTGACCATCATTACCAGCACCAATCATGACAAATGAGTTTTTGGTAGGAAGTACTTGATAAGGTACAATGGAGGGATGAGATGTGCCCATGCGCTTGGCTTCTTGTCCGCCGATCAGATAGTTGGAAGCAATGTTGGCTAATGATGCTACTTGAGATTCGATCAAAGAGCAGTCGATATGTTGCCCTTTGCCAGTAGTTCCACGCTGGATCAACGCTGCCAAGATGGCACTGTGGGCATATAAGCCAGTTGTGAGATCTAATGTAAACTGTTAGAGATCGAGCCTGAAATGGACACAGTCTGGCTTACCTGTGATAGCAACACCTACTTTGACAGGAGTGCCCTCGGGCTCACCGGTAATGTGCATTAAACCAGCTTCAGCCTAGTATCATCCAGCCAGATCAGTACCTCTCTTTGCCTGGTTGTATCATAACTTACCTCAATAATAACATCGTAACCAGGTCTATTTGCATAAGGGCCTGTTTGTCCGTAACCGGTAATGGATGCATATATCAACTTGGGATTGATTTTGCTCAGCTCTTTATATCCCAAACCCATCTTCTCAAGCTTTCCTGGCAAGTAATTCTCGACGAGAATATCACTCTCCTTTACCAGATCATGAATCAGTTGACGTCCGCCTTCTGATTTCATATTGACAGTGACAGATTTCTTGTTGCGATTGACACATAAAAAGTAAGCGGATTCACCGTGAGATAAATCTGAGGCGTCCTTATTGTCTGCGAATGGTGGGCCCCAAGCTCGAGTATCATCGCCACCATTGGGGTTCTCTACCTTGACTACATCAGCACTACATTGAGCGAAAGTTGAATGAGGATATTTGTCTCAGTGTATCCAAACGGCTGTATATACATTACCCTAAATCACCCAACATCATAGTGCAGTATGGACCAGCTATGCAATGTCATTAGTCGACCTGCTCGGTATCTTTGATTCAGATATATACCCAATACTCTTGTCAAGTCTAAAACCCGGATCCCTTCTAACGGGGCACGACCGGTTGACTTAGAAGGCTGATTAAAGTCCCTGAATTGAATGGTGCAGGAACTGAATGTGCGTTGAACTAGCAAGTTCTTGACAGGTCTTGATCTCGAAAAAAATCGGCCGGTGTGGAGAATGGATGTAGCAGACATGATGGATACACTAAAGAAAGCGTGAAAGAGAGGAAAGTAGAGAACAAACACATCAAGTTACAGTTTCATATTTAAGTCTTATGAGATTATCGGAACCCCACGATCAATTGTTAGGTCGAGAAACGCATGAAACTTTTCCCGTTTCAAAAGGTATATTCTATTTGTCATTTAGTGTAACAATCTCATTGCTTAAAGCAGACCCTGAGAATTTGCATACATTGTTGCCTTTAAAGTAGTTATGACAGTAGTAGAGTTTATTTCATCATCTAATCCAAGCAGATCAGCACAAGCTGTGATTCCGTCAGGACCAAAAGGGCCCTTTCATGCACAACTTGTGCTCCCATAATATCCACATCATGTCCCTGCGTCAAATCCACCAGCGTTTGCACTTCTTCCAAGCGCTTGTCGTCATGATGGTAGTATAGATAGGCGTTTCGGCTGCTTTCAATGATAGAGGCAAAGTGCAAATCAGCGTCGTGGTGAATGAATCGAGCATCGCGCTTGGATGCTTGAACGAACGCAAATGCGTCCAATGTAGCTGTATGTTCGATTTGAATCTTATCCTCCACCTCGGTCAGGGTAAACACGAGCCCGTCTACATCCATTTGAAGGCAAACAGAAGGAAGCTTGTGTGCTGCTTCATATGAACTGCAAATCCAGCGAGAGGTGCCAGAGTTGAACTCGTCTACCACGTTGCCACAGCGGTCATACACGCCAAACACAACCGGTTCACCAGCATCATCGACATCTTCATCCATATCCGTTGCTGCTGGATGCTGAGCTGCTTGCACAAAAGAGTGATTAGGGACCAAGGATGAGGAAGTATTCTCAGATGTTAGTTTGGCTAATCTATCTTTGATTTCTGACAAGTGTTGGTCAGAGAGTGTTTCCAAGACACCATCATCCTTGTCAAACAATTGCGGCCAACGCGTGTTTTCATCCACCTTGGTCATGCAAAGTGTCAGCATATTGTCTTCTAGTGTCCAAAGAGACTCGTCAGGCTGTATTGTGCTCCATAACTTGCGGAATGGGTAAGAAATCGAGCTGTTCTGGATTAGCAGACTCACATGATCCACCACGAATTTACAGCTGATGGCTGATTTAGGCGTGTTCTCTGGCAGCTTGAATTGCACAGTGATGTCAGCACCCTCTTGACTCCATTGATAGGCATCATGCTTGGGCAGATTCTCTACAATGTCCATTGGCGTTGTTGTTCCGTCCTCAGCACTACCATCGTCGTCTCTGTGCTGCAGTAACTTGATCTTGTTGTAGCGTACTTCGCTGCCAAAAATGCAATTGCCAGAGGGCGTGATAGCGCAGTAGACAGGCACTTCTGGTCCAGTTTGAATGTGCAATGTTTTGAGCAGCAATACAAATGATCCATCATCTAGCCTCTCGGTGGTGTCGGTAGGAATGTCTAGTTCTAGTGTGGCAATATTGAATTCGGTGGTCTTTGATGCTGTGCGACTGTATACGACGAGTACTATTTTGGTTTTGATTTGACGAGCTGCTAGTAGCATGCATGGCACGGGTGAGATGCCTTCATTTCCTACGCCCAAGTAACATACTGATGCGAGTGAAGTTCCCAGCATCTTTCCGCCCTTTTCCTCCATTCCAATCAATTCAATGTCGCCTACGCCGTTGGATGCCAGCAGTAATTCGCGGCTGACTGATACAGCTGAAGGCAGTTGGGGCTCGATTGGCACAGTGCTGTCGAGGTTCACAAATGCTGGAACACCTCCCAAAGGCTTGATCAGCTGTGTGATTAAATACGTCTCTAGGCTTCTGGTCAACTACGCAGAGTATGATCATCAATATATCCATGCGTGTGCCAATCTGAATGCTTTCCTACCTTGTCATAGACAATCATGTGCAAGTTGAACTCCTGGTCAATGCAGAATGACGAGCCTCTATGTTGGTCTAGAGGATGGCCATAGATCAAATTGCTGTATCTAATCCTTGCTTGAAGGTCGCGGAAACCAAGTCTTTGATCGTTCGTGGGTTCGTACACTTGAATGCCTTCAAGTGGAACTCGGATGAGGTTGGTTGCTTCTTGAAACGGACGCAGTTTGTAGCCTTCAAACTTGAGATTGAGCTTGTCTGCGTTTGGCGTGAATCTTGTATTCATGTTGTTGATACAGATAAAAAGATAGTGTTGACATGGCGTCGTTTTCCCTTTTACCTCTCCGCCTTGTCTCACCATGAACGCGTTGCTTCAAAATGTGCAATGATGATGGTTTTCCTCCTCTTTATTACTCCATCAGCTGTTGAATATGGCCACACCTATGGAAGATGTACAGCAGTATCTCTATGAAAACATAAAAGATGACCACGACCTCAACTTGAACCACATCACAAATCTTCTGGAATCCCGCAGAAACGAGCAAGCCAATCTGGATCCTCAGGTAAGTGCGCTTTATCCATGAATGAGCGTGGCTATTTATCAGCATCAACAGCTTCAAGCCTTGGAACAGGAGACAAAGAGCATTTTGTCACAGACGATGGAAGCAACAAAGTTATGCGAATCAACCTTGAGCCGCTTGAACACCTCGTTGACGACAACAGAAAGAAATATTGACAGTTATATGAGCGAATCAACTGGAAACACTCCTAAAGCAAACCTTCTCGAGCAATTGACAGTATTGGAAAACAAGCTCAAGGCAATCGATAATGCAAAGAGCTATATCAAGGCACTGCTGGTTGTCAAGGAATTAAGGTGAGAGGGCAACTTAAATCAGAAAACGCTGGCTAATGTTCTGTGAGATAGCTCCCAAGCACTGAATCTCGTAAAGACAGAGCCTGAACGGGCCATTATACCTTATTCACAACTTTTAAAGTTCGAGACGTACATCAACGACCAATCCAAGCAACATGAGCAGTACGGTGCATTATCAGAGCATGTGCAAAAGAGCCGAATCCGTCTTTGCGAAGAACTGGATGCAGTGTTGACGGCCGACTTTAAGCAGACCTTGGATAGCTTGTCATGGCCTACGCCCATGAAACCACCTTATGGGCCTCAACTCAAAGCAAAACTCAAGGATTTTGAAAAGGCATTCCACAATTTACTCTTGCTAAAGAAGCCGTAAGTAACTATCTATGGATGTTGATTATCATTATGCTCAGCCGCAGACAATATGCAGATCAGAAAGCAAAGACGACATTCTTAGCCCAATTGCCGTCATGCTGGAAGGTCTTTCGTTGAGATTTCGATTTCACTTTGAGACATCCAAGCCAACGAATCGCATCGATAAACCAGAATGGTATTTGCAGCATGTCAAGAATACGATCTCTACCCAAATGCCGTTCATAATGACCACAATTCAGCCCATCATGGAAACGATCAAACAAGACAAAGTGATTTACGCCAAAGATCAGTTCATTCGCGGCTTATTGCAGGACGTTACAAGAAAACTGGAAAAGACAATGCCAGAATTACTGAACCACCCCAACTGGCTCAGTCATACAATCCATCAAGTGCTGCAATTTGACAGATCTCTGCAGGAAGAATTTGCTTACGATCAATACGCTGCACTGTCCAATGTGATTCTGGGCAACTCGGCCTGGTTCAATGCTTGGTTTCAAGCTGAGAAGTCATGTAAGTGTGTGTGTGTGTGTGTGTGTGTGTGTGTGTTGAGCAACGCAGTCTATTCAGACTTGCTGACAAGAATGCATATATGCTAGTTGCCCAAGCCAGATACGATGAGATTTTGCTAGACAATCAAGCATTTAACATTTATGCAGAGGATGATTTCGAAAAATCGCAACAGCAATCCAATGGCAAACCCATCAAGCGCACTAAATCAGCTGTGCGACTGATCAACCTCTTGGAAAGCATCACAAATACCTACAGCGTTATCCCAAATCTTGTCCAAAAGTTCAAGTTCTTTGCCGATATTCAGCTGGATCTGCTGCAGCAGTATCAAAAGCGTTTGTCTGCAGCCATTGATTCATTCGAAGCACTTAGTTTGATTCGATCAGTCCCTGTGCCAGGAGCACTACCAGAAGCAGTTACCGGCGTCATGACAGCCACTGAAACAGGAGGCACGGTATCAGCATTGAATCGTTTGTACAGATGGTGGACCAGTGCTAGATCCATCAGTGACGTGTTGAAGGACTGGACAGAAGAAGAGGTGCGTTGTATAGAGGGTTGTGTGATGGCAGATAGTAATCCTAAAGTAGCTGTTTCTTGATATGCAATACGAGATCAATCAAGAGCCTGCTTGTATCAAGGAGATTATACGTGAAAATGAAAAGAACAACTGCATGCTGCAATTATCAAATCAGCAGACTGACGGATTGTTCTCCAACGCTTTGATTGCGTACGAGCAACTGAATAAACGATCAGAGAAGATTATCGTCAAGATTGCCATCAAAGAGTGGACCACAGAGACGAGACAATATGCGAAAAAGTAAGGAGATGACTGCACTGTGGGTGACATGTTGATGGTTAACTTGAATGTGTCCTATAGGGATGTTTGGTGGCAGTCGTCCACCGAGACACCAAGCGAGATTTCGGATGAACTGTATAGACCTCTTCAAGATTTACGAGTGACATGGAACTATTTGTACAATACTTTACCGCAAGCAGACTTTTTGGTTGTATATCGCAAAACACTCAAAGAGATTGAAAACTGGTACTGGAAAAATATCATCACGCAGAGCCAGTTTTCTACGACAGGTGCCTGTCAATTAGAGACTGATCTGACGCAAGGATTATGGAAGATAGGACAAAAATGGGTGTCCAAGCCAGAGAACTTTATGAAGAGGTAAGACCATTGCTTTTGGTTGCCATGGCGACGATTCATTTTCAATTTTTATAGGTTGAAGGAGACGATACAACTGCTGACATTGCCATTTTCATCAGAACAAGACGATATTCCAGCCTGTGATGTTCTCATGAAAGCGCTTACAGACACCAAGCAGCTAGAGCTTGTGCAAAATACGCTTGCAAAACTAGGAATCGAGGTATTGAGCAATGGTGAAATCCGTGATGTGCTTCGAAGACGAAATGACATGTTGTACAGCTGGAACTGATTTCTGAAATAAACAGGACGAGCTTTACCAGTGCTTTAAATCTGTCCCTTGTTTTCTTTCTCTGTGTTTCTTTTCCTCTTTTTCTTTGCATTATAAATTTACCATGTCTACAGACTTAACACCACAGTATACCGAAGATTTCTTTGCCAATGCTCAATCAGCCATGGATGATTGGCACTACGAGATGAGACGAGAGATACAAGAGATTGTTGTAAGTTGTCGAATAGCCTGATGTTTCGCTCTAAACACACGCATTGACAACATGAATACTCTGTTACAGCCTGGCCTCTATTTGGGCCCATTTTCAGCTTGTCGCCAAATTGAAGAGTTAAGAAACAATGGCATTACACACATTGTCTGCTTTGTCGACCAGAATGAGGCAAGGCTATTCCGAACGGACGCATTGTCACAATACTTTGGATTTCAAAAGTTTATCGTGAGTGATTCCAATCTCCAAAACCTCATACAGTTCTTCCCAGACACATCTCGCTACATCCACAATGTGATTTCACAGCAAGGAAAAGTGGTTGTTTGCTGCAATGGTGGCATGTCACGTAGTCCGACTTTTGCCATTGCGTACATTATGGAAAGATACAATATCGATGCTTCACAAGCTTATCATTTCGTGCAAGCAAAGCGACTGTGTATCAACCCAAACGATGGATTTAAAAGCCAACTCAAAGTAAGATATTGCTTCAACGTGAATAATGCATGAATTTATTCATGAAAACGTAAAACCAGGAATATGAGCCTATATACAAAGCTCGTCAAACTCAATCTGTGAATGAGGAAGACGACGGATTGAAGAGAAGACGGCGACGATCAGGACCCGATGATGATGAAAATGGCAATGCAAGCGGTGAACAACAGAGCTATGGGGAATCAAAGAGATTCTTCGGTTTAGAGGAGCAACAACAGAATGGTGTCAATGCTAATTTAAATGCAGGGTATTCATCGACCCTATTGTAAAAAAAAAAAAGAAAGAATAATAATGTATAGTAATAATCATAATATGTCGAATAAAGGCAATGTAAAGATTTCAGTCATCGTCGCTTTGATTCTATTTTTTCAGAATCTTGTTGGTATCAGCATCATTAGCACTCAGCAATCCTAATCCCATTCTAATCAGCCCAGCTTGTCATGCCATGTTGACTCTAAAGCGCTTACCATTTGATTGCTCCTCGTCGTTGTACTCTGCTTGTGTTTCGTGTAGTAGCGGCGCTATCATCTCCTGTTGATCTGAGAAATCATTCGAGTTGGCTCTTTTCTGTAAGCCATCCTTCTTTTGCATGTAGTGGACGGAAAGCATACTACAGATAAACAAAATGATAAGGAGGCTAGCTACTGTAAATCCCTTGTCTATTTCATTGCGCGTTAATATGGCATGTTACTGCTCATGTCAATCCTACTTACGATAATAGGGCGCATCAGTCACTGGCCATAAGACCAAGGGTGACCAAGTGTACATCAAGGAGGAAGATGTATTCATTATCGCAATGGCCATTGCTCTGACCTCACTATTGGTAGAGATGGTTTCGCTGGCCCACGTCATGATAGTCTATCAGGTAGTATGAGTAATTTGGGTACACAGGCGCTTGTTCATGACATACTGAAGTTAGTGATCCTAGACCAGCATGCATCACTAAAAAGGCTACGTATAAGATCCAAAATGGCTGCACAAAGGCTGCAAGTGAACTGTGAAGCATGCCAGTGAGTTGAGAGAAAAGTAGACGCACGCAGACGACAATGATCTGAATTGTTCAGCGTCTTTGATTTGAGCGTACACAAATGCAAAGAGCCAGCTGATGGCCATGTCCCTGATTGTGTGTCGCTATGTCATATAGAATCAACTTACCACATGCCAATCAACCCAAACGTTGCTGGGATGACAATACACCTAATATTTAACCATTAAAACCTCCTGATCATTCCATGCTTCCATGTATTCAGCTTACCAAACACGCGTGTTGTACCGATCGCTCATAAAACCATTCAGTAGGCCGAATATCATGGTGATGATAGTATCCGGCTGTCATTGCATGTCAGTAACGCTATATACATGCCCTGAAGCATCATTTACCGTAGTCAGCAAGTTTGCAGCAACCGCGTCAAATCCAATTTTTTTAGCCACAATACCAAGAACATGGGCTGCTCCCAACGAGAGGTGTATCGATGCCCAGCTGATGACAAATGGATATAAATATTTGTTCTTGAGCAGAGACTTGATCTTTTCGATTCGTTTGCTGGCAGTAACCCTTTTTCCCTCCTTTGTATTGTCGATGCCCATTCGATGAACTGCCAAATCACTTTCGGATTGATTCAGCCATGCTGTATTATGAGGATAGTCTGGCAAATAGTGATACCCCAACACAGCTAAGAGTAATGTGACACTGGCATCAAACATAAACATCCATCGCCATCTATACACTCGCTTGTGAATTTCTGAAACTACAGCCCAGTGCTTCTCTACTGTACCCGCTAATGCCAAATGTACCATCAAGCGTTTTCAACATGACGGCTTGTACAACGCCACTTAGACCACTCCCGAATGATCCGCATATGGTTACCAAAGCCAATCGTTTGCCCAACTCTCTTTTTGTGTACCATGTACCAATCAGAAATATAATCTAAAACCAGTTGAACAATAAGCTTTTTTCCTTGTTGAATGCCAAATAACTTACTCCAGGATAAAAGCCTGCCTCAGCTAAGCCCAGTAAAAATCGTATGAGATAGACGCCATGTACAGACTGAACGCAAGCCATGGCTATTGTCAACAAGCACCATATGATTTCTAACGCAGGCAGGTACCTTGATGGCCTCATATTTGATAACAAAATATTAGATGGTATTTGCATCCTACATGTATATCATTCAAATGAGAATTGGTGTGTGACATGATGGACATCCTCAGCTACTTGCGATAAATAACCAATCATGAAAAGTACGCCCATCCAATTGTACTGTAATCCTGTTATGTTGAGCTCTTCTTCCATACCACTGATGAAGGCACTTCCTAATGTGATTTATCAAGTTGAGCAACAGCCTGATTGATGAGTCTTTTACGCAATTTATACCCAAGTTGGTGTTGTCCAGCGTCTTCACAAGGTTGCCAAACATTGCAAACAGCAGCAGTCGTTTATCCAGCCGATGAACCAGCTCAATTTCATCTATACGATTAAACTGTTTGAGCTCTGTTTCAGTCTCTTCTTCTTCCTCGAAATGATTGTCTCCAAGTAAGTCAAGTTGAATGGAGTGTTGATGCCATTCATGAGATCCTCTTGTCAATTCGATACATTCGTCGTCTTTCATCTCCAATGAAAAGTTTAAAAGCAACAAAAAAAGAAAAAAGGGAAATAATTAAAACATGAAAGGGGGTAGTACCTACTGCTGCTTATTTGACCACATATATTAAACCATTCGCGTTGGAGCGCATAGAGAAAATGCTCAATGGGTGCTGAACCACGTTTCAATTAAGGTAACTCCGAGATTCTCCCTTTGGACAAACATGTATCACAAAAAAAGAGCATTTAAAAACGTTGCTCTGATGCCTCGTCTTATAGGGCCTTGAAAAAAAACACTATTATATTAGCAATTTATATGGGCAAGCTAACGTTGCAATAAATGCCATATGGTGAAGCACTTTCCTTCTTGTGTATGTGTCAATCGTTTGCAACCAGTACTTTTTAATCATACAAATGCAGCATAATTGTTTGTCCAACCAAAAAAGAGGAAAAGGCGAAAAAGAATATGGTTGCAACTGAAGTAGCGTCTTTAACTATCACCATGGTCACAATTGACTCAGTTGAAAAAAACCAAAAATGATGTAGCATCCAGGAGCAGATTTTCCGTTTAATTTGACAGATGTTGTCATGGCAACCTACTTTTACACTGTTGCTGGTGCTCAATTTGAACGCTGCAGATCCAGGAACCAATTGTAACTCGATCTTTAAGTTGAATGTTATTCCTTATTTCGCATCAGCAAACAAAATGAGTCAGTGTATCTATTTGTACTAGCACACCAGACTGAATATTTTCAAAATCTAATATAAACATATAGGAGGAAAGTTGCGCTTTGTGTATTTCATGTATTAGAAAGGTTCCGATGATGAGTTTATCGTTTCATGCGAGTTTAGCGTAAAATGTCATTACGTAAGATATTCGTATCTAAATTACATAGTGCCCAATACCAGGACGTAGCATTATGCTTTGTCTTTTCTTTTCAATAAAGCATAATGTCAAATACTATACATATGCAATTTTTGAGGTTAGATGGTTGAAACACAAACAACAGCAGCAGCAACAGGTATAAACGATGTTTGAGCACACTCTTAATGGAAATCCCGAAAAAAAAAACTTGGAGTGCCCAATTCTCTCTAATCAAGTTTCACAAAAAAAGATTCAAGGTTTTTCCAGAGAGCTAAAAGATTATCTTGTTGTTTGTTGTCTTGTTTTAATCTTTCAAAGTGAGCTTCCCCCCGCATTTTTGACATACATGCTACATACAAACAAAAATTGAGTTTCGTATAATGAATATAAAACCTTACATTTCATTATCTAGCATCTTCTTTCTTTATTCTATAATATTGTTGTTTTATTTTTACATCCAATATGCCTAACCCTGTCAAGCCTGTCAACTTATCCGGAGGACAATGGTAAGAGAACTAAATGACCCACACCCTGCTCGTATATACTTATTCGTTTCATATTCGCCGAAAAAAAAAGCGATCATTGTGGACAGGTACAAATCATGACTGATCTAATGCCATGCGTGTATGGTACAATCAAGACTAACATATCACATCACTTGTAGTACGGTCATGGCAGAAAGCAGTGCAGTCTTTTGAGGAAGTAATGTGTTCCGGTCAATATAGCGTGTGAGGGAAAAAAAGAAACAGAGATCCCCTACCGTTTACTCCAAATATACCCACAATCTCATAGTTCAACACATACATAAAACAACCGTAGTGCCTGCATATCCTACTGAAAATAAAATGCTTAAAAAAGTCTTTGCTTTCTTCTTTATTGAAGTGTTTTATTTATATGGATGTCATTTGTTGATGCATTAAATGTTATAAAGATACCAAAACTCAAATATTTATATTTCTCCGGGAAATGCACTCATTAATAGTTTCCATCAAAATAAGCGCTTCTGGTATGAAGATGCTTGAAATTTCTAGATTTTTTTCAGGCTCAAGCTCTGTGTGTTTTCCCATCATTAATGTAAAAATGTGAAGTGATTATTGACAGATCTTGGCTGGTGCATGCAAAATTCATTCAAGAAATACGTCAAATAAATGCCTTCCAGCTTTCATTGGCTCCATACTTTCGCTTCGCCTTGATGAAAACCAACTTACAGGCTGCCTTCCTTGATCCATAACTGTAGGTCTGGCTCTTCTATGATGCTCCATACCTGAAACAATGGAAACAATCTAATTACAGGCATTGGTCATACTCGCATTACCTCTACCTGCTCAAAATTATTCAAAACACTGCAAAATCTGGCTGAATTCAAGTAGTGATTTCTCGCGCTACAGGCCAATTTGGAACGCCAGAATAGCACTCATCCAGTATTCACTTCCTGGCACCTTCGCTCAACTTTTTGAGCCAAAAAAAATACATGGCCAAAAATCGGCCAAAAGGCATGAGGTACCCCTCATAGTTTTCATCAAAAATCAAACGATTTTGTTTTTCTCCTTGAAAATGACAACTTTTACTATGGCATATAGTAAGTCAAAATGTTTCTCGAAATCCAAGGCAGCCTCTGAAACCGCTTTTGTAAGACTTTTATATGCAAAATTTCGACATTTTGGCCAAAAACCACATTTCATATTTTCTGAGATTGCTCAATAAGTTTATTCAAAACATCTATTTTATTTGGCATCATTGAAAGCGCCTTGAAAAGTACTCCAGGAATGTATTAGGAAGTACGAGCTGATAATCACAACTTATATAGTCAAAGCTCGCAAAATAGTTAAAACAAGTCGACTAAAGACGAAATTTGACCAATCTTGGGCGTGTATGACATATCTGGGGCAAAAATTGTTTGAATTTCCATATTTAGTAATTTTGGCGAAGCCAAAATTTTTTTGTAATTGAAGGTTTTGATTGTAATAAATGCACGTAGAAAGTGGTATTGCTCTGATATTGGCAAGATTATTATCCAAGTTAAATTCTTGAATTTTACGGTTTTAATCCATGTAATCGCCTCATACAGTAAATTTAACGCCGAAGCAAAAGATGTTCATAAGAGTAGTAGGTGTCTAAATGGCACGGTGCTTATGGTACTAGCAAGTATATTTCAAAGTATCCGAATACGGAATAATGTATACGTGTGCTTTATAGAAAGGTGGGCTTTAACTGATGACAATATATCATTTTTGCAATCACCTGTTGCAATTTTTGGCATCCCAGATACCTGGACAGCCAGATGTCGCAGCACATTTCAAACATCTTGGACTACTACAGTCTGTTCGTTTGTTTTTACCATTGCAGACTTCACTTCCACAACCTTTACACTTTCTTGCTGTAACCCTTTTTGTTATTACTGGTGCTTTCTGGTAGGGATGTGGATGGCACATCTGCAGTCGAGGTGAGATGAACCTGTGTGTTGGGACCAGCAAGGCAGTTTGGGGCCTGTGATCAGGAACGGGCAAGACATCTTGTAGTCTGTGGCTAGGAACAGGCAATGATGGCTGGAAATAGTAGCCAGCAGGGAGGACATTGTGCTGTAGGTGTGGCTGTTGTGGTTGCGGTTGAAGCAGTTGCGATGAAACAGATGGCGGCGATATTTGTGCATCAATTGTGGCAGCAGAAACGACAGCAAAAATATTGTTGATGGATGGTATTCTTGGTGATGCTGCTGGCAGTAGTTGAGAAGGCTGATTAGTGGAGACGACTTGATGCTCAATGAGTCTCAAAGCTATTTGATGAATCTCCTCTGTTTTGGATACTCCGTCTTGTAATTCGAAATCTTTATAATACTTCTCGAGATGATCCGTGGTTTTATAGAATATATCAATACCGTTGGCCTTTTCATTGAACTTGCTGGCAAAATCAACAAAATTTATCCTTCTATTGTTGCTATTCTTGTAGTGAGTTTCATAAATGACCCTGAATTCGGATTTCTCCTTCATCGTATGGACAGCGAGCACGGCAAACTTTGTACATTGATTGTTTGCAACAAACTTGTAACGGCCAAGATGTGAGCGCAAAGTTGACCCAACTTTCATGAAGACAGTGTCTTGGAGCTGTGGAATTGTTTTGTCTATAAGAGGCAAGCTCTCATCCGTGATCTCAGAGGGCAAGATACCAATTTTGACCATCTCTTCATTTGGTAAAGGGCATATACCAAAGAGCTCACCAGAACCGCAATATTCCAAAGCATTCACAGACAAAGCGATGTTTCTTGTGTCAGCACTGAATCCCATTTTTTGACGCAAGAGATCAATATGCTGAACTAGCCAGGGATCATAATGGCTTTTGTAAATGACTGAATGCCTGTTCTTTGAACCCACGTCGAGATTATGTCTCAGCCTGTATTCAGTAAGCATCGCATTAGCCAGCTCTGGACCAGCACCAAACGACCCAAACTTGCGAATCAAGTTCTGATGGACTCCGCCTTCTAAAGAGTTTGTTCCACGGATGCATCTATAGAGTGTCAGCTTGAGATCGTCCAATTTTCCTGTCTTAATGTACAATTGTACATCTGGCGGATCAGACACATGGCCTAACTGCACTGTTCTCAAGACAGCAGCTGCTTGATCCCAAGATTTTTTATCAAACAGTGCTCTTCCAGATTTTGCGCACTTCAGAGGGCCGTAAGAAAGAAACAAGGATTTTAAAAGAGGAAGCAACACTTCAGGAGCAGACACCTTTCTTCGTACTCTTCTCCACAACCACGCACGATCGTATTTCATCTTCGAATCCCAGGTGTGTGTAAAGCTTGGATCCCTAAGTCTTTTCTGTGCAAATGCCGCGATGACCTTTTCTTTGTCAGTCTCATCAATCGTAAATAAGCTTTCACTAAATTTTCTAGTGAATTGCTTATACAAGGTGTGTCTCTTATAAGGCTTGATCATATCCATCAAATGAAAAATGTCTTTGACGACGCGAGTAAAAGCAATTTTGGGATCAGCATTATACCAAGCAAACTGTCGATAGCCACTGGTAAAGCCAGCCTTGTCAACCCTGTCTATAGCATCACCAAAAATCTCTTGCATCTTTGACTGAATTTCTGACTCCATAATAGCATTGGGATTGCTTACTGGCGTAGCTATTACAGGATCGCTAGGGGCGGTAGGATTAGCAGAGGAAATACTCGAGGCTTCAGATGGTGAAGCAGCTGTGATGAGATGAGCTGCAGGAACTCTCAGTTCAAATGGTGGTTCACCATATGTTTGCAAAGCAATACCATTTGCCAGATATCCAGGAACATATACTTTTGTAATTCTTACAGTTGCTGTGCTACCATTAACCACGATTTCGCCGTAGGCAACAGCTTGACTGTTTCGTGGAGGCATCACATCTACAAACGAACCAACTGGACAGGTAGGAAGCACACGATTACCAACAGGCAGATGATTCGCAGCAACACTGTAGATGGCCAAACTAGCCCAAGCATCAATTGCAGCATAATTTAGAAGATCTGGCGAGAGGTCAGCCATATTCCATGCGCTTCTTTGAGGGCCTTTATCAAGAGGGGCACCAAGTATACATAGCGAAATGTCTGACAATGACATTGTACCTGTTGAGATTAGCTGCCGTGCAGAACAGAATGATCCTAGCTCCAACTTCGTTTTGCATTCAATTCCGAACCGATTATTGAGACGAGAGAAATCAACACCAATGCTTCTTCCAACTTTCGTGATATCAGCATTTACAAGCACATCTACAAGCTCCTTGGGAAGTGCGAGCCAGGATCTATCAATATGCAGGACGTCCACTGTATTGCCATGAGCAATCTGAATGACATCAACTTGATCGTAATGCGGATCGTCATTCACATTCCACTCTGTGTCAAGTCCAATAACCGAGGGCTTGCCAGCGTTTCTCTCGACTGTCAACTTGTCATTCAGATCCTTCATCTTCCTAATAATCAACCCTACATCACGATTGAGATAGTCTACCTCAACATCATTTGGCAGCCTGAGGAATAACCGGTTTGCGTTGCTGTTTGCAGTCTCTTGCTGACGTGGGACCTCTTGAATGACCTTCAAAGAGTCGAAGATGCTCTCCAAGAATCGTTTATCGCTTTGCACATTATCAGTGAAGAAAGCTACCGGCATCTCATGTCCATAAAGTTCGTATGCTTCTTTCATCTTTTGCAATGAATGTTTCAGATAGATAAGGGACTTTGAGGGGACCAGAACCTGATGTACGATCTCCTCATACTCATTCGTCACGGTGAACAAGGCAGTGAATACACCAGCATCCTCAATTTTAGCGATATGTTTCGGGAATTTGAAAGAGTGATCGCACTTAAGCACCTTGCCGTCAAGAAGCATGGCATGTTTGTCCATCTTTGGCTTGAGTTCCTCGATCATTGCTGTGTACAAAGTCCTGAAATAAGTGGCACTTGGTACATAACCAGCATACTGGTGAGGGTCTTCAAAATTCGAGTAAGGGAGGAACGAATAGTTTCGGAGGAGTCCTTTCTTTTTAGCCAAACATGACAGTAAGTACTGGAGTTCCAGCTGATCATGACGAAGAACATGCAATTCTCGGAGTAACTTTTGGAATCTCTGAGGACCCATTGAGTTTTGCATGCACGGACGAAGGAGATTTGCGACAGTTTTGGAAACACCTCCTTTGCTAGTCAAAACGGCAGGGAATTCCATCTGAAGCTCCTGTGGCAATTGTCGCATAATGATGGGGTCGTGAGATTGCCATGAGTCTTCAAATCCAGGCTTTTTGCATCCAGTCACTGTACATTCGTATCTGCATGACAACAGATAGAAACAACTAAATTTCATATTAGCAATCAAGCCAACGTTTCAGCCTTTAACTACTCTACTCTTACTTACCTTGCAAGATCAACGATTCTTCTAGCATGCGGATCCTTGTTGAAACCTTTGCTTTTCAATGGAGATTTACACTTGGGGCATTCTAAAGACTTGGACCTGTGTGGAAGCAAGTGATGAGGTAGCCACAGAAATACTCGAGGTTGATATAGGCTTTTATTGGGTTCCTCTTTCGCCGGTAACTTCTTCAGCAGTGCAAAATAGGGATTAACTGGCTCCACCCAAAAAGTATTCCTGTCGTATTCAACAGGACGTCCGTCCTCATGCAAGCGGGCACAAAGAGACTCGAAAAAGTCTCTGTGCTGAGTGTTGAGAGGGAGATCTTGGACAGTATCATTGTCTTCAGCCTCGCAGTTCTCTTCACCCTCTTCTAATCCAGCCTCTTCAGGGACAGAGAGCTCTTCTTGGCTTTCAGATGTTGATGACTCGCCCTGATTTGAGCTGCTTGAAGGATCAATACTTGTTGCTGCTGCATTGAATTTAGCTACTCGCTTGAAGGCTTGTGTGATTGTAGCTTGATTCGAAATAAAGCCTTTGGTAGCAGAGAATCGAAGGGTAGAAAAGCTGCGTGCTTTTCCTTTGTCTTTATTGTTGCTATGTTTGGTAACTTTCCCCATTACTGTTCACAAAACGCATAAATAAATGAATATAAAAAGGAGAAAGGGGGTAAATCAGATTAGGTTTGAAAGTATAGTAGGGCTTTTAAATTTCATATATATTTCTACAGCCGGCCCTAATTTATGATTTTATTGGCCAATATAAACCAATCATTTATCTTATTAGGGCCGGAGTTTTGCCCCAGGTATGTTATCCCCGCCCAATCTTGAGCAGAAAAAAAGTAGCCTGAGTTTGAATCAATTTTGGCGGATGGGTGCTGCTGCTAGCTGACCCAAATACCTTTCTGATGATAACAATAATGATAACAATGACTATTGCAATGCTGATTGAATAGAGATCATGAATCTAAAAGAAAAATATGTTAGCTTGAATCCTTTTTTTCTGTGGTTTTATTGGGAGTTTTTCCCTATAAAATTGTCTTTTGCAATGACAATATTTGAAAAATGAACCTACACAAGTCCTTTATCTACGCATGGTCAGCTTTATGTCGCCATCTCTAGAGCAACATCAGCGAACGGACACCTCCCCCCTCCTGAATCTGATATAGCCTTTTTTCTACTATTAATTGATTGCCTAAAATATATTTTTATTATCCTTGATTTGGAATGGCTTCGGCGAGAGCCCACAGGGCGACACCGTCATCGAACGTAGCGAGATCGATCGGCTAGTATAATGTATTCGAATACTATGAAAAAAAACGTCATTAGAGACATAAAAGTTTAAAAACTTTTGTTGGGATGTACAAGAATGCACATGTGATCCTGATTGAAGAAGAACGGCAGGCCTGGAATCATATCAAGGAAGATGCTCACATTCAACTCAACCTTCAAATGAGATTGGAACTAATAGTTGGTGAAGATAGGTGCACTCAGAATCTGCCAACTGTCAACGAAATTGCAGCCATCATTCCAAATGTATATTATGATACAAATTTTAAAGATGCACTCACCGCATTCCAAAATAATTTTTCAACCAGTATTAATGATTTCTTTTAAGCAAATTAATGGAACGTATACTGTCTACATGCCATGTTGCAATGCTGCAAATCATACTCAGAAGGTTGCGATTACATATATTTTGGTGGTGAGCCAGGCTGGCTGGCGCTGTTAGATATGAAAATGCCCAACAAAACCACAGAAAAAAAGGATTCAAGCTAACAGATTGTTCTTTTAGATTCATGATCTCTATTCAATCAGCATTGCAATAGTCATTGTTATCATTATTGTTATCATCAGAAAGGTATTTGGGTCAGCTAGCAGCAGCACCCATCCGCCAAAATTGATTCAAACTCAGGCTACTTTTTTTCTGCTCAAGATTGGTCAAATTTCGTCTTTAGTCGACTTGTTTTAACTATTTTGCGAGCTTTGACTATATAAGTTGTGATTATCAGCTCGTACTTCCTAATACATTCCTGGAGTACTTTTCAAGGCGCTTTCAATGATGCCAAATAAAATAGATGTTTTGAATAAACTTATTGAGCAATCTCAGAAAATATGAAATGTGGTTTTTGGCCAAAATGTCGAAATTTTGCATATAAAAGTCTTACAAAAGCGGCTTCAGAGGCTGCCTTGGATTTCGAGAAACATTTTGACTTACTATATGCCATAGTAAAAGTTGTCATTTTCAAGGAGAAAAACGCAATCGTTTGATTTTTGATGAAAACTATGAGGGGTACCTCATGCCTTTTGGCCGATTTTTGGCCATGTATTTTTTTTTTGGCTCAAAAAGTTGAACGAAGGTGCCAGGAAGTGAATACTGGATGAGAGCAATTATTTGGTGCTATTCCGGCTACTCAGAAACATCTATATGTAAAGATATAAAGGCTTGAAAGTTGTCAAATTTGGCTGTTTTTCACACATTTGCTTGTCAATAGACGTGTTTTTTCTACGATGCAAAGGCGTAAAGACATTGTATGCATTAATCTAGATTCAGAGTGTGCTGTTACATTCAAATATTCAGCTGGAAATATTAGGTTGAGTGACATTATTGTATTGCAGTAGCATAACATAATGGTATAGCTTATTAGTGAGGCGATGACGGCTATAAGACCCGCTCTGGACATTTTAGATGCAATAGATAGCTTGCATCTAGTAAAAACTATACCATAAAAGTAGCTCAAACATAGGTGCTCCATAACTCGGTGGCTCAAATTACTAGGTGATCAGCATCATATCTAATTTAATTGTGCCAGAGCTCTGTATTCTGAGCTGTGTGTACGTTTGATATTCAGTATTAGTGCATGCATTCACCGTTAAAACCAGCTCACTGATGATAGCGTACTAGAGAATGCAGCATGTCCAAGAAGGCTCAACACAGGTGCTACAACATGCAACCGTGGTCTGAATAGCGCAAAGAAAATTGCTCTCATAGGCTTCTCCAGTCTGGCCGCTCAAGATGGCCTTCCTCTCCTTCCATTCAGGCGCATTTCCGACACAAACAAGTAAGACTATTATAGACTGTCTGCTTCTAGCGATAAATCTTCCTCACATTTTTAATTTTAGGTATATCTTGTCCCCAACGTTTCTTGACCACCAAGCCCATGGTGAGGCCGGGATCCCCACATAAAGTGGTGACTTATTAGAGTCCCGTAGGGATCATAATCCATAGCAACGGCTAAGCCGGTCAGTATCTTCAAAGCCAAATCTAGTTCTGCATAGTTTGTGTCGAATGGATGAACATACTTTTGCAAATCTAATGGAATCTTTGTTGAATGGCTGCACATACCCTCTATAACCCGTCTCACTTACCCTTCATCATGAGACAGTATCTCGGTATCCTCTGGATGGGTGCAATAAAGTAATCTGACATGCCTAATCGATTTGTGTCTCTTCGAGATAGGCTTTCCTAAACAAATATATACTATTTTAGTAAATGCTTTCCATATATTTCCTCTCATCTCCCCACAAACATTATACCTGATCTATTTTGATGAATAGTGCATTACTACAGGCTCTTTTGATTGTTTTGATGTTTGTCCTATAATGCATGGCGTATTTCAAAAACACAACAAAGCTGGACTCAAAGGACCGAAACACTTGCCCTACATTGCTGGTAGATTGAAACGACTGCAGCAAATTGTCGGATAGTTGCACTAGCTCTGGCAGATGATTGAACAGTATTGGGATATCAGTTGATTTTACAAGTGGATCTTTTGCCTGAGAAGCAGCCAACATGGGCCGCATGTATCTCTATGGAAAACAAACACTTAGCCCACAGGCTGCTTGGAGATGCACATGTACCTTACGTCTTGGATCAGCACAAGCAGCTGATTGTATGATTTCTCGGTTTCTATCAATTCGTTCAATATGAATTTCACCATGGCAAGGTCCTTTGGTGATGATTGTCGTACAAATCTTTGTCTCTCTAGTGGATCTTCCGGCTTAGATTCAATATTGTATGTAATAAATGTTAGCGTTATTAATAATCTGATGCAAATGAAATGAAAAAGAACATCAACTCACTGTCAATGCTGGATGTGCCATGATCTTGTACAATTCACTTTTATCGTTATCAACCACGTAATCTTGATCAGGGTTTGCAGATAATAATTGTGTAATCGTATTTTTCCAAACATGAATCGCTCGGGTTTCTTTTGATTTTAGTGAATCTAATCCTAGTACAGTGCGAGCTCGTGCTACATTGACTACGCCTGACAGCCTCTTTTCTTTATTTTGAGATATAGAACGAGAAATACAGTAATCTCTTTTAATAGATGTCGACGATAGCGCAATATCTGATTGGACTGTGTTGATGAACTGCCTCTCCTCTTCCTCCTCTTCTTCCTTGATGGTGAAATCATCCAGTAAGCGAATGGTCTTCAGCGAAGATGACCTGGACGAACTGCTGGATGAGTTGCTCTCTTCAGTTTGTTGTTGTTGTTGTTGTCGATCAATAAAGTCTATCGCAATAGAATGTCGGTTAAGCTGCCGATTTTTTGTTTGTTGTTGTTTTTGCTGTAATGATGATGGCGGTGAGAATGATATCTGCCGTGCTATAGTGGCTCTTGTGGGTCTGTTGGTGGGTTCTTCGTCCTCTTCTTCTTTTGCTGACGGGAAGAAGAATTGAGAAAACGGCCTTGCCGACAACGAGGGCTTTAATTTTAGATTTGTTGGTGGTAACTGAGGCATTGGTGCTGGCTGTGGTTGGGGCAGCGACACATTTGATTTGCACTCCAATGTTCCTTTCTGCTTTGTCCTTCTTCTTGAAACAGATGCAACCAGTGTCTGCAACTTGCTAAACGAGGAAGATCTGTTCTTTTTGGTTTTTGTGTCATTCGTACTGTCATTTTTGCTTGCTGCTGCTGTTGCTTTTTTCAATAGAAGAGAATCGTTGTTACAAACGTCAATGGACATGATGTTTGAAGTAGGCTATTTTTGTTGAAAATCGATAAAGATAAGAGAGAGAGAGAGAAAGAAAGAGAGAAAGAGAGGAGAAAAGGGAAGCAGAGATGGCACAGTACATATAACCCCTAAAAAAAAAAAAAAAAAAAAAAAAAAAAAAAAAAAAAAGAACATGTTTGCTGTTTGTCCAACATCAAACTCTTACTTGCTTGCCCATATTAATCAGGTACACTGATTCTCCACTTCAATATGTTTTTTCCAGTGTGCTTAAACAAGGAGTTGATGGGGGCAAGTACGTTAATTTTTTCAGTGGAAATTGGTCTATATGAAATGCAAAATAATGCCATCAAATCCAGCACACACACACACACACACACACAAGTATAAAGCGTGCTTGTACATCATGTCATTGCCATCAATCAAACAGTGTTGCCACCGTAAGCCCATCAAAACCGAAAAGTGTGGTTTGGCAAGGAATTGGGAAGGGCTCATCTCCAAGTTTAGTTGGCATTTCAGTAAGCTGTATTTGCAGTAAGTTATATAGCGGCAAACATTGAGCGATAAGTAAGCTACGCCCCAAGTCAAGACTACCAGTGTAATGGTATAGATGCTTATCATATCCAGGCAATCATGATGATGCAGAAAGCTCACCTAGTTTTGCATTTATTTTCACATGCCTACTATCTGACAAAGAAGCGTACAGCTCGGTATCTTGCTTGGATAGAAAGTGGGTGTCTATTTATGATGCACATTTCATCTACTCTGCTATATACGAATGCGGTGCTTCTATGAGTTTGTTATACAATGTCCAGATCATGAAAATCCAACTCTCATTTTTGCTATTGAATAGGAGCTTGATCCCGTGAACAAGTTTAAATTTGATTGTCAAACATACACTCGCGTTTTCCACCTTTCTTCAAATACAAACAAAAACATGGCTCAACGCTGTACTGTTGCCTCTGCTCCCGGAAAGGTACTCTTAACCGGCGGTTATCTCGTGCTTGAACAAGCCTACACTGGCTTAGTGATTGGTACATCAGCTCGATTTTACACTGTCATCAAGCCAGAAAGTGCCGGTGCTCCAGGTACCCTCACTGTACGCTCACCTCAATTCGATCAAGCAACTTGGCAATACAAGGCAATTGCTGATGGCGACAAGCTTGATTTTTCATCCATGTATGGCTCTCTCTTATACTCTGATTTGATTTGTAGTAGTCCTGACATTTGATATCTATACAGCACCACAGGGAGCAGTAACAAATTCGTAGAGACATGCTTAAAATTCACATTGCAAATTATCCTCGAGCGAACTGGAGCACAGCAAGTAAACCAACTGTTGAGCAATGGCATTGAAGTAACTATTGTTGGCGACAATGACTTTTATTCACAACGTGCCCAGGTAACGTAGACAATGGCTAATACCACGAGTGGCATGGCTTGATCTAAATCCAACTTAGCTTGAAGCAAAGCACCTTTCAAACAATGCAGCTGCATTGGCGTCACTCGACCCCTTTTGCAAAACACACGCTACATTGTCTACTGTGCACAAGACAGGTCTTGGAAGCTCGGCTGCACTCACAACATCGCTTGTTGCTGCATTATTGCTCTATTTCAAGGTAGTCAATGACTCGCTGGACAAAAAGGAAAAGGTGCTCATTCACAATGTGGCTCAATTTGTGCACTGCTTTGCTCAAGGTAAAGTTGGAAGTGGGTTTGATGTATCATCTGCTGTCTGGGGAAGCCATCGATACAAGAGATTCAATCCAGCTATTTTGACTCCAATTATGGTAAATAGCGCTCATTACCCTACTCTACACTCCCCCACCCCCCCCCCCAAGGAGACAATGTATAACCTCCTTTTTTTTTTTTTCTCTCTTTCGTGCTTGTTAGGATGAACATGTAGACTCCAAAGTACTATCAAAGGCACTTGATGCTCATAACCAGAGGTATGAGGCAGATGCAGTTATTTGCGAATATGTTTGATTCATGCGCATGTGTATCTAGCTGGGACAATGATGTTACTCCATTCAAGCTGCCCCCAGGTTTTGATTTGATGTTGGCAGACATTGATGCTGGTAGCCATACACCTACATTGGTTGGAAAAGTATTGGCATGGAAGAAATCAAAGCCTGAAGAAGGTAAGCGCACTCGATTATATCATGCGAAGCTTAATATCGACTCTCTCTCTCTCTCTCTCTCTCTCTCTCTCTCTCTCTCTCTCCACTACACAGCTGATCCTCTTTGGGATGAACTCGGCACATACAACTCTCAGGTAGAACAGCATTTCCGCCAATTGTCTATCTACCACGAGCAAGATACCCAGTTGTACAATGAGACGCTTGCTGCTTGCTCTCAATTAACGTCCAGTGAATGGCACACTGTACCTGGATTTATTGCCGAGGAGTTTGTGGCACTGGTCAAGGACGCTCATCATGTTCGCTCTCTCTTGCAAATGATGAGCGACTTGTCAGATGTTCCTATTGAACCCAAGGAACAAACAAGACTGCTGGATGAATGTGCCAGTGTTCCTGGTGTTGCAATGGCAGTCGTTCCAGGAGGTAAGAATTTGACATTGTTTTCAAGTGCGAACATGATGATTCAATTATTTATATAGCTGGCGGCTATGATGCCATTGTTTGCATTGTGTTGTCAGACAAGGCAAAGCAAGATGTTCGCCATGTTTGGGAGTCTTGGAAGGAGCTCAGTGTTGGTCCTCTTCTTTCTCAAGCAGACTCCCATGGCATCACGTGTGTAAAATTAGAAGCTGTGCCTGGCCTATCCGCTGTCCTCTCTGATTAATTGAAATGATCCAATTCTACACATACATTGCCAGAAAACATCATTTACATAAAAGCCGCTTTAATACACTCCATCTTTCTAGTTGCCATGTCGCTGAATTTGACGCTATTCTTTGGATAGCATGAACAGTAGTGAAAGACAATTCGATTCAAGAGACATCTGACGACCAGTGCTAGAGACGAAATGTGGCAGATCAACTTGGATTTACCCTGTATCGAGCAAGCGTACAGTGCTCTACATTGAGCTCTGCTGCTCACATCCACGAGTGCTCTGGTAGCGACATCCTCTAGCACTCGGTAGAAGAGCATGATAAATCCGAGCACTCAACTCCATGTGTGCAATGGGAAAGAAACAGTCAAACCTGCAACCTATCCAAACAATTTTTTCTGGTATTTTTCCTAAACCTTTCTCTCTCTCTCTTTCCCTCTACATTCTATTCCAGTCAACAAAAATAGCAGCTTTTGCAACGCCTTGATTCTCTGTAATCAACCTCAATCTAATTTAGCAACAATTATCACCAAGGAGAAAGAAAAAAGAACTCTACATCAGCATATCGATGGGTAACAGATATGGATAGATCGTCCTCCATTACATTGCATTGACACTCTCTTTCTTTATAGTCGTGCATAGAAGAGGCGGTAGACCTAGTGGAGGAGGCAGAAGAAAGCAAAGAACACCGGCGAGAAGAAGATCACAATCCACCTCGGACGAGAATAGCTCTGATGGCGGCTCTATCACTCGCTGCGTCTGTGGTGAGACTCGTAAGTTTCTGAAAGCGGCAGAGTGCGAGAGTGATATTGACACTGTATAAAGATAGTGTTGGTTTGATGGTTCAATGCGACAAGTGTGAGGTGTGGCAGCACTGTGAGTGCATGGGACTCGAGCAGCCAGACATACCTGATCACTATTATTGCGAGCAATGTAAGCCAGAGAACCACAAGAGTCTTCGTCAACACAATGGAAGGTAAAATGAAAAAAAAAAAAAAAAAAATCTCCTCACTTTCTGTCTACTTTCTTTCTCTTTTTCAATTACTTACATCTGCTCCTCCTTTTTTCTTGGGTGTATTATTAGAACAAAACGCCAATATGTTTCGACTGAACGTGCAGCAGCCATCGTGAAAGCACCAAAGAAAAGAATGACGCTCAACAGTCGAGAAGCAAGCATGTCGCTGGAAGATGTTCTGGCAGCGAGAAGCGCATTGGAGATGTATGAGTCGCATAAGGATGGCGACTCGCCTCAAGCAAACTCGCATCCACCTGTTGACACCAACGCATCAGGTAACTCCCCACTAACACATCAAGACGCAGACATGGAAGCCACAACTACAGCGACATCGCCCAAGAACGAGAGCAGTATGAATGGAGACACCATGGGGCTGGTCAAGCCAACAAAACGAAAACGAGATTTGGGAATCAAACTACCTGATACAATTGACGAAAAATCAGAGCCACCTTCATCTACTGTTTCATCTGTGGGTCATGATGATCTTCCTGTTCTGAAAGAGCAAGGTAAGATGGATGAGCCACGACAAATTGAATTGGCATTCAACTGGCCTTCTGTAGAGGAATTTTCAGAACCTGACCGAATCACACCAAAGCCATCCACCTCAGCAACAGTGAAGCCTAAAAGAAAGCAAGCGAAACCATCTGAGAAAAAGGGGAATGGCCGAGTCAATGGTAAATCAACTATCAGTAAACGAGGCAAGCCACGATCCCGCACATCAACACCGGTTCGAGAGTCATCGCCCATGGCATGCAGTGAATTAGACGACGACACTGGAAAGGAGTCTCCAGAGGATGGTATCTCCTCTGTGGTGTTTGACCATTTCTCACCTGCAGCACGTGCTTCATCTCCTCCAGCAAGGACTCGTCAACCTCACGCTCGCATGAGTATATCAGAAATGAACAGACGAGCGAACCAAATTTTAGAATACATTAGTTCTATTCAAGTGGAAATGGCAAGCAAAGAAACTGATAACCGTGCAGGACATGGCGATACTACGAAATCAACTGAATTAACCGTGGCAGTGGCAATGCAGCAACACCACGACGAGCCCATGCGAGACGACGACGATGATGATAACGATTCGCTGAGCAGTGCAAGTACCATTCCACTGAATCGAGACGCAGAAGACGACGATGATTTACTGGAACCTCTGGACAAAGACAAGCAAAGCTCAATGGAGATCATGGACATGCTCACACGGAAACTGATTAAATTTCAGCGAAGATTTGGATCAAGAAACCGTACATTATACGAAGAGGCTTTCATGGAAGGTGAGGGTCGCATTACTCGAAGTCGTGAGGTCAGTGGCAGTGTGAATACCTCGTATCGAAATATGATGGCTCATTAGCACACATCTAACCCTGTTATTTTATTCTTTTTTATTAACCTCTTTTTCATCGCATTGTGTATATTCTTTTCCCCCCCCCCCCTTTTTTTTTTAATGCCAAAATTAACATTCTCATCATACGCCTCTGTACATAATATATATTTTAATGTCATTTAATCCGCTTTATTACTATCAATAAACATGTTGACCACATTTTTCTAATTATCTATCTTAAAGGACTGTAGTCTAATGGCTTCAGAATGAATGAATGCATGCTATCCACCAGACGCACTAAAAGTTTAAATGGTTTCAGTGGGATGTGCCTTCATCTGGCATCTCGTGAATCAATTACCTGTTTTATACACTGTGTCTGACCATCCTTCGACCTTCCAGGCCTCTTCTCTGGTAGTCTTTCTGGTTTGCAAATCACTAACACGCCAATTTATATAAGCATCCACTTGAACTTGAATGATTTAGGAACTTACGGGTAGGTCCACATGTGTTGTACTGTATGCAAGTTGCCCAATTGACTGAACCAGGCTCCGACTGGCTCACAGAATTGACTTCTGCACTCAAGGCCCTTACGCCTAAACGTTTACTAGATGTTAGTATCACAAGCACTCGATGCTTTTCCCACAAGTCCAGAGAGAGAAAGAAAGACAGAGATTATAATTTACCAATAATATTCCCATTCAAGCAAATTTCCAGGCTGATAGATAAGCAAAAAAAAAAAAAAAAAAAAAAAAAAAAAAAAAACAAAGTTTAGATAAGATTTTAATCAAAATGAGAATTTCACACTAACCTTTAAATTATATTTACGTAGTTCGTAAATGCCATTTGTCGTTTGAGGTGGTGAAGTCTTCCAAAAAGAAAACTCGAGCATTATATTGTTCTCACGAGAGATCAATAAGGGTCGGAGGTCCTTGAGAAATTGTGCATGGACCTTTCAAATGTGTGTCAGATGTCGCGACTCATATTTTGCCCTCTTACAAAAACTTACTGGGTCTTTGGCTAATCGCTCCATGGTTTGTTTGTGGCCAGGATAACCTTTGTATTCCCAAATATGAACTAGGCATGGATATGAGCCAGTGTAAGCAGAGGAATACATATCAAAATACTGTACCAAATGTATCGAGATCACCCACAATCATTTCCCAGCTACCGCATAAATGGACTTCATTTTGAGGATCGTTGGCAATGCGAGGATAATGAGTCGACATGAGTTGAATATACTCTTCGACCTTGTCTGGCTTGACACGATGGGCTATGTCAAGTGAGTGGGTCAATTACCTTTCATCGGCTTGCGCGGCCCCATCCCCACATCCAAGCCCCCCCCCCCGCCACTTGCTATGCACAATGTAGACTTACTTTGCATTTCATGAACGTATTTGCCTCTTGCCAGCTTCTTGGAGTGGGTAGTAGTCAGCTCAGGGGCCAATACATTACCAGCACCACTTAGCTCTTTGCCATAGAGCACAGACTTGATGAAGCCAGCGCTTTGCTTGTTATTGGGATCCACAGGCTCTCCAGCATCTTCGTTCTTTGGAAACAGACTGCTTCTGGAGGTTGACAAGGCACGAACACCGATTGATCTGGTACCAATGGCTTTGATTGCGTTGGAGCGCAGGAATCTTTGACTAATGTTTGACATGTTGATATAAAAATGAGAAATAAAAGAAAGAAAGAGAAACTATACAAAAGAAAATAAGGACCTTTATATAAGCCAACGGCAATAACAACAAAAAAGAGGGCATGATTTATTTAAAATGAGATTGTCGTACAAAACCATAGCATTAATTCCCCCCACACTCTACACCAATGGCCCCACATGACGTAAAGAGGTAGGGGAAGGCGCTTGTTCTAATCTTGTTTTGGATCCTCTTCCATCATTGTATCATCTTGATCGACTTGATCTTGTGCTGCTGTCACTGCCTCTAATTTTGTATCTAATTGGACCTCACTGTCTGTGGCAGACTGCTCCGCTTCAGGTTGCTCTCCTTCAGGTACTTGCACATCGTCCTCTTCCTCTTGATCGTCTTGATCTTCATCGTCCTCCTCTTCATCACTAAGGACAGTTGCAGATTCTGTATGTGTAGTTGTATTCGTAGTAGTAGTAGTAGTAGTATTGCTGGTAGCATCTGATTTTGGAGTTGATTTAGCAGTTGTCTTTTGCTTCTTTGCTGGAGGAGTGGATGGTGCAGCAGCAGTGTTATCTATCACATTCTCTTTACGTTTAGCCATCGCATCCTTCAATGTCATGGTAGTGGGAATAACATCTTCCAGGAATTCAAGCTGATCAGATTCTTTGACTGTGCTGGCTGTATATACATTAAAAGAGGCATGAGCAATACATCCCTCCCTAGAGAAGCACATATCCCATCCTCTCATACTCACCTAGATCCTTGTAATAAACCGTTTTTCTCTTCTCCTTTTTGGCCTTTGAAAATGCTTCAGTGACAAGATATTCCATAAACAGCTCCTACATTAGAAAACATAAGCATCCATCATCACACACTCGCCGCAAATCACAAGGTTACAGTGGCATAAGCTATACAAAAAGTGGCCTCAGCATTGATGAGAGAAACGTCTTTATCCTCTTTGATGACGCGCTTGATTCTAGCTAAAGGAAGCATGGTGGTGCCTGGGGTTCTCTCAGGAACATGCTTGCTGGTAGATTTGGGGGCATCCTGACTGAGGTCAATTGGTGTGTTGCTGCTGGACATGTGGATTAAAAGTGAAAGAACAGAGAGAGAGAAAAAAAAATGTTTTTTCACTCGATTTGTATGAGATCAAAGAGGAGTAGCACGGTGACTTCTGTTGCAATGCTTGAATGACATGTCTCTAAAGATGTCAAAGTGGATGATCTCTTTGAGACACGGCGCTCTTTTTCAGCAACACAGACAACATTGAGAGGATGTCAGTGAGTGCCATCAAAGTGCATTGCCAGTTATTTTCTACTGCGGCATGTATCTGTTGCACGGAAACTGCGATAAAAGGGAAAACGGACGAGCAAGACAATAGTCACTTCCTATTCAAACAACTATAAAAGGTTGGCTGATCAGCGAAACAAATGCAAAAAAAAAACCATCCGTTTTTGTACTCTTTTCAAGTTCGAAAACTCTCAATAAAGCAATGTCCTCTTCCACTAACGAAATGAATCAATTTGCATCTGAGTTTCCTACTGGAAATTTCATTGAAGCAGTGCGTACTTCATGCCGTTCATTTGTTGAGCAAAGTCCTGTCAAGATTTCTCAGCAAGGCATCAACAAGTTTCTTGACACGTTGAACAAGTTGCAGTATGAGGAGCTCTCTGATGATGTGACCATCAAGATGCCTCTCAAGTTTGAGACAGTAAACGATGAGCTGAATTTCATCACTGTGATTGATTTATTGAATTTTGGAAGTGGCTACCGTGTGCCTCTTCATGAACTCGCTGGCAGAGGGTAAATGTTTGTGTGTTTGGTATACAGGATCATGGCGTGTATGCTAACACGTATTGCAGTGCGTTTGATACAATCCGATTTGGTGCCATGTCGTTCCATATTGGCGGTAAGCCTATGGATGCCGAAACTTTCAAGAATTCCACCATCTTTGAGGTAGCAGAGATCTTTCAAATTCCAATCGACCATGAAGTCAAGCATGACAAACTGGATTTTGTCACCATCACAGAACCTACAGCGCTCAAGCCATTTGCTGCTGGTTTGACTTCCGTACTCAACACCACAGGCGACTATCTTCAAGACCACAACTACAAGGATCTCGCTCAATTCATCATGGAACATGTCAAGGCTAACCCTCAAAATGCGACCAGCCTCACTGAACATTTGATCAGGGCATTTCCCGGTCTTCACGATAGCTACAAGTTCCCTGATCAACCTCAGCCTGTCTACTTGTACAAGAAGGCTCAAATCATTGTCTATCATCTCTGGTACACATTCAAAGAGCAGCTCCCCGAGTTGTTTGATTTCAAGGACATGGACACATTGACCGTCTTCTCTGATAATGTGATTCCTACCATGTTGGCTCATCTTGGCGTGATTCAAGTGCCTGAGGAATGGCAGCAAGATATCAACAACAACATTGATCTAAGCGTTGAACAGGCGACCACGTTGAGAGCTGCTGGTGTCGTTGCATGTGAGGATATTGTCAAGGCTGCTCAATCTGGAGCTGGACCTGTCCCTCGCATGACAACTGGTGGCTTGGATGTCTATCTTTGGAGATTGGGTAAAGTGGGCGACTACAGAAAGGTGCCTCGATTCCAATTGAGAGATACAGTCATGTTCTAGAGAGTTGTTTATTCGAATAAATACGTATGTGTATTATTGCTTTAATTCCCATTCTGCTTGCTCTGCGGCTGCGTTCATTCTTTCCATAAATTCAGATTTAACACAACTTTCAGAATTGATGCGAGAAAGTAACTGGTTTTCGTGCTCTGTAATGACTTTAGTTTTTGATCTGTCTGTGTATGCTGTGATTTTGATGTTGTATAGTTTGCAATCCAAGGCGCCTAATGCTGGGGACAAGAAATAGTAGCGAGGGTATTCAAAGTCTTCATGCTCTCCCTTGAGCTGCACGGCAGGCACATGAATCGGGTCGCTTGGATCGACGGGATTCTCAAATGTGGCCTCAATGTAAGGCTGTTTTTCTTTGATGGGTTTGTACATCTGGACCAACCAAGAGTAGCTGCTCCACTTGTCAGTACACTGATACCGTTAGCAGCCGAATGTTGACTTACTGTGCTCCCAGCTGCTCATTCTTGGCATTGATGGCAAAACTGGCACTCAAATCTTCAAAGTATTTGGACCGTTTGAAGCGAGGCTCCTTGACTTTTTTATCAAACAGACAGCCACACGAGAAATTCATTAGAATAGCGAAAAGAAAGAGAGACAAGAGCACACACACATTCGGTTTAAATCAAGCGTCAGAGGGAGAGAGAAACCACGCTAAGCCAATGGCTCCACATGGCCATATAATCTCCCGAGAAACCTCTATTTTTTCTCGTGAAATTATTTTTGCTTCCTTTTTGTTGGGTGTCTAGAAAGAAGCTATTTTACGTTTCATGAGTTACTCTTCATCATCGAATAAGAGCCTTCAGTTCAATGATTATCGATTCGGTGAGCAAGTGGACATGGCAAGCACCAGCTCGCAATCTGTGTCACCTAGAAGCTCACCACAATACATGTACAACCACAGCAGCAGAAGCCATTCATCCCTCAACAGTCCCTCATCCCCACTGCAAAGCATTATTCCACAACAGCAGCAAGAGCAATACGTGCAGCCATTGACCAGAGACATGCTAGAGAAGAAGGATAGGTTGGACCTGTTGCTTCAGAATAGACCCATGCCAGGAGTAAGAGTGATCCAGAGACGTCGGAGCATATGCAATGGCAATATCTACCGTCAGCTGTACAATGAAGACAATTCGCCCATGACATTAGCAACGCCATTCACCAAGATGGATTCTGGGGACTCGGATGCCTCTGTCAACTCTTCCAATTCGCAGTACGAGGCAAGGTACAATCATCCCTATTCAGGTCAACACGCCAGGCACCGCCGCAACGAGAAGCACCATCATAGACATCCCACATCGCATGTATCACCTTCTCTTGACAGAACAAACAGAAACGACAGCAACAGAAACCGCTCTTATGGATCCATTACCAACAAGAAGCAGTCTACAAATAGTCGATCTGTCAACACAAGCCATGCTCCTAGCAACAACAGCCGTCCATTCAGCTACCATGCTCATCCGCCTGATGTCTCAGGTCCACCGCGACGTTTCTCGGGCCTAGTTCGACTATCTGCTGCTCACATTGCTCTCAGTAGAACCAGGAAAAACAAGAAGCGGCAACGCTATCAATCTACCATGTCTATTATTCTCCACAAGCTAAAGAATATGGCATCTCGCGTTGTCAACAGCCGCATATCAGAGCCAGCAGACACCAAAATGTCCGTTGAGGAAATGACCTCACTATCAAGGTACCTCTATGTGCTGAAGCATGGCTACAATAAAGACAGCAAGAGCACCAGTGACAATGAAGAGGACACACATACAACAACAGATGGTACTACAACACCTGCCACGTCAAATCAGCCTCCCATCACTGGTTTGTTTGAAGAGGAAGAGTTAGGCGACACAAGCAATAATAGAGATCAAGGCAGCAATGAGCATGACGAAGAGACATCTCCACTGCTGTCACCATCCGAGCCCAAACGAAAGCGAAACCTGAGTAGCCTGGGCAACATATTTCCATTTGCACCTCTAGACCGTATGCCCAGCCTATCCAGGTCAGGATCAGAGAGTAGCCAAATCAATTCAGAGTCAGATCGCCTGTTATTGCCACCTTCGCCACAGCAATTTAGAACATCGCTGCTTGGTCGACATCAGAAAAAGAGACACTATCTGGATAAGGTGTCTACATGGATACAGCACGTATGCCGTCCCATCCTTCATATCCAGCAGTATCAGCAAGATCAGCAGGAGCACAATACCCAAATTAGATTTGAGGGATGGTCCTTATTTTTGTTTTCGCCTACTAGTTTGACTCGACTCTATCTGTGGAAGGTGGTGGGCGCAAGGCGAGTATACAGAAAACGACGTACAATACGTAGAGCTGACTTGCGCTGATGCTGATTAGATGGTTTGAAGTGCTTATATTGCTGCTGTTGTTGACACAGTGGATACTAATGTCATTTGTCCCTGTCTGGTTCAACAAAGATCCAGCTCTGTCTACCAGGATGGGCGATATCCTGTTGCTTTTCATCTACATAGTGTATACGTACGTACCCAGCAAATATGCATCTACTTTGCATACTGAAGCAACTGTTTTCTAGGTTTGAATTAGTCTCCAAAATCATCGTGTTTGGATTGATCCTCAACACGCATTCCACTACAAAACCTAGTCTGCGCACATGGAACCATCGCATCCGCCACCACTTCCACCGGCGGCCCAGCTTCCTTTCCGTAGTCTATACCAGCGATATTGAATCCATTCGATCCTACTCGGACGATCAACAGGACGATACCGCCTCTAACTATATCCGTAGCCATCATCGCCACACTCTACTGCCCTCATTTGCACATCCACCCAGGTCCATCTCCTCTGCAGCATCTATTCTCTCAGGCACAGGATCAGAGAGAGCGTACCCTAACCATCATACCATATCGCGTAGTGTCAGTGGATCGGAGCCACGTTCACCGAGCTCAGTATCGCCAGCAGCTACTCCCACAGACAATACCAGTGCTTCTGTCATTGATGATTTAGAGTCCATCCTCAGCCAAGAATCCATCTACAGTCAAGAGTCTTATCTGTCTCTGCCAAACAAGCAGCACCGCACTCGCATGGAAGAAGCTGACAGTGAGGATGCCAAGTCCATTCTCTCTGCAGCAGAGCAGCAAGTACTCGCCAGTCTGAATCCATATCCTCATCATCATACCACCTCTTCCGCAGCAGCAGCAGCAGCATCACCATCATCAGGCGCAGGCACTGATATCGATTTCCTCAAAGTGACACACAAGAGCTTTCTATCCAATCTGCCAAATAGCATTGATCTAATATCGGTGGTATCTTACTGGGTTGATCTTGCTACAGTGCTTTATCTCGGCAGACGTCCATACCCTATCTTCCAAGCGTTTGCAGCCACTCGATTGCTTCGACTGCTGGTCATTACTGAAGGCACTACGGTTATTATGAAATCGCTGAGCAGTAGTTATGATATGCTAAAGAACGTCATGGGATTCTTTGTCTTTTTCTGGCTGCTATTTTCTCTGGCTGCCCTGTTTATCTTTATGAATGCCTTTAGTAGACGCTGTGCTGTCTGGCCGGAAGACGGGCTCCATAAGGACTTGACAGACATCCAGTATGTAGAACCTCGCATCTCCTGCAGCGGTTACATGACAAGCGCCAATGACCGCACAGGCCCTTATGATATCAACACGGGCACGCAAAACACGCATCCTGGCGGCGATGGGCTCTTTTGCAAACTGGGACAGGTCTGCATTCAAGACGTTGCTAATCAACCCGAGTATGGCTATATGAGCTATGAGAACATTTTGTACACCATGCTCAATATACTGACTGTGATCTCTACCGAGAACTGGACAGACTTGCTGTACATTACGCAAGACAGTGTCTCTGAGCTGGGTGCTGCCATGTTCTACTCGTTTTGCATCTATCTGATGACCTTTATCATGGTACCCATGTTCATTGCGGTAATTACCACCTCCTTTTCTCATGTGCGAGGCGATATGCGAGAAAGCGCCTTCTCCTCCAAGCGAAAGGCGAGGCTGCTGCTGGCTTCTGGAAAGCGGTACAAGACGCATCATCAGAAAGAACACTCAGATGAGGATCGCGAAGAGTGGATATACGAGGGAGCTGGATTAGGAGGCCATCGTCAGGCCAGATCATGGGTACAAGGATGGGCCCACTTCGTTACGCACCATGCTTATTTCCCATATTTCGGCAGCATACTGGTCGTGCTGAATGTGCTTTGCATGATGTTTTACACTGCAAACATGTCAGCAAAAGATCAAATGTACTATGGTAAGCAAGTGCCAAATATTCAGCTACATGCTATTTACTTACGATAGAAAAAAAAAAGATCTTGTAAATAGGATTTATACCATCCTGTTTGCTGTTGAGATTATGGTTCGCATTTATGGATGTCTTCATTGGAGACAGTTTTGGATGAGAATACGGAATCGAGTGGACCTGATCATTGCCATTGCTACCGTCATGGATGAATTCTCCTTTGTGCGAGAGAGCAGATACCATCTCTTCTTGCTTGTATTTAGTGTGTGCAGGTCCTATCGCGTTGCGTATTTGTTACCAGGCGTATTGAGGTTGCTGGTAGGTAATTCTCATGTGTATTGAATGTATGTTGACTCAATCTTGTGGTGCATACAGTCTGATGTCATTGGCGATGGTCAAGGCATTATAAACTTGACATTTTTCACATTCTTGGTTCTGCTGCTATTGTCGCCCATGTCAGTGCAGTTGTTTGGTGGCGACTTTCGGTTTGTGCCTGAAGACGAGCCATCCATGCGCTTTGACAATTCGTATCAGGCGTTTTTGGCTCTATTTCAAATCATGACGGGTGAAAACTGGACTGATATCCTATATGATGCGATGCATAGTCAAGAAGATGCATCCGTGTCTTATGCTGCCATCTACATGATATTTCTTTATTTCTCAGTGCACTGTAAGTTGCATTGACCAAAGATAAACTTGCTACTAACTCAACCCTCGTAGATATGGTCCTCAACCTGTTTATCGCTGTCATTATGGAGAACTTTGATTTGGATGAGGAGGAGATCAAGCAAATTCAAATCAAAAAGTATATTCGAGAGCATCGATGGAAGCCCGAGTATTTCAAGATGGACACTATCAGCAGGTATGTCTGGTTCACATCAGCACAATGTAACGAATCTAACCTGGGGCCATTAGACTCTTATTGCCTCTGTTTGTCATTCAGGACGAAAAGAAGCTAGACTTCAAGAGCATTCCACAAAACCTCGTCGCTCAAGTTACGAGTAGCAGGTTCAAGGACTTTTTAGGACAAGACACCAGCAGCAGCGAGCACTCTCACCCTTATTCGCCAGGACATCCAAACAGACATCTGACTCATTTCTCTCTCTCCGAGCAAGGCCATTCATCTCGATTCTTTGGTAAAAGGCCATCCTCTCTGCTATCTCATAAAAGCGGCGTCAGCACAAGAAGGCCGTCTGTTGCATCGCAATACAGTAATCACAGCCTCCGTTTGGATACAGCATCAATAGCGTACCTGGATCAAGAAGACGAGCCTCTGGTCAAATACGGCGATGAATACGAGCTCAATGTGGCTCGAGAGAACAAGGCAGTGATTGTCGAAAATCTGAACGTGTTTCGATCCATCATCATTCTGAAAAAGGATAATCTGATACGTAAAGTATGTACACATCTTGCCACCAAGGACGGCTACAACTGGTTCATTGTGAGCTTGATTTGCATCAGCACACTGCTTGCATTATGGGCAGATGAGTCGAATCGAGAGCAACATCCTGTATTGATCCGTACGGTGATAGGACCCTTGCATGCATTGCTCTTGCTGATCTATTGGATTGATATCTTTATACACATGGTAGCAGATGGCGTGTTTATGCTTCCCAAATCCTATATGAGAAATGCGTGGAACCTGCTTGATATGATGAATCTGACAGGCCAATTCATTCTGACCATTCTGATGGCGACTGATCTGGATTCGGCTGAGAAACTAGCACTGTATGTAAGCTATCTGCGTATACTGAGAACCCTGCGTTCTGTGCGCATCGTTTACTACGTGCAAGGTATGCGTACCATCTTTTTAGACTTGGTGTATGGTTTGCCAAAAATGATTGATGCAGTCGCTTTGAACTTTTTGGTGTTTGTGCCCTTTGCTATCTACGGCTGCTTCTTGTTCAGTGGTCGATTCTTTGTCTGCAATGATGATGACATTGGCTCAAAGCAGGGCTGTTTAGGTGAATTTCCAGCCACGGATGACGACAATTACGGTATATTACTCCCAAGAACCTGGAAAGACCCCTATGATTACTCTTTTGATACGTTTGGAAAGTCGCTTTTGCATCTGTTTGAGTGTGCCTCTGGTGAGGGATGGGTAAGAGCGCAAGGGAGTCGACTATTGAACTGGATATGCTGACACTAACTGTAGATACTGTCATTATTCTCTGCAATGAGTGTGGTTCCAAAAGATAGAGACTTGCAGCCTCAATTCAGCTGGTCAACATCTTCCATATTCTACTCCCTTTACTATGTCGTATTCATGTTTGTAGCCTCTCTGTGCTCGATCCAATTGTTTATTGGTGTAAGATAAACATGTCCTCAATGCAAGAATGCTCAACTAATGCCGTATACAATATAGGTGTTCCTGGAGATTTTCAAGCAGAGAAGTGGTATTTCTTCATTGACAAACACGCAGCGACAGTTTCAGGATTTGCAGAGACAACTGGCATTGGTGAAGCCATCGAGAAAGGCAGAAAGGCCTCCAGATGGATCACTCAGGGCCATATGCTATGACTTGGTCATTGACAAGCGAGGCAAGTTTGCTCAGTTTATGGCTGCCGTTCTCGCTGCAAATATCATTGTGTTTGCTACAGAGCATTTGCATCAACCTCCATGGCTAGGGCATTTACAAGGTAGTAGTGTGTGTTAATTACCGGTACTGGTTCTCAATTTCTGTGATAGACGCATTAAATGCCATCTGCTTGTCATTATATGTATTCGAGATGGGAGCAAAGATTGCTGGATTAGGCCTCTATAAATGGGCTTCTGCAAGATGGAACATTTACGATATGGTGTTGGTATGGCTTGCTATATTGACATCGATTCCTAAATACTATGGAGAGTTACCAGTGAGTTTGGCATTTCTTACTGTCAGAACACATGCTGATATGTTTCGTAGTTTGGATGGGATGTGTCCCGAAAGTTGTGTCTAGTCGGTATAGCGTTTCGATTAGCTCAACGTAATGAATCACTGGACACACTATTCAGATCTGTCAAGTAAGTACATTAGTTGTATTATACAAGAAGAAAGCGTATTGACTGCATGTTTAGACGAGCATTGCCGTCGATCTTCTTTGTATCATTTGTATTTTTCATCGTCATTATCTGCTTTGGTGTCGCCTTTCAAGAAGGATTCTCTTCCACTCGCTATGGACCCTACGGAAATGAACACGCAAACTTTAGGTCGCTGTTCAACACCATATTGACCTTATTTCGCATCACTACGGGTGAAAATTGGGTACGCATTTCAAGTGATCTCTCACATCATAGCTGACCACGTACTGTTCCTAGGACTTCATGATGCATGATTTCACCGTTCTGCCGCCTGAATGTGTAGGCAAAGATGACTGTGGATTCCCAAATTATGCCATTTTCCTATTCATCAGCTTCTACGTTGTTTGCACCTACATCTTTGTTAATCTCTTCACAGTGGTCAGTGCTCAGTACGTTATTGAGTAGCATTGTTTGTTGACATTGGCTTGGATAGATTGTCATTGACAACTTTTCGTTTACATTTGATAAAAGAAATCAATTTACACTGATTACAAGGACAGATCTTCGATAGTAAGTCCATGACGAGATGCAATATAGCTGGTAGCTGACGTTGTGTGTAGCTTCAAAAAGGCATGGTCCACGCTGGATCCTACAGCCACTGGCTATATAGACGTAGCAAACGTTCCCAACTTTTTGAGTGTAAGTCATCACAACAGCTGCCCCTCTACCTAGTGACTAATGATTGTGCAGAAACTAGAAGGTGTCCTGTCCATCCACATCTATGAGAAAGAGCATTATCTAAGCACTTTGCTGGATGCTAGTAATCAAATTGATGGTGATGTCGGTCATCTGATCACTGTGTCTTTGTCAGATGCCAAAGGAGCAAGCAATACCATGGGAGAGCGATTTTTCAATCTGCATGAGTTCAATAAGAGACTGTCCAACATTGACCCCAATATCATCAAGGAAAGAAAGAGGCAATACGCCGAAGTGTACCAGGTAGAATACATCAATGCTTGTATGGGGATCAAGGCCAAAAGCTAAATCGACTGGTTTATAGGAAACCTTGAATGCAGCCTCACATCGTGGCATTGCTTTTCACCAAATGCTTGAGATTCTCGCCATTCGCCTGGTGGATGTCTCTAAATCACTCACGTAAATCAGTATGATTACTTGACCAAGATAATGTACTGACTTTTATATGTAGCTTTGATGAACTAGTGAACCGTGCCAGAATCCAGGACAAGGTGGCTAAACAATTGGCAGCGGAGCGTACCACAGGACTAGTGAACATGATGATCCAGAGAAGACAATTTTTGAAAAATCGCCAAAAAGCCAGAAACAGCCAAGTATTGAACAGTAATAATAGCAATCAAAGTAATGTAGGCAACTGGTTGAGGCCTGGCAGTAGATTGCCATCATCAAGCAGAGAGCGATCTGCCCCTTTCTTGCAACTTCGTCCTCCTATCAGCATACCAGCACACAGTAGATCCAAGTCGGAATCTCCCACTCGAGAGAGACGCAACAATGGAGGTAGACTCATGGGGGAAATATCATGCTGAGCAGTGGCTAACATAATTGAGAACATAGTGCCCAAGATTGTCGTGGACCAAGCACGCCAACAGAGTGTGGATTCAATCAAGTTGGCAGAGCCAGACTTGCAGAGCCAGCAACAATCATTGCGACTACCTGATCGATTTGCTAATCCTGCAAACGTAGCCAGAGGCATGCCTCAGAGAAGAAATTCCACAGTCATTGTACCCATCACATTAGGCGCACCTCCTGCACAAAGAGCAAGCATGGTTACGCAACAAACAGCAACCCCAGCATCAAGCATATCAGCCTCTGAAAAGGCACAAGTGTCTCCGCCCAACATACTTGCCAGAAGAGCTACCGCCATGTCGATACGAAGGATGTCTCTTACAGCTGACATGCCAGGATGCAATATCAGTACTGTCAATGAGAGCACAACGGATATGCTCGCTCTAGATGATACTGAAGACGATGTCTTTACGCAATACTATGCCATTGATGTTACCATGAATGATATGACAAGTCCAGATGCAAAGAAGATTGTGCATAAATTTGAGCACAATGCTTGGTCAGGTAAAAGTGCACACAAGACGGTTTGAAAGTAAGGTATACTAAGATTATTCGTTTTATTTAGATCTTTTACATCGTGAAGTAGCCTCTGATGAGGAGGACGACTAGTTTAGTATAATCTTCTTCTTTTTTTACTGTTCATCAGTGTCAACTGCTTGGTTATCTCTTCTTTTAGTTGCTTTTCTGTGACATACTGCCTTGTTAAGGCATCTGCTCTCTTTTGTAAGGACAATTAGAAGGAAAAATAAAGGATTAATGACATTGTCACAACTGAAATGATCCAGGATCTTGACTCTAATGTGTAGCCATTGGAGGTATTACTTTGAAAGTTGGAACTGCTACTTACAAGAGTACGGCCGTCCGTCGTAGTGTATTCTGTGGTCGATTGACTGAATGTTTGGGCACTACTGCCGGAACCAGAGACTTTGTTCTTGAATGGGCCAGATTCGGTAATGCCATCTTGAGAGATGGATTCAGGCATTGAAGCGGCAAGGATGCAGTATACAACCAACAAGAGTGCGAGTGTCAATTTCATTTTACCGGTGGTTGTGTTTGATGAACTACAGAGAGTGAATGAGAAAGAGTAGCGAGAAATGGGAGCATTTATAGGCGTATTAATTGACAATGAAATCTATTTTAGTGTACAGTTTTATTAGTTAAGGGGTTATTGTGGTGCTATCATATCGTTTTTCTGGATAAAAGGAGAGCATGGACAAAAGGACACCTACACTATCGCTATAGCAAAAGCAGTGGTAAAAGACTGACTACTTTAAGATAAAAACTTCCAGAATCTACTCATACGAGCAATAGTTTGGATCTTTTGTTCATTTGTCAAGGAAGGATTCTCTAAATCCCGGATATCTTCCAAAAATCTAGCACGAGTTGAGTTTTGAAGGGGTAATGAACGAGCGTATGCACGCAATAAATGGACTTCGCATAGTAGAATTCCTTGCGTTTCACATTCAATTTGGTACTGGTTACCACTGCTCCACTCATTTAGCTCTCCTTTTTCCTGGTGAATGGGCTCCATGACAATCAATTGTCTTTCAATACGACGAAGTGTTTCTTTCATTGGTAACCCAGTCTTTTTCATCTTTTGCTGTGATCTGCCTTGGATGGTGTTTCTGAACCAAGATATCGACGCCCAAGTCAAAAGCATCGAAGGTGCAACAGCTACATGCATAGAAATTAGAATCGTCTGCTACCATCTATTTGCAAAAGCATACCCAGAAAGGCAAAATTCAATTCATTGGATTTGAGCAACTTGTCCAGCGCAGACATGGCCAGATCAACATCAACCTTTGTCTTTTGGACTTGAATGAGGATGGTTTGTAATAGATCACCTACAATCACATTTCTCAGAGGATTCTATTGGCAAAATGAGTATTGTTGCATGCAAATCTCCACCAAAAGCGCTACCTTGATCTCTTTTTCATACTCTTTCAGCAGCACAGACATGTCTCCTTCGCGAATGTTGATAGCTAGTTGCGATAGCTCATGCTCTGGCATATGTAGATTGTCCTTTGCAAATCCAATGACCATGCGCTCGAGTGACTACAGAAAGAGTCAGTATGGCACTGTACGATTCACCGCCCTGAATACTTACATCCAAATCACTTTGAAGTCCTTCTTTGCTCAACAAGCTTAGTCGTTGATCCTTAAGTCGAATCGTATCGTATACTTTGACGACGGGTTCCCAGACCCAATTCAAAATGAAATCATGCGCAGTCTTTCCAGCTTCTTCAACCCAGTGCATGATGTCCTCCCTTCTTTTGAATCCATAACGAAGGGCTAATCCACCCACAAAATATGAGCCCAATGCAGGAATCCAATAACGTGTGATGACAGATGGTGTGCCGTAAGTTGACTGGATGCATTGGAGTCTGTTGTTGTACGAAGACGACCATTTCTTGGTCACACTGTACAACTCTGCAGTGGCATCATTTGCAGACGTTTGTCGCAGATCCATCGTGCTAAGACGTTGCTGCAGATGATGGGTGTTCTTTTCAATCTGCTCGCTGTCACCAGAAGCAGATCCCAAGACATACTTGATAACCTCAATGCAGTTTTTGGTCTCCTTTGCTGTTGCACTTGCAAAATCGTCCTGACTGTCGAATTGAGGAGGTGTCAATAACAAAACGCCCAAACTAGCTGCCTGCTCCGAGCGAAACTGCTGCAATGTTTTCTTTTTGAGGCACACTTCGCTGCTGATGATTTCAAGGATCAAAGGACGATGATGATAGGAAGATAGGTTGAAGAATTTGAATGCATTGAAAGCATTGAATGATTTCAGCGATGGCTGCTTTTCTGCTTTGGATTTATCATTGTAGATGCCATTGTTGTGAACAGGGAATAATTGCGACAATACATAGTCGGAGGATGTAAACAGTGATTTGGCTTGATCCACAACAGAGGACGTGTTGCTGATCTGCTTGGCTGTGTTCTTGAGTAATGAGTAGATGCGAGATGGTGCAACTATGAGTTCTGTGTTAGTATACAAGTTCTTTGCTTCGGTGTGTTCAAGGACTTTTTACTTTGCATTGCGTAATATAACTCGTTGATTGTGCTACCCTGAATACTATTCCAGTAATCGATCGACTCGGAAATAGGTAGAGTCAAATTGAGCACTTTGGAGAACACTTGGCCATAGACAGCAATGGTGCATTTCGCTACAAAGAGCCATTCAAGAGCTGGATCTGCTGTTTCTGACGTGGCATTCATATCACCTGAAACTTTGAATTCATGGTACCGTTCAAGATATTCTTGCACCTTTTCAAAAGAAGGCAAATTGGAGCTTGTCATATCCAAAGCTTGTGATGTTTCAAGCAAAAATTTATCCTTTTCATTGAGGGATGACAAGCTTGCTTTGCTGGCAATATGCCTTTCGAAAGATTGGGTGAGTGATGTGTTGAGCCGCTTTACTTGTTCGTTGACAAACGTTGACATGATTAAGGGAAAAAGAAAGGCACGTCGTGTTTGGTAAATTTTAAAGATCATCTGGGTTCCATTCGCATCATCACAGATACATCATTTCTTGCGTTGCGCTTGGATTTGACTGGACAAGTTCATGGCATAAATCGTCATTTGAACCTGATCTCTGATGTTTAAAGACTAGACTACAATTCAACATGACCGACGGCATTGCTTTCAACATACCCTCTTTTGGAAGCAAAGCTGATCGCTTTTACAGTAAGTGCCTGTCATTAACCGTCAGAAATCTGCACGACAAACATCATATCAACACCTACCAAGAAGCCAGTAAGAGCGGCATGTAATGCAGAATGCTTTTGGCTAGCAATAGATCACATTATGGCGTGAATATTGGTTTACCAGTTACAAAGTGATATATGGGTGTGGGTTCACGGATAACTGGATTGAGAAAGAGAAAACAAGGTAAATATCACCATCTCAAAATTCAGCCAGTTTTACATTCAAGAAGAGCGTTTGTAATTTGAATATAGTATTGGATAACAAGCACACGAATTTGATCCAGGAACGTTGCACCAGAAGAAGTAACAGGAGCCTTAGAGATTGTAGCAACTGTCAACCCCAATAAGCGTTGTTTTTAAAGTTGAAAAACTACCTTACCACCCTTCACGACGTTATATTTACTTTAATTACACTTTTTACATGATGCTTGCAAAAAAAAACAGTAAAATAAAATGAACGCTATCTCTTGTCTAATACAAATATTGCTGCTTATAAGTCAGCCATATCTTTCAGTACTAGAACATCCTGCGCTTTTCAATTATTAGAATCTAACGACGCTGTTAGGGATCGAACCAACGACTATTTAGCAATCGCTCAAGGTGAAATAAGGGTCATAATATAAAGGCTCTAGCACTGACATAGGGCTTGGAATAGCTGTTCCTCCTTTTTCGCAATATACGCAACACACCTGTAAACCTTGCCACACTAAAATGAAGCAAGTTATTACCAAGCGATTTTAAATACAACGTTTTGCAACACCTCATCTATCGTTTTACTATGACTTGTAATCACTTGTAACTGATAGCTTTTAATAGGCTTCATACATATGTCTTTGCTCAAATTGTCTTATTTCGAAAATCAACCGTTTTTGAACAGCAACCCATTATCCAACCTATAATCCAAGTACACCATTATTTTTCTCGCAGAATTTTGCTAAAGAAACATGCTGTCTTCAGACCTTTAGCGTCATTATTTTAAAACATAATTTTTGATGATGGCCCAAACTTTGAAACGGAAATAGTTTTGCACGTTCAAAATTTGATATGAGGTAAAAGATAGCATCCCATGAAATTGAAGCATGATGGAAATCAATGGTAAACGACGCATGCTTTTTAGCGAGGCATTGGGTACCGGAAAGACCTGAGACATAGTGCAATGCTGTAGTACCTACATTATATTATTACTTTCCCTATAATATAATAAACTTTGATAGACATCACTCGCATGAGGCGGTTTAATGGATGTTAGATCAAATGATTATACCTTATCTTACTTTTAATAAATAAAGAAGACTTTAAACTGTATTCATTTAATCATTCTTTTATTACAAACACATAAATATTATAAATGGCAGACCGATAGGAAATCAACTAGTTGTAACCCTTCGGTGCTTCGACCCCTGAGCCAATCAAATCGCTTGAAAACTTCGCTGACCTAAAAAAACTGCGAGAGTTTCTCCCTGTTTTGATGTGAGGCAAAAATTTAAAATCCGATATATTTAGCAATATAGCTGTAACTATCATCAAATATCCCTCAGGCGCCAGAGCATGCCTTACTTAGACCACCTAGCTTTAGATTCCGGCATTGAGACCCTCAATCATCACTAAAGTAAGTAGCGATAACCAAGTGGAGGCAGCCTTGTAATGAAATAGCCACCCAAACGCAACTTAATTGAAAACCAAAGTTCATCAAATAGCACTCATTCAAATTCATGCTATTTGGATCTATTAATGAAAGCGCTCAAATGTACATCAAAAACCCATTTAAAAATACTAAAGTAAAGATACACGCTTATATCGCACATCGTGTGAATGAATCACTCCTGATCACAGTGTATTCAATCACACCCATGATGGTCGTAATAGGTGATGGTATCTTTATCCAAATAGAATTAAATCAATAACAAGCATATTCAAATATGACAACTATGCCCTGCTGCCATAGTTGCACAATATCCCAGATAAAGGATTCCATGCTTCAATAACAAACATCACACTTTAAACCATCAAGATTACATTAAATCATGCTATGACGATAGCTCACCCAAGCCCATCAAGGTTACTCAAATCGACCCTTATGGCCAGTGCTCCTGCATTGATTACCACTTTAAATCAAACATCAACAACATTTGCCAGATATCGCAATAGCAGCACCTATTGCTCTCTATCATCACTAATCCTACAAGCCAGATGCAAATGTATAAATACTCTTCTTTTTTTACTCAATTCCAGGATCTTCAGTTCATTTTATACACAAATAAAATACAGTTGATTTCTATTGTATTTTACTATTGCTTTTATTTTTTTTTGTGAAATCTATTTAAACCCGATTTCACTGCAAGCCTATCTATCTCCTGGTGTCGGATAAAGTCTTGTTAAGCTTCAGTAATAGGCACATCCACACAACGTAAAAAAGGTATGCTTCAAAAGAAACATAAATATAATAAAAGAAAGAAGAAAAGAACATATTACTATAGGAGTATAGTAGTGTTAAGCACAAAGAATAAAAGGATTATTATTTGTAGCTGTTATGTCAAAATACAATGTAAAATTGAATCTGCCAAAGAATTACACTTTTATTGAGAATGCATCCCAAGGATGCATTTATATACTTTTCATTATGCTAGGGTTTACAGCATGATGATGAACTATAATACAAATAGGTTTACTATCTACCCAACAATTGATTTGTAAATCATGATTAGCATGATTTACCCAAAGGACCTAAGAATAGCCTAAAACCTTTAGTGTGAGACCTTGCTATGACATTTGATATAACAGTAGCTTATAAAAAATGTTCGATATTATAAAAACAAGAAAAGACTTATTTGAATAAGATCAGACACAAAACCTAAAGATTTATTGATGAAGACAAGAGTTATTCTATTTATACTAAGTTCTGAATGCCAAAGTAGCAATTTATCTTGTACAACACTTATCACATCTGGTGAACCTCAGTATTTAGATAGCTGAGATGCACTTCAATTATCATAGCTTGTCCATGTTGTTGCACAACACAGACATATCTACCCATCAAGAATACCTTAATCTTTATAGACAGTTGTAGCCCTTCTGGCACAACAAGTAGTATGTAAGCAAAAAAAAAAAAAAAAAAAAAAAAAAAAAAAAAAAAAAAAGAGGACACTCACACAAAGTGAGTCAAAGAAAAGCATATCACAAACACAACATCAAGGATGTTCAAAAGAGCTCGTTGTTGTTGCAATAGAATTGCATACATGAGCAAAGTGCATGGTAATAGTCGAATGTAAAGTAACTGTCATGAATCAAGCTTCGATCTGGTACCTGAATCTAGAATCATGCAGCCCAAGTATTATTGTGGAATTTGAGGCTTTATAGACTAAAATTCACGGAAAAAAAAGAATAAAAAACAATGGAGTCAACTTGATAAAGGTATGTTTTATTATCAAACTGACAGGTGTAAAGTAAACTGAAGTCTCTCTACTGGCCAGGTAGATGATCCTTCTTATATACTATAACAATGGATAAAAGTTCTATTAATTAGATTGACAAATAAGTCAACTCAGATCAACTAATGTCTAATCATGCTAAAAGACAACTCCAGCAAGCTAATCATGATTTAGCTCTGTCTGGATGAATAATTAGACTCTCATCCAAAGTACCCTGATCTATCCTTTCTATAAGGATAATTAATATCGATCTAGTAGCATGTATCCGATAGGTACAGTCTACTTAGTCTATATTAATAGTACATATCTGAGTGTATATCGCTAAGCATACATCTTTAGCATGTATCTGGATATATGGCATGTCTATAACATATCGTATGCATGTCTATAGCATGTCTCATATATAGTACAAGTCTGTAGTACATACAGTATCTGTAGCTAGTATTACGGATATAAGCATGTGTCTTATAGCGTGGATCATAAAGTGCACATCTGAAGCAACAGGCTCATATTGCATTAATCTTGGTGCCTATCCAGATATGGTAAACATCCGTAGTCAATGTCGGAATACAAGTATAAGTCTATAGCGCCATCCATGTCCGTGATGCCATCTATAGCTTATATCTTATATAGTATGAATCTTATAGTACTAGCGTATCTGAAGTCCATATCTTATAGTATAAATCGATATCTTACATCTAATCCAGTGTACATATAATTTGTATCTAAATCTGGTAACCGGATAAACTGTCAGAATGCAGATCATAGTGGATGTATTCCGCAAGCGTAATTGACTTACTCTTCTGGCAATGCAACCGACTACCCCCTTCGTTTTAGGTCGAATTCTGTTCAAATCTAGTCATTTTCAAGCACGAATAACTCATGCCACAAAGCGTTTTGAGGGCTTGGATTAGTACCACACGCCTCCTTTTGGCCACACTTTACTTCCTGATGCTTTATCTCAAATTTCTTTGGGTCATTGCAAATCCATGAAAATTCGCATATTTTTCATGTGTATTAGCAAGGGAAAATTCTTGAAAATCAAACGATCGCATTTTTCACCTCAAAAATAAAGACTTTTCTTATGATACATATCAGATCAAATTGATCGTAAAGATGGAATGCAACAGTGGAAACTCTTTCTATGAGGCTTGTATATGCTAAATTTTGACATATTCACAGAAAACCTGTTTTCATATTTTTGAAAATTGCTCATTATTTTCAGTTTAAAAACTAAATGTAACCAGCATCATCCGATGCGCCTTCATTGACACTTTATAAATGCATTAGAAAGTAAAGTATAACAATGACATTTTTCATAGTCAAATTTAGCAAAAATGTTTAAAGGATGTCAGATCAAGTCAAAATTTGAACACAAAAATGACAACTGCACAAATCCAAATTTGAGTGCCGCAGCGTCAGCTGTTGTGGCAGAAGACTGAGGCCAAATCCACTGGCTGTGACGTCGGATAGAACGCCCTCTCATTTTTCCATTCGCTCGTTTTTTTTTCCTTTTGCAAAACGCGTTTAGTATCAAACCATGGCTGTTTTGGAAACCGTTCGATTGATAATAATACCCTAACTGCTAATAACACTGCCTTGTATTGCTAAAAGAGCTTGATACTGCTTCTTTAACGTGGAATATAGTAGACATTATTCGATAAACGAGCACTGGAAGACGTAGAATCAGCACTAATCGAATTTGTTTATTGGGTTTCGATAATTTTTTTTGCCTGTGTCGTGGGTGCTGCTGCCATTACTTCTCTGCTATCTCTGCTGTCTGCTTCTTTGGCCTCTATCTCTGGCGGTTGCTTCTTTAATCTTTGTCTAGTCTCTGGTGCCGCTCGTTCTTTGGTTTTTCTATGGAGTTGGTGTTATTGCTACTGGTGTTGCTACTGGGGCTACTGATGATATTGCTGCTGGTGTTATTAATGATGTTTTTATTGCTGGCGTTGCTGCTGGTGTTGCTGCTGCTAATATGGTCTTTCCTGGTCTACTGTCTTTGTTGCATGCTTGTTCTCTGGTCTATCTCTGGCGATTCCCTATACTCTTCTGGTCTCTCCGTGGCTGTGGTAAGTGGTAAGTAACTTTTTTTTTATTCTGGTCGTAATGATATAAAACCTCTTTGAACGTTTGTATTACTGCTTCCTTTCTCGTGATAATGCATTTTATCATGTTTATTTTGTTGTGTCTTTCTTTTTCTTTTGTTGGTTGTGTTGCCTCTGCGGCTTCATATGAAACAACATTAGTAGTCATTATGTTCTATTGCAAAGTTATAATACCACTGTTGCTTTTGCAGTTGTGCGTGTTTGTGTTGCTTTACATACGACTATTATTCCTATGCATGTTGCTCATGTATGCGTTTTTGTTGCAACAACAACGAGATGTTCTGAACATCACTGATGTTGTATTTGTTATACTTTTCTTTGACTCACTTTGTGTGAGTATCCATTTTTTGCCTACGTACTACTAGACTCCTATAGTAGTATGTTCTTTTCTTCTTTCCTTTATTATTACTATGTTTCTTTTGAAGCATGCCTTTTTTACGTTGTGTGGATGTGCCTATCCCTGAAGCTCAACAAGACTTTATCCGAGGCTAGGAGGTAGATAGGCTGCCTCCACTTGGTTATCACTACTTACTTTAGTGATGATTGAGGGTCTCAATGCCAGAATCTAAAGCTAGGTGGTGTAAGTAAGGCATGCTCTAGCACCTGAGGGAAATTTGATGATAGCAGCGGCTATATTGTTATTATATCGGCGCTTAAAATTTTGCCTCACATCAAAACAGGGGGAAACCCTCGCAAAAAAATTTTTAGGTCAGCGGAGTTTTCAAGCGATTTGATTGGCTCAGAGACCTAAACGGTGAAGAGTTATAACTAGTAGATTCCATGTTGATCTGACATTTATCCTAATATAATATTGTAATAAAAGAACTACAACTAAATAAATACAATTTAAACCCTCTTTTATTCAAAGTAAGATAAGGCGCAAGCACTTTATCTATCATCCATTAAACTGTTCTATGTAAGAGAGATTCTTTAAATTTATTATACAGGGAAAGTTATATAATAGACACAGCAGTAAGTGCACTAGGTACCAGCTTCTTCCTGTACCAAATGCCCCTGCGTTGTTTATCATTGATTCTGAACAAGTTTCGATTGCATGGGTTGCTGTTTTTTGCCTCAAATCGAATTCTGAAAGTATAAAGACGATTCCAATTTCTGATGCTAGAACTCTGAAATTAGTATGATGCTATAACGAAACGTTGCAAGAAAAACAACAGTGTAATTGAATTGTAGGTTGATGGGCACTTGCTGATGACTGTTGTTGAGAAATCGATGATCTTCCAGATATGCCAATGTTAAACCATGACCTTGATATATAAGCAAAATGCTGCAGTTGCATTCATCATTAAGACGTTGGCATATGGTGTGGAATACATCCACTATGATCTGCGTTCCGACAGTTCATCCAGTTACCAGATTTAGATATAAACTGTATGTACACTGGATTAGATGTACGATATCGATTTATACTATAAGAAGATATAGACTTCAGATACGCTAGTACTATAAGATTCATACTATAAGATATAAGCTGTAGATGGCATAACGGATATGGATGGCGCTATAGACTTATACTTGTATTCCGACATTGACTTATTTGTCAATTTAATTGATAGAATGTTTATCCATTGTTATAGTATATAAGAAGGATCATCTACCTTGCCAGTAGAGATATTTCAGGTTACCTTACACCTTGATTTATCAGAAATAAATTATATATAAAAAGAATATGAAATTAATCAGGTAAAGAATATCGCTTATTACATTGGAAATAAGAAGGTTTATATACTGTTCGCATTCAGGGATTTGATGTGAGGATAAGGTATTAGATGGGTTGATTTGGGTGATAGGATAATAGATTAGATCTATTATCCTAAACATACCATGATACGGATCGTAACTAAATCCTGTTTCATGTCAAAATTTATGATCTGATGTTATCTGTGCTTGAACTGATTGTTTCTACGCATTTGGAGATTTGGTTTAGAAATGACACATCACACCTGTCAGTTTGATAATAAAACCTACCTTTATCAAGTTGACTTTATTCTTTTTTCATTCTTTTTTTTTTCGTAAATTTTAGTCTTATTAAGCCTCAAATTCCACAATTATTCCACAACGTATTAAGTTTGATGAAATTCTATTTTTTTTTTACCTATGAGGTCCTGGAGGTACAAAATGTTTTTTGATTTTGAGGTTTTCAATTTTTGGAAGATCGAAAATCAATTTTCTAAATACTGATGCTAGAGCTTTGAAAGTAACATGTTTCTATACCAGTTTTTTGCCAAGGTAACGATAGTGTAAACTAAATTTGAGTAGCTAACATGTTTACTGAGAAATCAGTGATTTTAAAAAATGGTGCATATTAAGTAGATGTTACTAAGAAAACTTTTTGAATTGCTATAAAAATGTAGAGTGTATGTATAGTTAAAGTTGTAGAGGGTTATTTTTCTGACTAGAGCATGCTTTATGTGGGGCTATTAACGGTATACGGATAAGTACTGATGAATAATACAGTGCGCGAAAAAACGTTCCAGTGTTTTGCCAATTCGTAGTTTTACACTTACAGCTCTGTCAATTTTTCTCCATTTTTAAAACTAAAGTGAGACTACAAAAGCTTGGGTTTTTAGCCACAAAATGAGCTACTATAATAATTGATACAGTAGATATTGAGCTAGTGCAACTGACGTAAAATAAAAAATTTCAATTTTGTAAAATTGGAAATATCGCTTGATGACCTTATTGTTTGTATACATTCCACGAAAATGATCCGAGAGCCTTAATTTTTTATATCAGTTATGTTTAAAATGTTAGTTATCCGAGGAATACTTAAAAAAGTATAAGGAAGCCTGAGATTTTGGTCTTTTCCCTCATTATATTTTACCATCTTTACTCCATCACTTTTTTTAACATGACACGTCCCATTTCTCAGGAGGTTCAAGGATTTGTCAAGACTCTTTTCAACCAAGGTTGTTCCCTCCGTGCCATTCAAAAAATATTCCCAGATTTGTCCGTTAGTGTACTTTCTCGCTACAGGAAGAAGTTTCTTGTTCATTCAAAACATGCCAAACCCGGAAGACGCAGCAAAATCACTACGCAAAATATGAACTACATTGAGAGGAATCTCCGCAATGGTAATTTAGACGGCCCTAGGGGTGTGCAGTGCTACCTTGCTCATATGGGAGTTCAGATGACTTTGAGGAATATACAGTATATACTCAAGCGCAAAGGGTTCAAGGCTAAAAGAAAGGTAAAGACCAATTTCGTGTTTGCGGAGAACCGGAAAAAGCGTCTTGTGTGGGCCAAGAGACATCGACATTTGACTGCGGACGATTGGCGTAAATGGGGATTTTCCGATGAAACCAGGGTCAACATGTGGGGATCTGACGGCGAATCTTTCTACTGGACTGACAGGCCCACTGAGTTGATGCCTCATCAAACTGAGGCTCAAGTTCAGGGAAATGGTGGTGGTGTTGTTTTCTAGGGCATGATAACAGCGGTGGGACCCAGCTATGGCTCCACCATTACCGAAGGAACTGTTAACTCAGAAGTTTATGCTGAAATTCTGGACTCATTCTTGCTAGACGCTATCGAGTACTATGGGCTGGACAAGAAAACGTTTAGATTCCAGCAAGATAACGCAAGACCACATACTTCTGGTCCCATTAAAAAATGGTTCACGCATCACGGACTTTCTGTGCAAAGTGCCCTTGATTGGCCCCCTCCAAAGCCCTGACCTAAACCCCATTGAACATGTCTGGCATCAACTAAAACGTCGTTTGAACAAGTACCCTACTAGGGCCACCAGCCTTTCTAATCAAGGTCCTCTAGGTGGAAAAATTAAACATAAATATGTTTTAGTATAATGATATTGGAGCAACTTCTAAGTGAGAACATTATATTGGAAATGCGTACTTCATGAAATAATCAACATTGAAGATGCTATTTTTAAGTGGGGGAATATTCATACTTTAAATCGGAAAACTTATTATAATTAAACAAAGCAAGCTACAACTGTCTAGTCTTAAAAGCAAGATTTTCCAACATGTCAAGTATCTATTGATAACTTGAAACAAGCAAGTTAATATGGTCCTTTTTGTACACTCCGATTTTTAATATGCTTGGTCAATGCATGCTTGTGTGGTGTACACATGGGAAGGTTAGACGGAGTTTCAATTTCTATGGCTCTGAATGGGGCTTCGTGGGGTTCCGAAATCTGTCGACTTATAAATTACTTGATTCTTGATAACAGCAATCCCTTCAAACTTATTTGAAACTTGTAAAGAATTCAAAGGAGAATTCAATGATACTTATATTAAGTGTTTGGTTTTGTGTCAGAAGGACTACAACTGTCTATAAAGATTAAGGTATTTGTGATGGGTAGATATGTCTGTGTTGTGCAACAACGTGGACAAGCTATGATAATTGAAGTGCATCTCAGCTATCTAAATACTGAGGTTCACCAGATGTGATAAGTGTTGTACAAGATAAATTGCTACTTTGGCATTCAGAACTTAGTATAAACAGAATAACTCTTGTCTTCATCAATAAATCTATAGGTTTTGTGTCTGATCTTATTCAAAGAAGTCTTTTCTTATTTTTATATTATCAAACATTTTTTATAAGCTACAAGTCATAATCCTTTTATTCTTTGTGCTTAACATTTGGTATACATTGTTCAACTAATATTTGATGGGGTAAATTTTGCAATGTTTGGATTGTGTGAAATACACTCACTCTGATCTGCAATCGAATATTTCGTCCTATTAACAGATATAGATCAAGGTATTTCGGATAAGAGTTTAAACAATCAATTAATGGAAGCGCAATCTTGCTTAGTTCGCTGATGTTGTCTGTTATTATAAGTAAACCTTAGCTGGTTTGAGTCGGCTTTTATTTTGGTGACACTCTATAACTTTTTCGGCACTCCTATTCGTTGAATATTTATCAATGACAGCAAAACTGTCGTGCCCAGACTTAGGTTTAAGCCGAATGTAAAGAAAGCGATTAAAAGGCGCCAGCGTATACTCGAAGGTTCTGGAAACTGATATCAGAGATTGATCTGATTATTAGTTGCTATATCAAGTACCATGTCTACTCGAAAGTTCCATTTGATTAAGTGATTTTCGATCGTAGAAGTAGTATAAATATACGTTGTCAATGCATTCAATAAACATCATCTTCCAACATAATCTCAAGATACTAGTTACACTCTAAGAATCGAAGTAATTTGTTGACTCCTACCATTGGATTAATCTATCAAGACGACAAAACTGTCAGGGTTGAAGGTATTCTGACAGTAATTTAGATCTGCAGGATATTATTGACAGGCTAAACACAAACAAGAATAAGAAGCGCAGGTTTAAACCTAGCGCGCCAGCTACCAGGAACATCAAACGGCGATTAACCTGGGTAGCGTACAACATTACACAAACTATATTGGATAAAACCAATATCCAAATATAATAGTAATAAAGACACCTTTATATCCATTCAACTAAAAGGCTATAACATCTTCCTGCAAATTCTTCCGTGTATATCTCGATCAGATCTCAAATTGCATATACCATCTCTATATATATAAGCATCTGACATCAACATAACAGCTTCCGTGGCGCAATTGGCTAGCGCGTCTGACTGTTAATCAGGAGGTTGGTGGTTCAAGCCCACCCGGGAGCGTATTTTTTGTTTTTATAAAATAAAAACGTCTCGCGCTTTTGTCAGGTTCACATAGCTTTTGTTTGTAACCTTTTAATTTAGTATAAATATCAAATCAATTTGCAAAACAATAAAGATCATCTTTTATCTCAATTCTATTCTTTTGTATACATTTGCCAAGGTCTACTCAATAACCATATCTCTATTAACGACACTTTTTTTCGATGATTGTCATGATAATCACCAAACTCCTAAAATAATACATTTTATTCTGCCGTCACATAGTAAAAAGTTAATTACAAGAGTGCCCGTAGGGAAATCAGCCATTACTGTCAGCTTGGCAGAAGCCTAACAATATTCTTGGGAAAATAAAGCATTTACGTAATCCTTTTCTCTTCCTATTCCCAAGTTTTACCTAACAATCCAAATGCCTCGAAGCTTGAGAAGTCGTTTAAACCGCTCTGATTCTTTGTATACTCCAGTCGAGCCATATACTGCAAATTTTGTCTTTCACAACTTTCCTGAACCTATTGAAGGTAAGATTCCAGTAACAACTTCCCCAACATACATGAGCCCAATTTTGGAATTAGGAGCTACCATCAACGAGAATATAGTAAGGTGTAATTGGTGTGGCCGCACTGGACACCAAAGGCGTTCGCATAAGGATTGTGGAATGAGGATACTTCGAAATACTTCTGACAGGAGAGCAACTTGTCCATGGTGCCATAGAGAAGGACATACACGCAGAAATCATCTTGACTGTGCGCTAAATCCGATCAATCAGCCATCTGAGCAACCGTCTCCAACATCGATTGTACAAAACTTTCCAAATGCCTCTCAATCTGAGGCCACAGCCGAAACTCTGGACTCAAATGTCATTGTAACAGCAGTTGTATGTCCCTTTTGTGGAATAGAAGGACACCAACGCCGATCTCATTATAATTGTGCCGAAAATCCTCTACGTACAGGTGCAATAGATTCTTTTTTGATGGCGTGAAATCCTGAAGCACCTGAGGCTAACGGAAATGATTTGGGAGGCATGAATGCTTTGTGCTCAAAATATGGAGCCTACATGTGGATTGATGAAAGAAAGCAAAGAACAACAAGAGCTTCTCCAACGTTTCAAATCTGCTGTCAAGATGGCCAGGCAATTTTGAAGCCAGTACACCATTTTCCAGAGCTTATTGTCAATCATTTGAGTGGCAATGACGATGTTAGCAAAGTGTTCAAATCGAATATTAGAACGTACAATTCTGCTCTCAGCTTCACCTCCATGAATGAAACTTTAGATCAATCAGTTGCGAATAATCAAAATGGTGCCTACGCATTCCGTATTCACGGTAGCGTCTATCATCTCATGAGCTCTGCACTTATGCCAGCAAATGATACACGCCCAAAATTTGCTCAAATATATATATTCGATGGGGAAAATGAGCTCCAAAACCGACTGAATGTTGCTGGAAACCCCAACGTTGAGAGAACCACTATGCGTCTCCTCCAAAATATGATGCACGAAGTCAATCCTTTTGTTGACTTATTTAAAGCCATGGAGAAGCTATCAGTTGAGCAACCTGGAGGAATGTAGAATATACGAATGATATTTCGCTCAGAGGATTCTCCTGATCCAAGAAGGTACAATAAACCTAGAGTTCCAGAGATTGGTGTACTATTGTTTGATGGCGACGATGAAAGCAGCAACGAACAGCCAAAAAATCGTGATATTGTTTTAAGATTGAAAGGCTCTGGTGATAACCTAACAAGGATTAATGAAACCAATCAATTCTTTGATCCTCTTCAATACGTTTTGGTGTTTCCATTTGGCGATCCTGGGTGGCACATCAAAGTGAAAAGCTTTGATCCCTCTGAAACCGAAATCGACATTGCATCTGATAGCAATAATAATGATGAGGACAAAACCATCACCAACATGCAATACTAAAGCTCAAGATTAATGGTACGACAAGGACAACAGCAAGGACTACCAAAAAATCAGCAAATTAGCCTGCATTCATTTAGAAGATTATTTCACCAATACGTCGTCGATATGTATGCAAAGATGGAACAACAGCGACTGAACTTTATTAGATTCAATCAAGATACCTTACGAGCTGCTGTTTATAGCGGCCTTCAAGATGCAATTCAGCTGAACGACCATGACATAAGCGCGATTGGAAAAAAGGTTATATTGCCTTCAACATTCATTGGTGGCCCAAGGTTCATGGCTCAACCATATCAAGACGCTATGAATTTGGTCAGAAGATTTGGCAAGCCAGATTTATTCATTACGTTTACCTGCAACCCGGCCTGGCCAGAAATAACCAGAGAATTGCTTGAGCACCAAATCGCAGCTGACAGACCAGATCTTTGTGCCAGAGTTTTTCATCTGAAGCTGAAGCTTTTCATTGAAGATGTCGTAAAAAAGTCTGTTCTGAGAAAAGTAATTGTATATATATACTCCATTGAATTTCAGAAACGGGGGCTACCTCATTTTCATATGTTGTTTATATTGCAAGACCAGGACAAGCCAACGACCACTGAACAAATCGATAGGATTGTATCCGCAGAAATGCCTGATCCTGCTTCAAACCCACTTGCCTATAAAACTGTGGCTAATAGCATGATTCACGGTCCATGCGGTCTGTTAGATCCGAATGCTCCCTGTATGGTGAACGGTAAATGTTCAAAAAATTACCCGTACCCATTCATGGACGAAACGACTATCAATCCAGAAGAATCAAGCAAAATTATATACAGAAGACGATTGATGACTGACCGTACAATTTCCAGGCATAGTGGAAGAATCACTATTGATAATCGTTGGGTTGTGCCTCATAATCTTTATTCAGTTGCTAAATACAACGCACATATCAACGTGGAGATTTGCAGCCATGTCAACTCGGTCAAATATATTTACAAATATGTATACAAGGGCCATGACAGAGCAAAGGTATATATGGGTTCATCCGCTCAAGATGATCACCCGGATGAGATAAAGTTTCTTGATGCAAGATATGTCTCGGCATCTGAAGCCTGTTGGAGAATTATGTCTTTCCCTATGCATAAGGAACACCCCTCTACACAGCGCCTGGATATCCATTTGGAGAACGATAGAAGGGTGTACTTTAACGAGAACGAAAGTTCTGACCAGGTCTTGAGTCGTACACTTCCAGAAACAACCCTGACAGCTTGGTTCAAGTACAATATCGAAAATCCTGAAGACAACGAAGCTAAGCAAACTTTGTATCCAGACTTCTGTGAAAAGTACGTTTTTCATAAACAACAGAACCCAAGAGTTTGGAGATCTAGACGTTCAGGTTTTGGTGGAGCCACTGGCAGAGTCTACGCTGTATCTCCAAAAGATATTGAAAAGTATCATTTAAGAATCCTATTGTATCGAATTCCAGGAGCAACATCCTTTACCTACATGCGAACGTACAATGGCCGCGTCTATCCGTCTTATCGGGCTACTGCCAGAGCAATGGGTCTTCTGCAAGATGACAATGAATGGAATGATACCATGTCAGAAGCAAGCACCACTATGTCACCTCAAAAAATACGGCAACTCTTCTGTATTCTGCTCTCCTTCTGCGATGTCTCTGATCCTTTTCAGCTATGGTTGAATCACAGACTGCATCTAGCCGACGACTATCTGTATCGTAGGCAACAAAAGGCAAGAGCTCTGAATCAACCTGTTCCCACTGAAATAACAGATGAGATGTATGGCCACTGCCTTCTTGATTTGAATCAAATTTTGGTTGCCAACCAATTTGATTTGAAAACTATGGATGGTTTCAAGGACGTTTTCCCTACTGTTGATACTAGGGATAATTATGCTTACCCTGAGGACTCTACCCCGCTGGAAAGGATGCATGCCACTCTGCTAATTGAAGCCTTGGAAGCTCCTGACCCAAACTCTTTGCCATTCAATCCAAGCCAATTGATAGCTTACAATGCCATTCAACGTTGCGTGTTAGCTGACGAAAACTATGATGCTGCACAGTCCAAACTGTTTTTTATTGACGAGCCTGGCGGTACTGGGAAAACTTTCATCATCAATGCTTTGTTAGATGCCGTTCGCAAACCAAATCATATTGCAATTGCAGTTGCTTCAACAGGAACGGTGACATTGCCTGGGGAAATTCCTTCAGATTTTGTGCGTATCCCAGATGAGATGTATTTCAATTCTACCAACTTGCTGGATTTGCTAGCTGCTGCGTTTCCAAATATCAGCAATAGCTCAACGATTGACCAATATTTTGCGAAACGTGTTATATTGACCCCAAAGAACCAAGATGTCTCAGTCATAAACAATCTGCTACTTGACAACTTGCCGGGAAGAAAGTTCACTTATTACAGCTATGATCAAGTCTGTGATCCTCAATTTCAAATGCAGGTGCCTCTCGAGCTTCTCAACTCCATAGAATTTGGCTCTCTGCCTCCACATGAATTGGTTTTGAGAGTTGGGTCTCCAATAATGATCTTGAGAAACTTAGATTCTTCAGCTGGATTATGCAATGGAACCAGGCTAATCGTGAAATTTTTGGGTGTTAGAATAATTGAAGCCACCATTGCCACAGGGCAAAAAGCAGGTGACGTTGTGTATATCCCAAGTATCAAGTTTATTACAGAAGCCAACGGTAGAATTCCCTTCGACTTCAGTCGCACTCAGTTTTCTGTGAGATTGGCCTTTGCCATGACTATAAACAAATCGCAGGGCCAAACATTATCTAACGTTGGATTATATCTTCCCTCTCACGTCTTCTCGCATGGTCAGTTGTACGTCGCAATGTCAAGGGTCAGTAAGCCTTCATCGATAAGAATCATGGTTGATTCTGATATTTCTGTACTGGAAAACCTACCTGGCCACTATACACACAATATAGTATACTCTGAGGTCTTTCAATAAAGTTTTTATATATTTATATCTCAAATTACATCCATTTTTTATTGTCAGGCCGTTAGTCTCATCATTTCTCAACAGATGTAAAGCTTTGTTTAACGGTGGAGTAAGCCTGCGGCAGCACGACGTTGTATACACCGCGAAGCAGTGTTGTGCAACTAGTAATTTATTATAATGAATCAGTTATAAGTTAAAAGACATTGTTTATTAGGTTTGACTGCTAACACTAATATTTGTGCTATTTGGCTTGTGTAGCAAAACAAGTAAATAATTACAACAGGATGTTCGACATTGACAAAGCGAAGTAGCTCTATGTTTTAAATCGTAGTAATATCCACCTTCTTGTCACTACATACAGTTATCTATTTTACTTTTCAACAGTAAGCAAATAAAATACATCACACTTGATGCCGCACAATTTGCATTTCATTCACAACTCAATTTGACTTGAAAATGACTCATATCAAGCGAGCACGAAGTAAAGGACCAGATCAGCGCTGCAGTGCCTTCCGTATCCAAAAAAAGGACAACCATAATACATCAAACTCTATATCTCAATCTATGAAGTACAATTACGTAACCAAACTTACGAAACCATGTACATCAACCCTTGTAAACTAAGTAGGTATCCCTCGTTCATCGATGGATATTAGTACAGAAATATTATCAAATCTCAATTCAATTCTTGTTAACCAAGGCATTATCACAGACATATAGAAAAACAAAATACTGTAGGGGAAAAACTGTCCCGTTCGTTTAAATAATCTTGACTTTTACCTAGTATATTGCCAAAACTCAGAAAACAAAGCCACCCCATACTGCGTTCGATAGAACAGCCTATAGGGATTACAGCAATATAAAAATCTTATGGCTGGACTATATTTTAATCCCAGTATAACCAGCTAAAGTGAGACGTGGCAAAAATGTTAGGTGGGTAATTCTAGATGATATAAAATGGTTGATATCTTTACTTCAAATAGACGTATTGAAGAAATCTAAAAAACTACTCGCGGTATGCTCAGGATATCTAATATCCCAGGAGCACTCTAAAAGTATAAAAGAAGCTAGTTTCTTCATGTTTTTTCTTTATTTCTTTGCTTTCTTATTTTTTTTCAAAACTTTCATTTTGCCTGCTCGTTTAACACAAGATTTGCGCAACGTTCTCCAATCTTTGCTCCAACGTGGTCTTTCGCTCTCAAAGATAAAGAATTTGTATCTAGGAGTGGGTAACTCTACTCTTACAAGGCTCAGAAAACTATATTGCCCTGACCCAGCTAGACCTCTTGGCGGAAGACCGAAAAAACTTGGTGCTAAAACTATGTCCGTAGTGTCAAGAGGACTTCGATCAGGTGCTTTAGATAATCCCGGAGCAGCGCAAGAAAGTTTAAGATTGATGGGGCATGATATGTCAATTAATGGCATCCGCAAGTCATTGAGACGAAATGGACTTAAATTTCGTAGAAAAGTAAAGACCAATTTTGTTAGCAAGACAAACAAGCGGCTTCGATTGGCGTGGGCTAAAAAGCATAAGCATCTTACTATTGCTGATTGGAGTCGTTGGGTGTTTTCGGATGAAACAAGAATAAACCTTTGGGGCTCAGATGGTAATTCTTTTTACTGGATGAATGGTGGCCGAATCATGCAGTCGTATTAAGTCAAGTCTCAGTTGCAGGGAAATGACGGTGGGGTCATGTTCTGGAGTTGCATAACAGCGGAGAGTCCTGGTTATGGTACTACCATTATTGAAGGCTCAATAAACTCGGGCTTGTATGTCGATATTTCGAAGACATCATTGAACGATACTCTTGAGCACTTTGGGAAGACACCATCTGATGTGCGATTTCAACAAGACAGAGCAACACCGCATACCTCAGGCACTACTAAGCAATGGTTTACCGACAATGGGTTTAACCTAGACGAAATTATGGATTGGCCACCCCAAAGTCCCGATCTTAATCCCATTGAACATGTCTGGCATCTCCTAAAGCTTCGTCTTAATAAGTATCCTACTAGGCCCTCTACAAAAGAAGAATTAGAGCGGCGTATTAACATTCAGTGGTAAAAAATAACAGAAAAAGAGTGCCAGAAATATATTGATAGTATGCCTGCCCGAATTAAGGCTGTCATCAAGAGCAAAGGTGGTTCAACTCACTATTAATGATTTTATAATAAAATGTACATTTTTCTATATTTATTTTTTAACCAATAAAATCATTGGATTTTAGTTTTTGAAAAAGTTATAATTATGTATAGATAGCACTACTTTCTCTCATTCAAACGATATATATTTCGACTTTGTATACAAAGAAATGACCAAAAACTTGTGCAAAAAGACAAAATTTTAAACGAACGGGACAGTTTTTCCCCCTACAGTAGTATAAAAGCATAAATCTCAAAAATCAATTAATAAAATCATCTTATACTCTACTAACATTTCAATACATATCTTAACTAAAGCTCACTAATTACTATATCTACTTCTTTTTTATACTTATACATTTGCCATTTGTAAAATCCCTTGAATTCTTTATATATTTTTTACATTACAATCAATTCAATGTATACTCTTATATATATATTTCTGTATCTCTTCCTTTTTCCTACTGTTTCTTCTGTTTATTTGTTTACTCTACTTGGATAGCTACAAACCAGGTGTTCATTTGATAGTTAGGTTTGCTTTGGCTAATTTACTATCTTTTTACATATTCTTTTATCAAACCTATACACACTACTATCAACTCGCCTGTAACATTGGGTTATAGACTATATTATTTGCTTATTATATTAATGAGTGTGTTTATGCTTTGGTAAGAACCAATCTACGCAGCGACAGCTTGCGCTACCAGATTGCCCTTGCTCATCTTATCAAAATACTGCTACCTTCATTTTAACCTCCACTCTCGCATGAAAACCCTTAATACTATCTGCGGATTTGTCTCTTATGTGAAGTTCCACATCCATATACACATAGATACTTCATATACGGGCAAGCAACATACCGGTATTTCCCCTCTTTTAGTCCTTAGTGTCCATGATACAGCAGATTTTGACTACATTTGAGCTGCGTTTTCTTGTGTTCAAGACCGTTTTAGATCGTCAGTGTGGAATTTGAGGCTTTATTGACTAAAATTCACGAAAAAAAAAGAATAAAAAAAGAATAAAGTCAACTTGATAAAGGTAGGTTTTATTATCAAACTGACAGGTGTGATGTGTCATTTCTAAACCAAATCTCCAAATGCGTAGAAACAATCAGTTCAAGCACAGATAACATCAGATCATAAATTTTGACATGAAACAGGATTTAGTTACGATCCGTATCATGGTATGCTTAGGATAATAGATCTAATCTATTATCCTATCACCCAAATCAACCCATCTAATACCTTATCCTCACATCAAATCCCTGAATGCGAACAGTATATAAACCTTCTTATTTCCAATGTAATAAGCGATATTCTTTACCTGATTAATTTCATATTCTTTTTATATATAATTTATTTCTGATAAATCAAGGTGTAAGGTAACCTGAAATATCTCTACTGGCAAGGTAGATGATCCTTCTTATATACTATAACAATGGATAAACATTCTATCAATTAAATTGACAAATAAGTCAATGTCGGAATACAAGTATAAGTCTATAGCGCCATCCATATCCGTTATGCCATCTACAGCTTATATCTTATAGTATGAATCTTATAGTACTAGCGTATCTGAAGTCTATATCTTCTTATAGTATAAATCGATATCGTACATCTAATCCAGTGTACATACAGTTTATATCTAAATCTGGTAACTGGATGAACTGTCGGAACGCAGATCATAGTGGATGTATTCCACACCATATGCCAACGTCTTAATGATGAATGCAACTGCAGCATTTTGCTTATATATCAAGGTCATGGTTTAACATTGGCATATCTGGAAGATCATCGATTTCTCAACAACAGTCATCAGCAAGTGCCCATCAACCTACAATTCAATTACACTGTTGTTTTTCTTGCAACGTTTCGTTATAGCATCATACTAATTTCAGAGTTCTAGCATCAGAAATTGGAATCGTCTTTATACTTTCAGAATTCGATTTGAGGCAAAAAACAGCAACCCATGCAATCGAAACTTGTTCAGAATCAATGATAAACAACGCAGGGGCATTTGGTACAGGAAGAAGCTGGTACCTAGTGCACTTACTGCTGTGTCTATTATATAACTTTCCCTGTATAATAAATTTAAAGAATCTCTCTTACATAGAACAGTTTAATGGATGATAGATAAAGTGCTTGCGCCTTATCTTACTTTGAATAAAAGAGGGTTTAAATTGTATTTATTTAGTTGTAGTTCTTTTATTACAATATTATATTAGGATAAATGTCAGATCAACATGGAATCTACTAGTTATAACTCTTCACCGTTTAGGTCTCTGAGCCAATCAAATCGCTTGAAAACTCCGCTGACCTAAAAATTTTTTTGCGAGGGTTTCCCCCTGTTTTGATGTGAGGCAAAATTTTAAGCGCCGATATAATAACAATATAGCCGCTGCTATCATCAAATTTCCCTCAGGTGCTAGAGCATGCCTTACTTACACCACCTAGCTTTAGATTCTGGCATTGAGACCCTCAATCATCACTAAAGTAAGTAGTGATAACCAAGTGGAGGCAGCCTATCTACCTCCTAGCCTCGGATAAAGTCTTGTTGAGCTTCAGGGATAGGCACATCCACACAACGTAAAAAAGGCATGCTTCAAAAGAAACATAGTAATAATAAAGGAAAGAAGAAAAGAACATACTACTATAGGAGTCTAGTAGTACGTAGGCAAAAAATGGATACTCACACAAAGTGAGTCAAAGAAAAGTATAACAAATACAACATCAGTGATGTTCAGAACATCTCGTTGTTGTTGCAACAAAAACGCATACATGAGCAACATGCATAGGAATAATAGTCGTATGTAAAGCAACACAAACACGCACAACTGCAAAAGCAACAGTGGTATTATAACTTTGCAATAGAACATAATGACTACTAATGTTGTTTCATATGAAGCCGCAGAGGCAACACAACCAACAAAAGAAAAAGAAAGACACAACAAAATAAACATGATAAAATGCATTATCACGAGAAAGGAAGCAGTAATACAAACGTTCAAAGAGGTTTTATATCATTACGACCAGAATAAAAAAAAAGTTACTTACCACTTACCACAGCCACGGAGAGACCAGAAGAGTATAGGGAATCGCCAGAGATAGACCAGAGAACAAGCATGCAACAAAGACAGTAGACCAGGAAAGACCATATTAGCAGCAGCAACACCAGCAGCAACGCCAGCAATAAAAACATCATTAATAACACCAGCAGCAATATCATCAGTAGCCCCAGTAGCAACACCAGTAGCAATAACACCAACTCCATAGAAAAACCAAAGAACGAGCGGCACCAGAGACTAGACAAAGATTAAAGAAGCAACCGCCAGAGATAGAGGCCAAAGAAGCAGACAGCAGAGATAGCAGAGAAGTAATGGCAGCAGCACCCACGACACAGGCAAAAAAAATTATCGAAACCCAATAAACAAATTCGATTAGTGCTGATTCTACGTCTTCCAGTGCTCGTTTATCGAATAATGTCTACTATATTCCACGTTAAAGAAGCAGTATCAAGCTCTTTTAGCAATACAAGGCAGTGTTATTAGCAGTTAGGGTATTATTATCAATCGAACGGTTTCCAAAACAGCCATGGTTTGATACTAAACGCGTTTTGCAAAAGGAAAAAAAAACGAGCGAATGGAAAAATGAGAGGGCGTTCTATCCGACGTCACAGCCAGTGGATTTGGCCTCAGTCTTCTGCCACAGCAGCTGTCGCTGCGGCACTCAAATTTTGATTTGTGCAGTGGTCATTTTTGTGTTTAAATTTGACTTGATCTGACATTCTTTAAACATTTTTGCAATCGTGAAAAAAAAATACCATCGCAACACCCACTCCCTGAGTTGTGGACTCATGTCGTCCGCAACAATAAGAAGGGCAAACAGAAGCAACAACAACAGAACGTCTCGATCATTCCTCCAGTTTTACCTGCAGATTCGAGCCAGAACGTTTCCGCAGCAAACTCAACTCCAGTACCTATTGCTATGGTACGCCCATTTATGAAAGGAGTAGAAGAGGATTCCGTCTTTATCGACTTAGCAACGGTTAAGGATCGAACGTTATTAGACAAGGCTTTGGTCAAGTTTAATGAAGAAGCGGAAAGGACAGATATGTATGAAGACTTTCTTGGTTACAGAAAACAAACTCGACAATACCTCGGCCACCACTATTTGTAATCACTACGGCCCAACTGATGTTCTCATGAGAACATCGATGTTCCCGAAAGGTGAAAAATGCTCTCATATGGGGACATCGGCGTTTCTAAAGATCTATTATAAGTTGGCCGATGTTCCCAAGTGAGCACATCCACATTCTTGTATGAGCACATCGATTTTCAGAAATTTGAAAAAAAGAATGCTCCTACCGGGGTCGAACCCACAACGTATCGGTTGTGGATCTGACGTTCTTCCCACTAAACTACTCGAATATCTTATTGAAATATATTCTTCTACTTTAATAAGTAGTTATTAGGTAATTTTAAATTGCCATTTTCTCGTGCAATTTATAATACGTTTAGTAATTTTATGAATCTTACAGATAATAAAAGTCTCTCTGTTGCCGACAATATGATAGTTTAGCTATTAAAACCATTTTATTCATGTGGAAAACTACACCTTCTCAAATGAGAACATCAATGTGCTCATGAGAACATCGATATTCCCAAAAGAGCACATCCATGTTCTGTGAGAAAATCAGTTGGGCCGTAGTGGAAACGCTGTGGCTTCCAACCTCTACAGGCCGCAAGTACCTCATCGAGAATGGAATCACCTTGGAGGATGGGACCTACCTCAAGGAGTTTCCCTCTTTTGCTGAGGATGCCAATATTGTCCGCGTAACGATGGAGAAGCTTCCCTTTCTTCCAGCTGTGGAACTGAAGAAGGAAATGACTGAACACTTCTCTTGCTTCGGAGATGTCTTGGATCATGGGATTTTCAAGACGGAGAATAGAATCTTCCAGGGGAAGAATACGCCACCCTCAACCTCACGTTATCCCATGACCCCCGAAACGAATGTATGGATCTGCATGAACCTGGATTTGAATGTAACGGAAAGCGACACTTGGAGCCTCTCAACAGAGTTATTATTTGGGATTCGCGAGTAAAGGAGGATGAACAACGCCAAACCCTGTTACAATGGGATCAGATGCCAGCTTTCTGTCGCCACTGCCAGAAGCCTGATCATTGTCGTGCAGATTGTCCAGATTATCACAAATGGGCAAATTGCTACCACTGCAACAAACCTGGCCACGTTTCGAAAAATTGTGACAGGAACAACTCAGAATCGGTTCCAGCAAAGGTCCGTGCAGTTGAAAAATCTCCTGCTAAGCCCAAGGAACGAAAGGGAGCCAAGCCCACTCCTCCAAAGAGGGCCGATTCTGAACGTCGAAGCAAACCAGTAGAAGACAAGGACCATATCATGCCAAATGCTCCTCAACCTAATGCTGGTTCACCCACCCATGAAGCTTCTCAACAACAAATCAAAATGACTGGAGACACCATTATGGAAGAGAACAACACGAATACAAAGTTGTCTGATGCTGATGCATTAAACAGTGTTTCCAAGGATGTGCGCAGATCTTATCCTGAATTTGATCCCTCAAAAGCAGCGAAGAAGTTAACCCGCCAGGAAGGTTCTTTAGATATCGGTGATGCCAGATATCAACACGCTGAAACCTCTAACCCCCACAGTAATGCCAGACGCATGTCTGGTGATGATACGGATACGATTGATAGGAATTTGACACCACCTGCACCTTCAGGTACACCACCTTCCACCAATCTTTAAATACGAATAATATCCACTATCAACCCAAAATAGCCACCCTCAATTGCCATGGCTTAATCAAATAAGAAAATCCCAAAAAAAGACAACAATTCGTTCGATATCTTCGAACACTAGAATATGACATCCTGGTGTTACAAGAAACACATGCTACAAATTCAACATCAATTGTCATACTCAATAATTATTTTAACAGCAAATCAAGTCTCTGGACACAACATTGTGGCATCATAGCCCTCAACAAACATTTAACAATTAATTTTATATCGGAAGGCATCGATAAGGGACGCTATATATTAGCTTCTGTTCATCTAACTCGCGATATACAGGAATTTACAACTATTACTCCAATTGCAACTATTCTAAACATATATGGTCGATCATCTCTTCCATCGGTTCGATCAGCCTTATATATATACAGAACTCCTTGACATAGCGATTGTTAAGGATACTATTACCAGCAAACTACACAACACTTTTATTATGGGGGACTTCAACTATCAATACAAAGATCGCAGAATAGTCGGAATACGGGTTTGTGCCCCGAAGGAATGGACGGATCTTTTAGATGACTACTACATTGACATTTTTGGTGCTGACAAAAAAATGACCTGGCATAGTGGGAGGAACTTGGCCATCTTGGATTATGTGTTTTGAAGTACGAATGCTCATCATCAAATTACTTGTATCAATCAAGAGAATCTCTCTCCAGAATGGACGGATCATGAACTATTAGGCTTCTTTTTCAAATATTAAGACAGCAATGGACGAGGACCTGGCAGCTGGAAGGCTAACCCATTTTTGGCTCGCAATCGACAGTTTCGCAAGGCATTAGCCGAATTTCTCTTGGCTAATGAAGAGCAGTTTACACTAATCAAATCCTTTTCTACTCCTTAACAACAGTGGGATTGGGTAAACGCTGAAGTCAAGGTATTCATCAAATCATATCAACTGGAGGACTTGAACTGGCGGAAGAAACAACTGCATAGGTTACTGTTGTCCAAAAGAAACAAGATGATGAGACAACAAAAGAATAGAGGGCTGGACCATGTGAATGATTAGATCAAGAATCTGCAACACTCATTGGCTGAAATTAAAACTCTCAAGGCAGGTAAATTTTGACGTAACAATGGTGAGAAGTCTGCTGGCTTTTTGAGGAGAACAGCTGTGACAAGAGAGAATCAACGTTCCATTATTACTGAAGTGAGGGACCCTGCCACTGGTGAAATCAGTCGAGTCCAACATGGCATATCTACTATCGCTACTAATTTCTACACTACTCTTTTCACTCCTGACCCAACTGATCCTATAGCTCTTGGTACCTTGATTCGATCCTTTCCCAACCACTTGAAGCTTTCAAGCGAACAACAAGAATCACTGATTTTACCTATTGACACTGCAGAACTACTGGAGGACAGCAAATGCACCCGCCGACTAAGTAGCCCTGGTCCGGATGGTTTACCATATGAGATTTTGTATCTGATCATGAAATATCCCCCTCTACATTCCTTAATCAACGTCGTGTATAATGAAGCCTTGAAAAAGGGTAGGTTCCCAAAGTCTTGGAATGAAACAGTCATGTGCTTGCTATACAAGAAAGGCAATCCTGCAGAAATGAGGAACTATCGACCATTATCCCTTGCCAGTTCTAACTATAAACTCTTCACTAGACTCCTCAATCGTCGAATCATGGAAGAGGCTTCCCCACTCATCAGTCGACATCAACTTGGCTTCCTTCCTGGACGATTCATTGCTGAAAATGGAATGATCTGCCAACTGATTATGGAAGATGCGCAGCGCAAATGGCCCTTTGCAGAACAAAATGATAGTGACCCTACCTTTAGTGAGTTCGATGTGGATATAGTAGGTCTCCTTCTTGATCAAGAGAAAGCATATGATCGCGTGAACCCGGACTACTTGAACAAAGTACTAGCGAAGTTTGGCTTTCCTCGACAAATCATTAAGTGTGTCAAGAAATTGATGGGGGACAATATGATTCGAATCAATCTCAATGGTCATATGTCAAGTGAAGTTGCCAAGCTTCGAGGCCTAAAACAGGGTGATCCCCTCTCCCCCATCCTCTACAACTTGGCATTTGAACCCATTTTACTGTCCATTATGAATGATCGTCAATTCCAAGGGTATTTGATGGGTCCTGAACGGATCAAAGTCTTGTGCTATGCGGATGACGCTTTGGTTTTCGTCCACAATCCTGGTGATCTATCTCGTATACAACTTCACATGTCGCGATACTGTGGGGCATCCAATGCCAAATTCAATTATGACAAGGTAGAGGCTTTTTCTGTTTCTGGACGAGACACATGCGATCTGTGGGAGGGCCCTCTGTCTGCTGCGAATTTCAAGCGCTTACACTTGTTGAAGATGATGAGCCACTCATTTACTTGGGCTTCCCCCTTGTGCGAAGCAGAATTTAACGTGTAAACTATGTCTCCTCGCTGGTTCCAAAGATGAAAATTGCTACACAAATTCATTCTACTCGCTCACTCTTTGTCGTGAGTAAGGCTACTGTACTGAATTCTCTCCTATTGTCAAAACTGTGGTATGTCTTGAGGGTAACTCCTCTGAACTCTTGCAGCTGCGTTCTATTATTGTAATTCAGTTCTTGAAGAAGAATATCTTTCCCATTATACCGTGGAAAGTATGGTCCCTTCCCAAAGACAAAACGGGCCTCGGGGTGCTGGACATCCAAGTGCAAGCCTCGGCTATGTATTTTCGTCGGTTGCGGCCGCTATTGGTGTATGACCAGATGACCATTGATTCCCATCCTGTCTCTTGTCTGCTCAGCTATCATATTCGCAACGTCAACAACTGTCTATACCATCACCTGCCTTTGCTATTTCCCTCTTCTCGCTCTCAGGGGTTGAATAAGCAACGAATAGGTAGTATTGACATGTTATACCGTACAGTAGATTATCTTCCTCGCTCGTTTGGAGCTGCTGCTATCAATACGGCTACGGCCATGGCACTACCACTACAAGCCACCTTCTATGTCCCTTCCTCCTCCTTGTTTGTGATTCCACTGCGAGTGAAGGAAATGCTGGTTGCTGACGTCTTCCATTACGATGCCCGTCTGAACTTTGTACATTGGAAAGACACCAGAGACCCATCATTGCTCAACTGGAAACGTACTCCTACCACCGTCTTCAAGGCACTCGCCTCTGGTAAGTTGCAGTTTCAGCCATACTTTGTGCCAGTATGTAGCCCTGCTCCCTTGAGAGATTCTACTGTGTCCTTTGCCCCTCTCGTCCGACAACTTCGACTCCAAGGCGGCCAAGCTTTGAGTTCTACAAAGGCTTTTGCCAAAATATTTCGTAAGTCTGTCCTCGCATCAGTTCTCCCCCCCCCCCTCTGGCCTTGCGTAATATCTCTGCCACCAGTTGGAAGTTTTTTTGGTCCCTATCACTTACATATATCCAATGTAATGTGATATACCGATTTATCTTGGGTTGTATTCCCCATCGTCGCCTCTTATACCGTATCATGCCCACGGTTTTCGAGTCATCCTTGTGTCCTGTATGTCTGTCTGTCGAGGATTCCCCTAGCCATCTCCTCTTTTACTGCCCCACTAAAGAGAAAATTTGGCAGGGAGTCGTTTTTGAATTTCTTTGGCCGACGACTTCAGTCCAAGATATACACAAGACTCTTCTTTCCCTGGAATTTTCTAATGTCTGGTACTGCCAACTCAAAGGAATTAAACCATACAGAATCCTCATAATTACTCTCTCGCAGCTATGGCTGGCACACATGCGTTTTATCTACGACAAGGTGCCTATTGACCACACAGCGATATTGGCCAGCATCTGAAACAATATCCGTCAAACTATTGACGAGGATCAGTGCTACTCCCTCCTGTAGTCATATATTTAGAGGAATACGTATAGTTTAGTGCCATATTATATTTATATTTATATTTTATTCCATATTACTTACCTCAATTGCACCCGCCTCTTCACACTGACCTATCACTCTTTGTGTACACGACGCAATCAATAAACAGAATATATATATATATATATATATATATATAAACATTTTTGCTAAATTCGACTATGAAAATTGTCATTGTTATACTTTACTTTCTAATGCATCTATAAAGTGTCAATGAAGGCGCATCGGATGATACTGGTTCCATTCAGCTTTCAGACCAAAAATAAGGAGCAATTTACAAAAATATGAAAATCGGTTTTCTGTGGATATGTCAAAATTTAGCATATACAAGCCTCATAGAAAGAGTTTCCAGCGATGCACTCCATCTTTAAGATCAATTTGATCTGATATGTATCATAAGAAAAGTCTTTATTTTTGAGGTGAAAAACGCGATCGTTTGATTTTCAAGAATTTCCCCTTACTAGTACACTTAAAAAATATGAGGATTTTCATAGATTTGCAATGACCCAAAAAATCTGAGATAAAGCATCAGTGAGTAAAGCGCAGTTAAGAAAAGTCGTTTGGCGCTATTCCGAGCGTTCACAACGCTCTGTGGTATGAGTTATTCATGCTTCAAAACGGCCAAGTTTAGACACAATTTGGCCTAAAAATAACGAGTAGTCTGCTGTGCTGCCAAAGAAGTAAGTAAACTATAGTCCTATCTAATGTGCCTGATGTTCTACATTATACAAAGCTTAATTTTTAAGTGATAAACGCATTTATTCTAACTCTAAGACTAAGATCTTTTTGTTTAAAAGTCGCAATTATTACAGTAATAATTGTAAAACTTGAGAGTCAATAATATTATGCAGACTTGAATCTAATGACTTGCTCGGATAAAACAAGACTCTTATCATGTCAGCAAACCACTTTTGATGGCCGGTGACAACAAAGATACCGTATCTAGCCGTAAAGTTAGACGTAAAAAAGTCTATCCGCGATGTTGAACACTCGTAATTTAGGAGAAAAAATAGCTAGCACTGGGCACGCTGAATCGGTATCAGCATGATGGAGGGAAACAAATAAGGAATCTTACCTTAAATTCGAGCTAATAGAGATTTATGATGCCTACGAATCCTGTGATGCAGTGAAATCGGGTTTAAATGGTTTTACGGAGCTACACTGCCGAAAAGGTCAATTCCCACCAAACTGTGCAAAACCAATTAACTTTTGATACAGTAGTGGCGCAGATAAGTTTTCTTTTGTGTGTCAGCATTAGTCAATGCACGCCCTGAATTTATTTTATAAACTTGAGCACCGTATGGACGTTTTTATAATGCTGTTATCAAAGAAAAACGCGCTTTTGCCACTGCAAACTTCGATTTGGGGGCTTTGATTTATCAAAGTGAGGAAATGCATTTTTTGTTTTAGCTCAGCTGTCAAACAGTAACCCATCAAGTATCGCAATGCAGTTTAAAAACCCAGTTAGGATATCATCCTATATGTCACCATCATATTTATTTCCATCATATACCATTGTATATTTCATCTTTGATAATCATTCATTTACTCGATTCATCTTTATATCTTTCATGACTTATAATCCTTATCTTCACTCATTTGATCTATCCTAACAAGTATAAATACGACCAGGTCATGTATTAATAGAACGGTACCTTTTAATTTCGCTGACTATTGGATTTTGATAAATCAAGGTAGTAAATCCGATTTTTCAGAAGAAGTATCGCAGTAGGTGCCCAAACGAGGTTTCATTTTGTGCCGCAAGGAAAGGGGGGCGGGCAAAATTCAATTAATAAAGAGGGTTGAAGACAGTTGAACAGCTTATAGCGTTGAGACATTGGGCCTTTATTAGTTTACTTTACACTTTCCTCGCTTGATTATTTAACAACCAATGTAGCGTCTGATAATCCCTTTAAATGTTTAGCATATAATGATCCTTATAAGAAGTCTTTAACATCAACATGGGGCGTGAAATTGTTGTTTTTCCTCTTGGTGAGATGCGCAGCATAGCTTAAAACTTTTGCCAAACCATAATGAAGCAAGATATCAACAAATGGTTTTGAATACAACGTTTCCCGCCATCACATCCGTTGATCTATTAGTCGTAATCACTTGCAATCAACAGGTTCTCATTCGGATGTCATGGTTCAACATTGGCTTATTTTGAAAATCATCAGTTTCTTAACAATAACCCCACCAAACCAAAATCCAATTACACTACCGTTTTTATCGCAAAATTTTGTCATAACGAAAGAGGCGAATGCGATGAGTGCCGTCGACTGACAAGATATCCAGGGCAGTTCAATGTGCTTGTCCTGATGATGTACTTAACTTGATAATCCTGATTCCTTTTGTACTAAATGCAAGCTTCAAGTCATTTATCACATACACAGCTCTTTTGAAGAGTGTGCACTGAATAGCTCAACACCATCTTTTTAATTGCTTTCTCGTACAAGCCGTTATAAATTTCTGGTTTATTTGTTGGAATGATAGTTGGATTCAAATGTAAAAACAATAAAACTTCAACTATGATGGGTATCTTATGGCATGATAAATGGCAAGATCAGGCTTCAGTTTTCTCCGTCAATGAATGTGGCAGTTATCTGTTGGACCTTGGAAATTTGGCTGATTTCGTTTGGAGTGATCTATTGAAATGATTGTTAATTTAAACTTGAACTCGAATCAATACCAAGATTCGAATTACCTTTTCCAGATTTGATAAAAGTTGCATTGCATCTTTGTATTCTTCTTTGACCAACTCCAAGGAGACTACATCAAGCTGGTCTTCTAGAAATAAGTCATTGTCAGAGTTGTCATTGATTAGCACGGTGAGTGAACTTCTAGCTTACGGCGTGTTTCAATTGTTGGCAGTTCGATCCTCAGGTGTTCAGCTTCCATACTCTCACTTTCACAAATTTCTTTCGACAGTTTAGCTAGTGCTGATGGCGCCTGAGCTCTATATTTCACCACTTTCTTTAAGTCTGTATTGAATTCCAAATCCTTCTGTCTAACTTTTTCTCTTAAATCCTCGTCCGTGGGATCGATCAAGTTTGGTTTTACTATCACCGAGAAGAATGAGATCTCAAGCATTAATACAGTATGTAAATGTTTACCTCGATTATCAATGCCGTCAGTGTCCGTAAAAGCTGAATTCTCTGCAAGATTTGTGAAAACGTTTGTAGTCCACTATGGAGCTGTTGAATGATTGATGTATTTGCCAAACCTATAAACGCAACTTACTTGTTCTAATTCGCCCTTGAGCATGTCGCGCTCTTCTAGAGAGCCAATTGTAGCTTCTTGCAATACTTGTTGGACATAATCCTGAAATTTTCTTTCGAGAGACAGGAAATCTTTTGAATCAAAGGGTACCTTTTCAAGATTGGTATTGCTGGGAGGGTCCATATTTTAGGCTAAAGACGAGTATGAAAGGCATGAATGTGGAATCTTGCCCAAATCACACTAGTCACAGTGTTCTTTATCCTATTTAGTGGCTTGTTGCACTGTTTAACTGATTTGATTCGTTTTTTTTTTTCTGACATTCGTCTTGAACTGCCATCACATTATAGAATACTAGCATGAGTTTCAGTGGCTGGAAAAAGTACATTGAGGAAGGAGATCTCGTCATTGTATACATGGTAGATATCAACCGATAATGGCAATGTGATGTTGTACTGATGAGAGACTTCGATAGACAAGAGAGAACATGACACCCGTCTTCATGAAGAAGGGCACTGTATTTCAAAATCGCTTTGGTGTTTACAAGCATGATGACATAATTGGTAAAGAGTATGGATCCAAGGTAATTGACAGCTATGGGCACACAGCAGATCAGCATTTATTGATGATGATTGTCCTATGGTAGTTGGTCTCTTCAAACTATAGGGGATTTGTCTACCTTCTTCACCCCACACCAGAGCTTTGGACACTCGTTTTACCACACCGAACACAAATTTTGTATATAGCAGACATCTCATTTATCACCACATTACTAGACATGAAGCCTGGTGTCAATGTCATTGAGTCAGGCACAGGTTCCGGGTCATTTTCACACTCTATCGCTCGTACAATCGCACCTACAGGACGACTCTATTCATTCGAATATCATCAAGACAGAGCCAATTTAGCACAAGTGGAATTCAATGAACATGGATTTGGAGATATTATCCAAATGCATCACAGAGATGTGTGTAAAGATGGGTTTCAGATGAAGGATCGAGTCAATGCTGTGTTTTTGGATTTACCAGCACCTTGGGATGCTGTCGCCTCTGCAAAGGAAGCATTCAAACAAAATCGCACTGGTAAAATTTGCTGCTTCAGTCCATGCATCGAACAAGTAGCCAGATCAGTAGCAGCATTAGATGAGCATGGATTTATTGGTAGGTTTTGCTTGATTTAACAGATGGGGAAGAGGGAGATATTGATATTACGCCTTTTAGATATCACTATGTACGAGTGTTTGATTCGTGAGCATACAGTCGCACCTATTCAAAAGGTTGATTTCTCAGTTGCCATCAAGGATGCACAAGAACGAAAAGCCAAGGGATTACCCTCCGTGGAAAGTGTGGCAATCAAGAGAAAGTTGGGCAAAGATGAACCTATTCCTACAGCAGAAGAAGTGGAGGAGGCCGCAAATTTGATGCTTGTGTCAAGAACACTGGGGGAGACAAGGGGCCATACTAGTTATTTAACATTCGCTACATTTTTACCACCTTCAGCTACTCGCATTGTGGATGAAAATGTGCCAGAGAATGATTCAAATTGATGATTTAAATGTGTATTATACGAATAAAATCAACATTTACGCTTATTACAGCATGTCTAGAGGGTGGATATTGATGGAGACGAGTATTTAAAATGGTTGTTGTATATACATGATGTGCAGACAAGATAAAATCGGCGTTACCATGACAAAAGGGGCCCTTTTCATTTGAAACGCCGGATTCGATCATAGTTCAGTGGAAGCACACTGAGAGGGCCTTTCATCTTCTCCTTTTTATTTTCTCCAGTTTCAAAACTTATCCTGGTTTCTTTCTTCTTTCACAAAAACGTTGAATCCTTAAGAGAAATGGCTAGCGCACTTACATTCAACGAAAATGATGGGTTCATTGATGGCATCTTGAGAGGTTACTACTCTAGTATTCTGAACTCGACCCAATACCTTAATTTCAGTCAGTGTGAAACACTTGAAGGTAAGGAGCATCAAGACAAAGTGATATTGTATGTAGACTAAACCAAACACTCCAGATCTTCGCCTTCAGTTGGGCGCCACTGACTATGGATCTCTTTTGCAGAACGAGCCATCCCCTATTGCCACTTCAACAATCGCAGAAAAGTTGACTCAAAGCCTTGTTGAAGAGTTTGATTACATTCGTAGCAATGCAGTCCAACCTTTGTCCAAGTTTTTGGAGTATATCACGTAAGTTTGTTGTCTTGATGCTTAAAGGGATTGCATGTGTGGGATATTCATCTATTCATCTAGTTATCAATACATGATTGATAACGTCATTCTAATCATCACTGGTACCCTTCATGAGCGTGATACTCATGAGCTCCTTGAGCGTTGCCATCCTTTGGGTGTGTTTGATACTATGCCTGCTCTTTGCGTAGCTACCACTGTTGCTGAATTATACAATACTGTCTTGGTAGAAACACCTTTAGGTAAATATGACAAAAAAAAAACTTGTGATTCTTGTGATTTAAACAAACGCGTTCAAATCTGACACACAAACTGATAGCTCCTTACTTTGCAAACTGCCTCAGCGCTCATGATTTGGATGAATTGAACATTGAAATCATCCGTAATACACTCTACAAAGCCTACCTTGAAGATTTCTACCAATTCTGTGAGTCTATTGGCGGCCCTACTGCTGAAGTTATGGGTGATATTCTCCGTGTAAGTAGTCGCTGTATTTGTGCAGGTCTTGCATACTAACCTTAAAACCATCCAGTTCGAGGCAGACCGTCGTACTATCAACATTACCATCAACTCCTTTGGCACTGAATTACCCAAGGAAGACCGCAAGAAGCTGTTTCCTACCATTGGTCGCTTATATCCTGAAGGAAATGCACGTTTAGCCATTGCCGATGAGATGGATCAAGTCAAGGCTACTTGCGAGGTTTTCCATGAATACAGATCTTTCTTTGATACCGCCACCAGCAACAAAACATTGGAGGATAAGTTTTTCGAAACTGAAGTCTTTTTGAACAGGCAAGCTTTCCAACAGCAATTCAACTATGGTGTTTTTTACGCCTACATCAAGTTGAAGGAACAGGAGATCAGAAACATCGTATGGATTGCCGAGTGTATTTCCCAAAACCAAAAGGACAGAATCAACAGTTATATCCCCATTTTGTAAAGAAACATAAAATAAACTACTACAATGCTATTCTAAATGCTGCTTTTTTTCTGTTTATTCTCTTTATTTCCAGAGTTGATATATATATACGGATGTGTAATATGACAGACTTTCAAAGTAGTGCTTTATATATATATATGGGTGAGATATATATATATATCGTGGTTTTGGGGGGGGGGGATTTTTTTTCTTGATATTTATAAATGTTTAGATGCCATAACGCTCTTGTAAAGGAGCTCTTACTTCTTGTGGCATTGATGTCAAACCTTGCTGCCATTGAACCTCACCAAACATGTTCTTATAACCTAGCAAGATGTTACCAAAAGCTTCGTGCAAAGCAGGTGTGACATTTTGATAGTTTGCGACAGCAGTACAGAAGGCAGGGAACTCCTTGACAGCGCCTTGGGGATTGACCTTGATCATTTCGCATAAACCACTGAAAGCAGAGGACTTTTCTTCATTATCACGAATGGGCGTAAGAGCTGCTAACCAAGGATGGATGAACATCTCAAGATGGGGAGCGACCAGGGTAGGGCAGACGAGACCAATACGACCAATTGTGATGGCAACATTTTCCAAGAGAGTGCGTTGAATTTGAGGGTTGACCATGAGAGGGAACAAGCGCTGCAACAAGGGTTCTACGTATTCTTGAATTTCAGCACCCCACTTGAGAGCAATCTCACCAGCAGCCCAGGTGGCATTGTTGCAGACAGACAAATGCTCGGCTTGAGGATCAATTTGTTGCAGTAAAAGAGGCATGAATTGAGGAACCACGGCACGGATATGCTCGAAACAAGAGATGGCGAGATCACCGAGAAGAGCATATGTGGATTGACGCACTTCGGCAACTTCGTCTTGGATACAGAGAGACAAGAGTTGGACGACAGGAGGATTAGTGCTTGCGACCAAAGGTTCGGCATCCGTGTTCAGAGCCTGGACGATACCAGAAAGTAAATCTAAAGCAACAATCATAAAGTCCTTGTCGGGCTCATCTAAAGTAGGGTCCATAGCGCACAAACGACATTCCTCCAAAGTTTTGCAAACGAGAACAACGCAGCGAGAGTAGACAGGCTCAGCAAAAGGCTTGAATCCCTTACCCAAAGCGGTTGTGACAGATGAAAGACATTCTAACAAGGGGAACAAATCTGTGCTATCGTCTGAGATTTCCTGCCATTTGCTGATGAGGGGCGGCATAATCACATCAATGTATTGAGGGTTGTTCAAAGTATCTCCTACAACATCGGCCAAGGTGCCCACAGTGTCGTAAAGAAGCAGCAAGTTTCTGTGTTGGTATTTGCTGAATGCACTGCAGAGAGTTGTGAGGATAGGTTGAAGATAGGGCACCAAATCCATAGCAGCTTCTTCTTCGAGCAAAGAGAAAGACGAACAAGCAGCTTCTTGGACACGCTTGTTGTTGTCTAAAATGCGTTGCAAAAGGATCTGAGTGAGAGGTTCAAGAAGGTGTTGGCGAGCTTCAGGGCTTTGTCTAGCGCTTTGAACAATCCAACCACAATATCTACCCAAAGTCCAACATGTGATGGATCTAACAAGAGGCTAATAGGATTATTAGAGAGACTAATCTAAACTTGCAACTTTTGCTAGATTCTAACAAAAAAAAAAAAAAAAAAAACTTACCTTGGGGTCATTCAAATTGTTGAGCAAGTAAGGAACGAGCTCGGGGAGATGAGGGGCAATCTCTTGCATACCACCCTCAGCAGCAGCACCGAGAGCCAAGATACCGCATTCTCTGTGAAGCCAATCACTGCTCTCCAACTCGCCCTTCAAGAGAGGAATCAAGATGTGGATGACTTCGGTTTCAAAGGAAGTACACAACACATCAAGCGTAGCAGCACTGCACTTTCTCAAATTCCACTCCCCGTAAAACTCGTCATCTTCGAAATCATCATAGTCATCATCGTCCTCGTCGTCATCCACATCCGAATCATCATCGTCGAGCAAACCACTCTTCTTCTTGTCAGCGTTAGCAGCTTCATCCTCTTTGGTTGTGAGTTCGTTTTCGACAACATTGGCCTTGTGGAAACGAGGCTTGATATCTTGTTCATCATCGGCAATATGGGCATCGTCTTCATCGCCACCAAGCGTCATGAGATCAATTTCAGAGTATACCATACCCTTGAGTAAGACAGGAACCACCTTCTGGAGGAAGGGACGGAGGTGATCACGCAGCTCATCTTGCTCGGCAAAAACGAGCCAGAATTCACAAGCTTCAAGAGCAAGATCGCAATCATCAGATTGAGTACAGAAGAGCATGTAATCCACCAAATCAGGCATGTGAGGTAAAAGAACTTCAGGGCACACCTCCAACAGACTCACTAGAGATTGGCAGACAGCCTTGCGAACATCGATATTGTCGTCTTGAGCTCTATTGAAGAGAGCAATTAAGAATTCATTGATTCTAGTCATCAAAGGCTCTGAGCGAAGAGTGATGAACTGAGAGGCACAGGTAATGGCATTCAAACGAATCTTTCCTTCAGGGTGATCGAAAAAGGCGATGAATTTGGGAATCATGTACTCCAAGGGTTTTACGCCGCCAATAACGCTATCCAGGTCGCGGGAAGAGTCCTCACAAATCTTTTGGAAGGTGCTAAACGCGTTCTACAAGACACAAACAGTTTAGCATATAATCAGCTAGCGAGTGTTTTCCTTTTTCTCGATAGTTACTTCGACCATAGTGGGGTTGCTAGAATCGTCCAATTTCTCCAACAAGACCTGAAGCACTTGAGGCCAGTTTTGAATATTGCCACGAGCCACGATGGAGGCGATAACCAAACTGACAGGCTTGCCGACAGCAGCGTCACCGATGTGTTGAAGACAGCACTCCTTGACGTACTCAAGCACTTGAGGTGAAATATTGGGATAATGAGAGCGAATGTTATTCTTGAGGGTTAAGCCTGCAACAGAACGGATGTACTGATCTTCTTGTGGCATTTGGGTCAAGATGTAGACCAAATAGTTGTTGTAGTCAGGGATTTTGTTAAAGTATTCGAGTCTCTGTGCTATTCTTTAGTCTCTGCTGCTGTTATCAAATACACACGCACATGTTACCTCTTGGACATTTTGGCCGTCGGTGGGGTTGATGGCTTCACGTAAGAGCTGTAAGAGGTCAGAAAGACCTTGAGCAGAAGGTTGCCAAGCACTCATTTGTTATACTTTGCTAGTGTTTAGTTGGAAAAACAAAACAAAATAAGAAAAAGACGAAAAAAAGAGGGAGATAAGTTAGATTTCTCTCTCAAAATAAAATTTTTTTCAACTTGCTATTTTGAGAGGAGAGGAGATTTTTCCTACTGTTTGCCAGTTGTTTGAAATGCATTTACTCTTTAGGTTCCAAAAATGAGAAAAGTGAGATTTAGTACAGCTGGTCTATGGTGTACATACAAGGACTGAAATGCACTTTCGTCAGTTGATGTCCAAGCCAAATACCGAATATACCGCAAGCTGCTCCACCAAAGATCGCAAGGTTCTGGCTGCTCATGTGTTTCGAAAAAAAAGACTCAATTTCTCTTCCCCATGGCCATCCCCAGTATCCTACAACCAGCGTTACGTTGCTTTGAAGCAAGAAGGCGGTGATAATAAGAAACAGAATAGCAAGACAGCCAAGAACATCCCTTCCAAAATTACAGACCACTATCAGCACCCAAATCCAAACGACACTAACGACAATCTCATCCCCCCCCCCAAAGACAATCCTCGCTTATGATGGTGCAACTGTTGGGACGCCAATTGGCTGTTGTAGTGGGCCCTACAAAAGAATATGGAAAGCATTGTACTTGGAAGCTATTCAAAGCCATGGAGCCATACAATTATTTGATATCGGCGAGTATCTGACGTCCCAAATGTGCATCTCTTGCAGGCAGAAACAGTTGACCAATGTCAAGAATAGAACAGGATCCAGCATGCGCGCCGTACTGTATTGCCCCACATGCAAAACCAATATCAACAGAGACCAAAATGCAGCAAAGAGCATGCGTGATATCTTTGTGTACATGGCAAGAAATGACAACGCAAGACCACCTAGTTTCAAAAGGCCTGAAAAGAACGACTGAATCTCTTATCCTGACATGCCATAGAGTAGCACTATTATTTTTTCTCGCTATATGTCAATAAAGTCAACATATCATTTATAATGCTTTTCTATTAAAAGGCAATCTTATCAAGTAAAGTAGCACTTAAAGTTGCGCATGTACAAGATCCTCATGATATATGTTGACTCTTGTTGATTGACAAGGATTCCATTTTTCTCATCTTTTATGAATGAAGATGTGTCATTGTCTTTATGCTTGCTGTCTAGATGATGTAGAAAGAGTGCATATGATGCAATACTGGTTCAAAAGTGGCCATGTTGAAGCTGCCTCATTAACGCTCGTCATATGTGTTCAAGCAAGTAGAATACATTTCATGTCGACTCGCTAAGCATGCGCAGCTGGGATGATCTGCTTGATGAAGGGCACTATTCACTAGTCAAACACACCATAAATTGTTAGCCGCATTACTCAGATAGCTCTATTCAGACTACTTCGTAACGAAATGTGCATTTCGATCTTAAACACACAATCAAGGTATGGTACTCGAAGGGAAAAAATCGATACAGTAAGATTTTGAATTTCAGGCAAGATGAGGATTTCAAGAATTGAAAGCATTTTCAAATCGAGATGTGTGCTACCGTTAACCAGACGAAAACTGTGCTGTTGCAGTGTATGACACAAACAGAGCTATACGCTACCTTTTTTTTTTTTTTCCTTGGGATCTAAATGGGGGCCCATGGGTAATATTTGGGAAGGTTTACTAAGTAGCAATCTGATCCAAATCAGATTTGGGTGGCTGAGCTGTTGGATGAAAAGCTCTAGTAATAATAATACCAAGTAAGCAGAGCAAGCCAATCTATTTTTATCATCCCTAAGAGCGCAAAACTGATTTGCTGATGATCCCCTACACATAAACACTGAGCAATATTGCAAGCTGTATTTGTCACACAGAATACACGGAATATAATCAAACATGTAAAGCGCAAATCTCGTATAGTGGGGTTTGAATATCTAATGTTGGGATGATTGTTGCAAATAAATGAATGAGGAACAGGTGAGACCACACGAGCGTCTATTATAGTATAAAGTGTGGGCGGATGTGCCTAAAAATATAACACACAACTCCTCAAAAAATCACTAGTAGGAGGCGCCTCAAAATTAATTCTGGTCCTCTTCCTTTCTTTCTTTTTACTTTATATACGGCAAGATGAAATTTGGACAAGAATTGCAAGAGAATATATACGAACCTTGGCGTCTGGAATACATTGCTTACGACGACATCAAATTAGACATCAAAGAGAGGCAACAAGACCATGCATGGAATGATTCTGATGAAAAGGACTTTGAGACAGCCTTGCGTTTAGAAGCAGACAAGGTTGATTTCTTTATCAACAGAAAGCAGAGAGAAATTGAGTCTCGCTTGGCCTATTGCGAGAGAACATTGACTCAACAAAGCAAGAACATATCACCAACAGTTGCCAGAAGTTTGTATGATTCAACAGACGACGCCTTGACTGAAATCTTGATGGATTTGAATGATCTCTCCAAATTCACTCGTTACAACTTTTTGGCTCTGCAAAAGCTCATCAAAAAGCATGACAAATATACAAACTACAATGCTCAGCCATTATTTGTGGACATCATTCGCTCGAAATCATTGGATAGACAGAGATTTGATGTGGCTCTTGTTAAAATCTCAACCCTACATGATCTTTGTCAGCTACATGGTGAGGCAAGATCTGGTAATGCTGCTGCTGGTTTGGACCAAAACGCTTTTGAACGTGCAACTGCTAAATATTGGATTCACCCTGACAATGTGACGGAACTGAAAGCCATCCTGCTATTCCACCTGCCTGTGCTTGTGTTCAACGCTGACAAGCCCATTGAACCTGAGGATAGTGCCATCTCGAGTGTTTATTTTGACAACCCTGACTTTGATCTCTATCAAGGCCGTCTTCAACGAGATGAATCTGCTGAAGCTATCCGTTTTCGCTGGTATGGTCCAATGGAGTCGAATAGTATCTTTATTGAACGCAAAACACATCATGCTCCTTGGTTGGATGGCGCTTCCGTCAAAGATAGATTTCGCTTGGATGCTGACAAAGTCGATGCGTATGTTGCTGGTACATACACTGCTGATCAATATGCACAAGAACTTAGGGACAAAGGCACTCCGGAAGATGTGGTCAAGGCCAACTACTTTATTGCTTCTGGTGTTCAAAAATCCATCACAGAGAAGCATTTAGAACCTGTTATGCGAGTGTTCTACAATCGCACTGCTTTCCAGATTCCTGGCGATCAACGTCTTCGTATTTCCCTGGATACAGACCTCACTTTTGTGCGTGAAGACGGCATGGATGAAAGAAGAAAAGGTGCCTGGCGTCGGCCCGATATGGGCATAGATTATCCGTTCAACAACTTGAACCCTGCCGAGGTTTACAAATTCCCTTATGCAGTACTTGAAACTAAATTACAAACCCATCTCGGCCAAGAACCTCCTCAATGGCTTACCCGCTTATTAGAGTCTCAATTAGTCTATGAGGTTCCCCGCTTTTCAAAGTTCCTGCAAGGTGCTGCCTTCTTCTGGAACCCACGTTTACCTCTTTTACCTTGGTGGCTAAATCAATTGGAGTTGGACATTCGTAATGCCAAGCAGCCCACTGGCAATTTCACTGGTCTCTCGAGATCCAAGAGTCTAAAGCCCTTGATTGATGGTAAATACCGCATGGGTTATCTCGAATCACAACTTGAACGCTCTTCTACTCTGAAACGTGCTCCAAGTACCAACAAAAAGCCTGCTGCCGCTTTGGTGCGTGGCATGTCGACGCGATCCACCAAAATGCCCCGTAGCAGCGAAACCACTCCCTTGGGCGGCAGTATGCCATTAACACGTGCGTCTACTACTGGCAATACACCCTCACCGTCGTCTGAATCACCTGTCATGGGCAAGAGAGGCAGCAATCCATTCGATGATCCTATTTGGTCTCAACACGACATCTCGTACGACAACATTACGTTGGGTGCTCGTGGCTCGTATGCTGGATCCGGATCCATGTCCCGTAACCGACCCGACAGTCGTCGCCATGATTACCTCGATACCTCTTCCACTGAATTCCTGATGAGTGGAAAACAAACGCCACGTTCCTCCTATGTACAAAATGAAAAGCACATGTCAACTGATAAATTAGGTGAAGAAGCCCGGCTCAATGCTTACTTTGATGAAGATATCAGTGCTTTAGAAGAAGGTAATTCTGGTGAAGAGATGACTGAAAAAAAGAAAAAGAAGAAGAAGAACAAGAAGGACAAGGAAGATGATGGTGCTCGTATTGAACCCAAAGTGTTCTTTGCTAGTGAACGTACATTTATTCATTGGCTTCATTTTGCTGCTATCATTTTAACTGCTGCTTTAACCTTGTTAAATTTCGGTGATAATGTCAACAGAATTGTCGGTGGTGTGTTCTTTGGTATTTCTCTGATATTCGCTCTATATGCTTTTGGTTTCTACAGATGGCGTGCATATCGTATCACCAACATGCCACATTTACGTTTCGATGATATCTATGGTCCTGTATTTTTATGTATTTTATTGATTGGCGCCTTAGTGGTAAGTGGGCATTACTTGATACCATACAGTTTGATAATAACCACATCTCTTTTCTGTAGCTCAACTTTGCTTTAAGATTCAATAGTCCACCCACAAACACTGGCTACTTGGGTATCAATAGCACAGACTCTTCCTCTAATAATGGTCTCTAATCATTCCTAGTTTCTATCTTTATACTTCATACCCTCAACTTTTTATTATGATTACATATATATACTATTCTCATTCTTTTTCAGTTATAATAAAAATATACATCTCATCTTAATTGCGTGATAACCTATGATTTAGCCATTGGTTTTTATAATAGCAGCACAGCAAAGAACTCTCATGTCTCATAGTATCATGAACTACAATTACCTGTAACTGTAGTATCACAGTGCTACATCATTCATTCTTACTTATGATGCCGAGTCATCGTCTCTGATCTCAATTATTTCCATAGCAACCAATTTAGAGTTTGACAGGTGGACCCTGGCAACGAGGGAAACCATAGCAACCAGGAGCACTATAGCAACCAGGAACACCATAGCAACCAGGAACACCACAACAACCAAATGCTGTACGTTGTGGCAACGGCCATGCAACAAAAGGCTCAATATATATTTCCTATTTATAAATAACCTAGAACCAACATTTGGTTGCCATGATTCTTCAAATCAACATAGTATCACCTCCTCTTTTATTATTGTTGAGGCAAAAACAAGTTTGTTTAATTTGGCCACAAGCCTGATTTCTTAATTTGACATGTTATAACGATGTTTTCAATAAACAACACATTAGCACATGAAAGTCTTGGATTGAATATTCCTGGAAGGAACAATACTGACGATTTGATATCGTAATTGCAACTGTAAAATGTTATTTATAGCTTTATTTTTAGCTTAAAGGGAATTCTCTATTTGGGTATTTATATATCTTGCAAATGGCTATTTTCCCCAATTACAGACATATAAACGTACGTACATGACATGGCTCTTTTGTTGGTGATAGCATGTACTAAAGTATGGAATGTGTCATGAATTATTCCAGCCACGGCTGAACCAATTTTCAGATTCTAATGGAAGCTTTTTATATTGGCGATCAATGATTATGTATCATATTAATCATAATCTGAAATGATGCTGGGTGAAACAGTTTTTTTTTTCGGTGTTTTATATCATGCCAATGATGCTGGTAAGTTCCATAAATCTTAAGTGAATGTACTATTTGTATATACGCAATGCTCAGCATGAGATATTTTTAAACATTGTACCTTTGTCTCACCAAACTTGTCAATGAACACAGATCAAATGATGCTTATTACCAAGAAATTCTGCCATCAAGCTTTTTGAAATGGAGCTATACATGGCTACGCATGTGTTTCTGTGAAGGATCCTCGGTGTTTCGCTTTAACCGAGCCTCAACAAACTAGAAACAAAGCCAAACCAGAGGCTGGAGCTGCCAAGCGATAAGCCTGTTTATTGGTCATATACCAAGTTTCGGTCAGCTAAAACAACCACTTTAAGTATATCCATAATAGTGTTGTTGGATTTGGGAAAACCGAGTTATTTATAACATCACTCACGCACGCTCACGCTGCCTCACGCACACAGGTTCATACGCAATTAAAAGGACCGAAACAATGTTCTATTAATCATACATCTAAAAAAAATTTTCCCTCTTCTTTCCTTCCTTCTTGCTCTTTCTCACTTTTTCCCATTCTTGTTTGTTTGTTACATTTGCAACATGAAATTCGGTGAACACTTGCAACAAGAAATTTTCCCTCCTTGGAGGTTATCCTACATCTCCTATGATGTGCTAAAGAAAATGCTCAAATGTCGTCAACTCGATCACAAATGGAATGGCGATGACGAAGACGAATTCGTAAAAAAGTTGGAAAACGAATTGGAGAAAGTATATGATTTTGTATCAGCAAAATTGGGCGAGGTGGAAGCGAGAATCAGTTACTGCGAACGCACAATTCAGACGTTCATCAGCAATCCCACCTGGAGTTCAGACCAAAATTGGACAATCATGGACGACGCATTGACTGAAGTTTTATTTGATGTTAATGACTTGGCTAAATTCACTAGACTCAACTATATTGGCTTCCAGAAAATCATCAAAAAGCACGACAAATGGACCGGCCTGCAATTGAAGCAAGATTTCATTCCTCAATTAAGAAGCAAGCCATTAGATAAACAGCGATTTGATGTTGCTATTGTGTTCATCTCTGCTTTGCATGATCTTTGCCGTCAACGTGGAAAGCCTCGTGCAGCTACAGCCAACAGCAGCAATGATTCACTCACTCCTTCCAGCGACAAGGGCACTGTCAAATATTGGGTCCATCCGGACAACATTACAGAAGTCAAGTCCATCATCATGCTACACTTGCCTGTCTCCATCTACAACAAAGATAAGCGCTATGAAGCATCTGATTCTGCCATCTCCAATGTTTATGTTGATAACGAAGAATTCAATCTCTATACTGGTCTTTTACAACGTGATGAGGGTGCCGAGGCAATTCGTTTCAAATGGCATGGTGCTACATCAACTCCCGATGTGTTTGTTGAACGTAGCACACACCATGCTGAATGGCTGGACGGTAAATCTATAAAAGACCGTATTCAAATGTTGAGTGAAGATGTCCACAAATTCATCAATTGCACTTTGACAGCTGATGAATTTGCTAATCGACTTCGATCCAAAGGCACAGATCCCAAGATTGTAGACGACTGCAAATTTGTAGCTTCTGGTGTGCAACAATCTATCAAGAACAAGCAACTGCAGCCTGTGTGCCGTATCTTTTACAACCGTACAACTTTCCAATTACCCGATGATCCTAGTGTGCGCATCAGTATTGACAATGATTTGACCTTTATTCGTGAAGACAACTTTGATGGTGTTGTGCGCAGAGGCCCTACTGATTGGAGACGTCCCGATGTCGGCATTGACTATCCCTTCAGCTATCTTGATGAATCTGAAATCTTACGCTTTCCTTATGCAGTGCTAGAGACCAAGACCAAGAAAAAGGCCCCTTCTTGGCTTGCCAAGTTATTGGAATCTCACCTCGTGCATGAAGTACCTCGTTTCTCCAAGTATTTGCATGGTGCGTCTTACCTATTCCGTGATCGTATTCCATTACTGCCTTGGTGGCTGTCAGAGATGGAAATCGATATTCGCAAACCTCGTGCAACTAATTTTGGTCTGACCCGTTCGCAGTCATTTAAACCTCTCATTGATGGTCAATATCGTCGCGCTATGGAAGCAGAAGAGATGCGTATGGAAATGGTGAATGAAACATCTTTAGGCAGGAGAAGCATAGACACACTGAGTGGCGGATCATCACAAAAGCTAATCAAATCCAATAGCAGCGAGTTCCTCAATGCAAGCAGTGTGAACAGATCAGATACTGCAGCCTGGGAGAACAAGCCTCATCGTATGCAATCTACTCTTGTTGTCAAAGGTGATGATCCTCTCAATTATGGTCCACTTCGCCAAAAGAACATCAAACGCAAAGACAAAGAATCAGGCGATCTTGGTGAAGAGATTGATTTCAATAACGGTGATATTCGATTAGACATGGGCGCTTCTTCTGGTGGCAAAAAGATATTTGAAGACACCATGTACATCAAGGACCCCAATGATCCCAACAACAAGATTCCTGTCAAGAAAGTCAAGGTTGAACCCAAAGTTTTCTTCTCCAACGAACGTACCTTTATCGCCTGGCTTCAATTCTGTGCCCTGCTATTGTCCGTTGCATTGAATTTGCTTAATTTTGGTGATAATGTGTCTCGTATTGCTGGTGCCATCTTCATTGGTATTTCAGCAGGTATTGCTATTTATGCATTATATCAATTTGAAAAACGTGCTTGGTATGTATTTTATAGTGCTCTGTTATTATGCTTGGTACTAACTTATTTATAGGATGATTAATCGTCGTATCGTGGGTCGTTATGATGATCTCTGGGGCCCTGCTGTCCTTTGTTTCCTCTTGGTGGGCGCTTTGATTGTCAATTTTTACCTTCGTTTCCGTTAGATTTTGTTCTTGTTCTTGCTCATTTAAAATGTATATATATATATATTATATTCTTATCCATCATCGTTATTAGCTTTTAGCTCTCTTTTCCTCACACGCACACTATACCTTTATTTTTCATGATTTAGTAAAAATACTCATTTTGTAATACATTGCGCAAATTTGACCTGAGAGAAGTGACCGAAAGTACTATACAAACACTTTATTAAATAAATATATACTATCAAACAACGAGAGGCAATTATCCTATTATTGTAGATTGAAATCTCACTTTTTGTACTTACTCTACTACCTGGCAACCCTTCTTAGGCGACCTATAACTGTGGATCTGACTCTTAGTACATGTCCCCAGGATTGTATCAATGGAAGCGGTACGTGTACGGGCAAATAGCATACTTAAATGTCCATAACTGCTCGTGAGTATGCAAAGTACAGCGAATTCTGGGAGTATTCTAGCCCTGTTTTTTCGTGTTTAAAGCCGTTTAGATGGTCAGAATAGCACCAAACAGTTGCTCTCATCTGGCAGTTACTTTCTGACACCTTTGCTCAACTTTTTGGGGACCAAAAAAACATGGACAAAAATCGGCCAAAAAGCATGAGGTACTCCTCATGGTTTTCATTGAAAATCAAACAATCGCGTTTTTGACCTTGATAACGAAGACTTTTACTATGGTATATATAAGATCAAAATGTTTCTATCGATTCAACGTAACTCCTGAAATCATGTTTGTGGGACTTTGGTATGGAAAATTTCGACTTTTTGGCCAGAAACCTCTTTTCATATTTTCATAAATTGCTCGGTAAGTTTATTCAAAACATCTACCTTGCTTGGTACCATTGGATGCGCCTTGAAAAGTACTTCAAGATTGTATTAGGAAGCAAAGGCTGATCATCACAACTTGTATAGTCGAATCTTACAAAATAATTCAATCAAGTCGAAACTAACCAAAATTTGGTCAATCTTAAATGCCCAAAAGTATTCGGAGTCTAAACTGGGTTTAGCTGCTGGCAAAACTGTTATCATGCTGTTGGAAGCTATAAGAAGGGCATTGTAGAGTGGAAAGTACTATAACTAGTTACAAATACGTTGACTTGATATAATTTGATGCATTTTCTAGCCTCAATAAGAAAACTTGGCATTGTCTATTGTTACTCAACGACTATAATGATCCATATTCCGCGCCATGGCTGGCAGCGGCGCAACTAGCTTTTAAGATTATGAAGCTAGACTCAAAAGGTCCGAAGAATAGCGTAATTCCTGATGGTGCACCATGATACAAAATGCTTCTTTTTCTGTAACATTTTTCTGCCCAGAAAAAACTGACAATTCGATTCCACGGTTGAGAAGCAATTTATGTATGTAACATTGAAGTAAATTTAGAAGCTCAATTATTTTTTGTTAATCATGATACCATAATGACATGTGGGTACAACATTGGTCTTTTTATAGGTTATAATACCCGAGAAAAACGCAAGAGATCTCTTAACTTTTATTTTGTGCTAAGCAGAGTTCAAAACTGGAGATGCGTCTGGATTAAAGTACTCGGGAAAGTTATCGACATCGTCAGATAGTTCGCATAAATGATGCAGCCCATTGATGGGATAGACCAAATCCATATGAAATGACATGTTGGCGAGCACATAGTCGTCTACCGTCATGGTATCCATGGCATAATACAATTCCAGAATGAGGTAGCTGCAGATTACACTGGAAATTGCAATGGGTCCTAAAATTTGCACAGGATTTAACTGATAGACGCCTCGTAATCCTACTGAGCTCATGCAAACTGAAGCTACACTACAAAAGCTGACGTTTTCTTTTTTTAAAACAATTGCTAAATGCCTGTAGAGAAAATGCTCTACAGTTTTACACTTACATTGGTTTTGTACCTTGAAATTTAAACTTTGTTTGAAATGTGTAGATTACTATGACAAGTATGCCAAAGCATGTCATTGTAAAGACCAATAAACCATACTCTTGGAAGGCTTTCGACACTAGAAAATATAAGCGCAAGTTAAGTAGAGTAAGCTCATGATGGATTCAATGGTGTATATGATACCTATATCCGAAAGAATAAATGCCATCAGTAACGAGTACACTACCAACATGACAAACCGGTTAATTGTTGATAACTGGTAGTATTGGGTCCATAATTGCCAAGCTGCTCCTACCAACAGGATAGTGGCTGGAAATAGTACAACCCACCAAACATATCGACTATAGTATATCAAGCAAAAATTGAGTCTCGATGCGTTGCTTCTCTAAGGTCACAGCTGTACCTTTCCTCATGCCAATATGTGAAATGCAAAAATAGAGTACTCATTACCGATATCATCAATAGCTGAACCAGCGTTATTAGGTACACTTTTCGTATGAATTCTGATTGTAAAACACTGTTAAATCAATGATGGAAGTATGCAGATGGAAGGATACAGACTCATTTGAGAGAGAACTGAGCTTCTAGCGACACTTGTCCCAAACAGGTCAAGATCTTGTCCAGATCCCAGCCGATCAAATCTCTGGTGTATGGACAAGGAGCCGTAAAAACTGGCATTTGACAATGTGCGTGTAATTTCTGTAGGAAGCGAAAGTCTGTTGTTGGGGGTATAATTAAATGCCATGATAGATTGAGCAAGAGAAAAAATGAATTTGTAAGGCTTTATTGTTTATATCCTATATTGTCACTGCTACCCTTTACCCCGTGTATGTATCAAACGCATAAAGGATACAGGTGACTTTACTACTAGCGTTACTATTTCATGTGATTCTTCATATTGTCAAATTCGCTGTTTGGATAATCAAGGTGATTTGGAATCTGATCTGTTCTTCTACCGAAAGCTTCATATACTGTGTTGACCAAATTGCGAGGATCATTTGGAATACGATCAGCACTCAATTCCCAAAACATGGCACCGCCCAAATGTCTTCGCTGTATGTAATCACATTTCTGAGTGACAATCTGTGGCGTATCGTAAGTGATGAATTCCCTAGCGTTGGGATCGTAAGACCAAGAAGCCATTCTCTGATGATCGTTGTATTCAGTAGCGCCAGGCTTTGGTAGACATTTGTAGTCAAACTGGCCTTCCTCCCATGTGCCTTTCGGGACACCTTGGAATCCACATTCTGGACCATCTGTATTAGAGAATCCACGACCATACACAGGTAAGCCCATGACCAGTTTGTTGGGAGGAACACCTGCGGCCAAGTAATCATTGACAGCTTGATCAGTGTTTAGTGTGCCACCAAACATGGCAGCTTGGTGGCCCGTTTTACTATCCCAGGAACCAGCATAATCGTATGCCATGAGGTAGAATATATCAACATAAGGTTGCATTTCAGCCAAGCGTAATTTCCTATAATGTTCAGGTCCACAAGGCACGGCGACAGTTAACAGAAGACGAGGTTGATTCAATTGGTTGCATTGCTGTTGATAAGCATCCAATGCGATACGAGTCTCGTATAACAAATGCACATAATGAAATGCTTCCTGGTCGCTCTTGGGGTACTCCCAATCGATATCCAAGCCATCCAAACCCAGATCTGCAATCAGTCTAATGCTGGTTTGAATGAACCGTTGACGTTTAGCCGGATCAGAGGCTACTGTGGCGAAATTTTTGGACCATGTCCAACCACCCACACTGAGCGATACCTTTAAATGACGATGCTGTTGCTTGAGTAGATAGAACTGCTTGAAATTACCATATAGGTTGTTGCCCTGATCATTCCAACTATCCTCTCTGCCATTGACACACTCGTCTAGTTGCCGTTGAATTTTAAAAATCCATTTACTGCTTTGATGAGATTGACTTACTCGCAGGGAAGTGCTTTTCCTTGTCGGCATATGCATCCTGAATTCATATAAGCTTAGTTTGTATGCATCTTCATAATACTATGAGAAATCTACCCCGAGAACAACTTGGCCGTCTTCTTGAAGATTAGCAAAAGCGTACAAAATGTGCGTTAACTTGCTTGCTTGCGCTGCTACGTCTATGACATTGTACTTTCGATCATAAATACCCCTAAGAAGCATGGAATTTTATCAGTCATATACACCTGCGGTCATTTTTTCTATCACTTACCAATTGGCAAAATAGCCTGCAATCACTGGGCCGTTAGTAGCTGGAGGAGGAGCTTGCATATGTCGAAATTAATGAAAGAAAGGAAAATAAAAGATAATTCATCCAAGCAAATATTCTAAAAATATAAGCCCTATTTTGAATTTCCGTGAGGTCTCATTTTGTGTTTCCCAACAGACCCAACATCATTACAGGTAGACATCAAGAATCAGAAACATGATCAAGCACGCATACTGACAAAGAGGTCTTTTAAATAGTTCGTCTTGTGAACAACGTATAGCAGTGCCATTCAGCATGTGCTTGCCTTTAAACAACCTCCCCTTTATTTGTGATTTACAGGTAATAGATGATGATACATGAAATAGTAAAGTACAAACCAAAATAGTGGTGCACAACACTCGGCGTGCTGGCAGAGATATAGGCATGTTCATCTTTACTAGTAACGTTGACAGAGTTGTGCTGATGCTGGTGCTTTCTACGAAGACCATGATGATTGGAAGACTGCAGCTCGTTCATGACCATTTCCGTCATGCCTTGTTGTTGATAGATCAGTAAAGGCGGAGCTCTATTAGGATGATGGACAGTGGAATAGCCTAGCTCCTCAAACACGCTCAATAACAATGGTCCAATGGGCCCATCACCACCACCTTGTTTGATCGCTTCTGCCAATGTTAACCCACGGTCTTGCATGAATCGCATCAAAAAGTCGGGCGATTTGGTGTACGTTGCATAATCAACATGTGATACCGAGGATCCAGGCTGAAATGGTTGCAGACCTGTTTCTAATACAATGGGACCCAAGTCAGAGAAGACGTCTAGCCCGAGTGAACCTGCTTTTGTAGCGAGATAGCCCATCTCCTTTGCTGCCGCAAATCCAGGTGATGTGGTCAGATCAGAAATAGATGTAGCGTGTATTCTGTTGAGCTGGCTAGTGTAATTTGACACTGAAATGGAAGAGCGTATAGTCATACTGTTGCTGTCGTAATCCAGCACTACCATTAGTCGGTCCATGGCACTCTCTAAGAATTGTGTCGAGTGCAATCCGTTAGTAGATGTAGGGCTTATCATTCGTATGAGCTGATTTGCCATGAACGGTGATGGATCTGGTGTCAACGCTTTGCTAGAAATGTACTCATTCCAGCCCGAGTAGAAGCCTAAGCCATGCATAAACTCGTGCTAGCAATACAGATATGAATTTGGTGTATATAGTGTGTCATAACAAGGTGTATTTACCAGTATCACGAACGAAAAGTCTGCTTGATTCGAGTCAATGGGTAGTCCGTCCTCCTATAAAATACGGTCAGTCTATCATCCATGTTGCTTCATAACGTATATAACCTCAAACCAAAATGGAGCATCCGCATTGAATACGCTGAGAATATCATACTCTGCAAATTTTGGGTGGTCTTGTAGCATATACTGTTTGACAAGAGCCTGTGGGTGCAGACGCAATAATCCATCGTCATTCAGTAATGGCATTGCGCGTGCTGGTGATGATCCTCCCAATGTCATCATATTTTTACCGCATTCATTGCCCATTTGGCAGAACGATATCAGGGTCGCATTGACTTTAATGGGCTCTCGAAACAGAATCACGCTGGAAATCACGTCTGCTGCTTTTTTGAATGCTCTTTCTGCCTTTTCGCACACATTTCTCGGTGCATGATAGCACTTGAATGAAATGTCGATAGGTGCGAATGCAGTAGGCTGATCTGCTGTACCAGATGACGAAAACCGGAGATATGAAGGATGTAGATCCATCATGTCTGCATTACTGCCACATGGTGTCCATTCATGCGGCTTAATTTTCTTGTTACTGAACGCTTCAAAATTACTATCCAAACACATGTATTCTATGTCTTTTCCATTTTGAACAGGTTGTGCTGATACAAAACTTCCGAGAACGACTAGGCCTAAATAAATTGGCAGGAACATGGTATAATAATCAAGAAGAAAGAAGAGTTTGGCAATGCCAATGATTTATTCTTCCGTTTTCATTCAATTCATAGAATGGCAGCATGACACGATTAAGAGTTTGAGTTTTGGCTCGGGTGATTTCTACTTTAGATTTCTGCAAATACTCTCATTGCTGTGCAATGGAAGCTTATTACACTACGGGTTGTATACATTGGCATGTTCATTTATTATCATTCAGCATACATAGACAGCAACATAAACTAAACTGTTGTCTGAATAAATTATGATCCATCATAAAAGAAACGACGAGTCATTTTAGCACCTTGATCTTGCTGCGTGGTTTTGAACTTGTTACTGATGGAACCTGCTGGATCGCTCTTGGAGCTACTTTCGCTACTATCAAGCAACACTGCTGCTGTTGCTGTATTCATGATACTGTTGGGCGTACCTCCTGTACTCACAGCTCTTTTCATTCTGTTGGAAACAGCATTATCATCATCATTCAATGCTGCTGCCATCTTGAGTCTCTGAAGATAGTCACCTCGATTACTGCCATAGTAAAAACTGCTATCATGGCCACTGCTGGGTGCGTTTTCATCGTATCCGCTCAGTTCACTCATCTTGAACACAAGAGAATCATCGTCATCCAAAGCGCCGCCACTGCTACTGGTACAGTGTTGGCGAACAGGCATTTTAGGCGGTGGAGGTGGTGGTGGCGCTTGTCTGTTCTTGAGGGGTGAGAATGTCACTACCTCTGCTGCAGAATGTCTGTTGAAGGAGGTATCATTATGACGAACAGCTCTGGTATGGGCTGTTGCGTTAGCAATAGGATGAATCGCAGATTCTGTCGCATGAAGTGGTGATGGTATAGCTGGAAGATTCAATCCTTTGGTAAGCGAAGATGATGATGAAGATTCGTACGAATAATTCGCTTGATGTTGCTGCTGTTGTTGGGTTTGCTGCTTTAGTTGCGGCTGGCTCAATATCATTGAATCAGACAGAATAGTATGTGTTTCCTGAATGTTCTTGAAATGAGATAAGGGTTTCTGGAGCACAGTTTAGAGTCAATGGAAACAATGCTAGTTGTATACTTACCATTGCTCCACCCTTTTCTGCTTGCTCATGTGCTGCTGATATGCTGGTATCGTTCGCCGCACTGGCAGCAGCAGTGAAGCTTGGCTGAGATGTTTGCTGTTGAAACAATTTGAGCTCCTGTTTAGCAGCAATAAACCTCATAAACTCTTCCAAATCCTCCTCGTCTTCCTCAGATTCCTGCATGCAACAAAATCAGTCGAGATATCGGCTTAATATTTGTAGAAACTGACCAGATTGATGGAGCTATGATCACTTGTTCTTGACCATCTCCTTGTCATACTGATCTCAGTCATTGTATCACCTGCTGCGACATTATTGGAAGATCCCACCCGATGCATATGGTGATGGATGCTGCTACTCGCACTAGCATTGCTGCTTCCACTGTGCGTATTACCCTTTGAGAAGAACTTTTCAAAACTAGAAGAGAATTCAGGCTTTCGTCCAAATGATCCACTTTCAGGTCTGATGGGTCTTTCAGGCGTGTCTGAGCGAGAATGGTTAGAAGATGTAACTACTTGAGAATTAGCAAAAAAGCAAATGAAATGATAAATTTCTCGTTAATAGTTACACATGAGCTCCTTTTGGGGTGATGATGATAACGAAGGCGACTTAAATGGTGATACCAATGGCGCAGATATGCGTCTCTCCAGTTGAGATGTATGGGTGTTGGTGCCGGATGCTGTGGTAGACGATATCGAAGTCATTGGATAGTGGTTGCTACGGCTCGATATACTAGCTGATGCTGCCGCTGATGTGCTTCGCTGAGATTGCAGTCTACTTTTGGCAGAGGTAACACTAGAAGCTGTAGGGAATACAGGCACTGGTGGCGGAGGTGGTGAGGGCATTGTCTTCTCTCTGCTCTTTTCCATTCTGTACTTGGTCATGGTTGGCGTAAAGAAGTTCTCCTCCACATCTATACCATGCAATGGTGAATCCTCTTTTGTATCAAATTTGCAATGCTCTCGGAATAACAGCTTCAGTTTGAATGTACTATTCTAAGTCAAGATCAATCAATGGATGCGAATTTAGATTTTCAGTGGCCCACACTTTACCCCAAAGGTGTTGAAATATCGCTGAATTCATACAGCTGAATCGTATCGACGCTTGTGAGAGCATGATCTGTGTGTAGTTTGCGATCAGTATCACTTGCCAAGATCCCACATTCGAATCCCCCCCTTATATACCAAGTGATATTTCGTCCTTTCTGTTGAAGTGATTTGTCGATAATCTGTATCCTAATGAAATCTCTCCATTATGCAGTTTCAACCGCTGATACAAGCTATAGCTGGGCAATACTCTCACCAATGAATGCAGTGATCTAAAGAATACGATGGATCTCTTGTACAAATTTGGCAAGTCAACGGGATAATCAGGCAGAGGATGACTATGGACATGATGCAAGTGTTAGTGCTACCCACGCACGCCAATGATTTACGCTTACTTTAGCGATAGAGTCCATGATTCAACCAGAATACGCTGTACATCGTTTTGCTGTATTCCCAAATCCAACTTGCGCCAACCATAAACATCATCACCTTCCTGCAGCAAATCAGGCTCTGTGGTTTCCAAGTAGATATCAATGACAAGTGGCGGCGGCTCCTCTTCTTCTTGCTGGTATTTGACCAATGATTTCCAGAATTTGAGCTCTTCCTTGAGTTTTTCGTTATCGCTTGTCGTTATATTGAACTATAAGATGTGCTTTTAAAGCTTAGTAAATGCTACGGCAACAAATCAATGTTCATGCAATTAGTATGTGTACCCATTTGTTTAGCTTCTTTTTCCCTGATGTGTTTTTCATATTTGGTATCCTTGATTGTATAATAATTTGGGCTGTTTTGGTATAAAAGTTCTGCTTCATGCGTAAGACACTATATAGCTATATTCACGCAGTCTACTCGACCTACCTGAATGATGGACTCTAATTTGGCATTTCTGTTGCTGCTGCTGCTAGTTGAAATAGAAGACGATGAAGAAAGCGGAATGACGGGGGGCTGTCCTTTTCTATAGCTGTTGTTCCTGCTGCTGCTGCTGCTGCTGCTACCTGTAGGCACGGCAGTACGATTCGCAACTGCGGATAGTAGTATAGATGTAGAAGGCGACAACGAAGCAGCTGAGGAAGCCAACGAGCTCTTTGACAAACTACTTGTTGATGTCATGATAGGATCGGGAGGTTTGTTCTGCTTGGGTGAGTTGGACAATGGTTTGGTCATTTTAAGTAAAATGTGAGAGAAACAGATAACAAAAGATAGGAACAAAAATCTAGGTACATAAAGCATATTAGCAGATTCTATTTGCAGCAATTTTCATGCTAATTCGTTTTGTGTGTGTGAATAAAACCCAGTAGTAGTGGTTCAAGCAACAGCAGCAGCAAGCAGCCAAACAACCAGAATCTCAGCTGGCTATTCACATGGTCAATATGCAAGAGGATGTGTTACTACATCCGGTCGAGGTAGGCCAGATCCGTTGCAATGGCCTCCCAAAGATATCTGGTATAGGCTCAATCATAACATAATAAATGTTCAGTCCCTAGACACTTTTACAACCCCAATATGGAAACTGAAGTTCAAGGCATCTGTTAGGCCTGGCTCATATGTGATTAATGCTTTTATAATCAATCAACAAAATTCACTGTTATTTCTACCTTCTTTCCTCTGCTCAATGCTGTCAAAGTTTTCTTTGAACGACGGCCCGGAGCCTAAGAGATTTCACTACTTACTGCATATATTTTATGCAGCTCATGAATCGTCAATGTCCAGACTAACGTTATTAAATATAGAATGCAAGAAAATAGCATAATAAACGATAGTGCTATAACCTGCCACCTAATTTCCATACGCTTCAAAGGCATTGAGTTTGCCTGCCAGCTTCGCCAGCCATAATTATTTCAGACCCAGAATCACAGTCTGTTTCAGATTGGCCAAATCTTGATGATTTTCGACTCGATTAAATTATTTTGTGAGATCCGACTATACAAGTTGTGATGATCAGCCTTTGCTTCCTAATACAATCTTGAAGTACTTTTCAAGGCGCATCCAATGGTACCAAGCAAGGTAGATGTTTTGAATAAACTTATCAAGCAATTTATGAAAATATGAAAAGAGGTTTCTGGCCAAAAAGTCGAAATTTTCCATACCAAAGTCCCACAAACATGATTTCAGGAGTTACGTTGAATCGATAGAAACATTTTGATCTTATATATACCATAGTAAAAGTCTTCGTTATCAAGGTCAAAAACGCGATTGTTTGATTTTCAATGAAAACCATGAGGAGTACCTCATGCTTTTTGGCCGATTTTTGTCCATGTTTTTTTGGTCCCCAAAAAGTTGAGCAAAGGTGTCAGAAAGTAACTGCCAGATGAGAGCAACTGTTTGGTGCTATTCTGACCATCTAAACGGCTTCAAACGCGAGAAAACGCAGCTCAAATGCACTCAGATTTTGCTGTATCAGAGACTAACGACTAAAAAGGGGAAATGTCAGTATGCTACTTGCCTGTATATGTAGTAGCTACGTGTATATGGATGTAGAGCATCGCATAAGAATCAGATCCACAGATAATATAGAGGATTTTTATGTGTAGATGGAGGGTCAAAATGAAAGTAGCAGTATTTTGATAAGATACGCAAGAGCAATCAGCAGCACGGGCTGCCGCTGTGCAGGTTGGTTCTCACCGAAGCGAAGCGAAGGTAGAGAATCATCCGAAGCATAAACACTCATATGATTAGTGATTTTATATCAATCAACGATCATGGTTCTTCTAACATTTTAGCTATATTAATTTTGCGATATTAGCCAAAGGTCCGCGGCAGTGCGAGCCGTTTGAACGTAGGTTGGTTTCCACCGAAGCGAAGCGTAGATCAGGAAACCACCCAAAGTGTCGAAAGACTCGTATAAAATAAAGAATGTTTCTTGAATTTAAAACTTTATTCAGTTGTGTTGATGAATAAAGGCTGTGTATATGGGTGAGAGGAAAATGAACAAATTCTTTGAAATGAGGATACAAAAAAAAGGGGAGGGAAAAATATATATGATTATTTTGTTTGTGTTATGAAGGGAAGTGATAATTTTGAATATGAAATAAATTACTCGACGGTGACAGACTTGGCGAGATTTCTAGGGAAATCGACATCAACACCCTTCAAAATGGCAAGATGATAAGAGAGCAATTGAAGAGGGATAATGTTGATCAAGCCTTGCAAACAGTCGCTGGTCTTGGGGACTTCGATTGTCTTGTGAGAGTTGACCAAGTTCTGATCGCCAGTGTTACAGATGATGATGGGAGTACCCTTACGAGCAGCAACTTGTTGGAGAGCAGATTGTACCTTGGGGTAGAGGCTGTCTTGAGTCATGAGCAAGATGACAGGCATGTGTTCGTCAATCAAAGCCAAAGGACCGTGCTTGAGTTCACCAGCCAAGATACCCTCACTGTGAATATAAGAGATTTCCTTGATCTTCAAAGCACCCTCAAGACAGGTAGCATTTTGATAACCACGACCCAAAATCAACAAACTCTTTTCATGAGCCAATTGGTCCACAGCGAGCTGTTGGAGCTTACCATCAATAGCCAATACTTCCTTAATGTGACCAGGCAAGCGGTAGAGACCGTCAATGATTTCTTCGCGTCTTTGCTTTGTGGAGGTAGTGTCTTCAGCGAGTTGGAGAGCCATCATGACCAAAGCAATGTATTGAGAGGTATAGGCCTTGGTAGAAGCAACACCAATTTCAGGACCAGCGTTGATGTGGACACCACAGTGAGTTTCACGAGAGATGGAGGAACCGACCGTGTTGGTGACACCGACACAGAGAGCACCACGTTCCAAACAGTAACGCATAGCCAAGATGGTATCAGCGGTTTCACCAGATTGAGAGACAAAGACACAGACATCATCACGGAAGATGGGAGAAGCTCTGTCCAAGAAATCAGAAGCGAGTTCCGCTTGAGTACCGATTTGGTTCAATTCCTCAAAGATGGAGCGAGTGGCCAGACAAGAGTGATAAGAGGTACCGCAAGCAATGAAGATGATACGACGAGCACGACGAATGATGTGAGTGAAGCCACGGAGACCACCCAAGGTAACTTCGTGATTCTCAAAGTTGACACGACCACGCATGGTGTTGACGACAGACTCGGGCTGTTCGTAGATCTCCTTTTGCATAAAGTGGTCGAATGAGCCCTTCATGATTTCAGCCAATTCAATTTCCAAGGTCTGGATGGAACGAGTGGCGGGAGTGTTGTCTTCCTTGGAGCGACGGACACGATGGATGTGGAGCTCTAGAATAATGAAAGTGTGTGAGTTTACTGGCATCTCTAACAGGAGGCGTATTAAGGGGTGAGAGAAAGGGGTATGTACTTACCACCGTCAGCGATATGAGCAATATCATCATCTTCCAAATACAAGACACGCTTGGTGTGCTCAACGATAGCAGAGGCATCAGAAGCCAAGAAATATTCAATGGGTTGAGGCATACCATCTTCACTTAAGAAGGCTCTGGATTGAGAGCGGTTCAAGGCAGGACGAGACATGTCTTGACCTTCAACAGGAGCGACTAAAATTGAGAATAATTTAATTTAGTTTAATTTAGTATTTACCAAACAAACACACACACACACACACACACAAACTTACAGCTGCTATCGGTACCGGCGGCATTGTTACCACCAAACTCGACATCGACAAAGTCAACCTTGAGCTTCTTGGCAGTCTTGACACCAATCAAGAGAGGAGAACCACGGCGGGTGGCAACAATCTCGTTGGGGAAGTGAGTAGACTTGAAAATGAAGGCGTACGAGCCCTCCAACTCCTTGACGACAGCCTTGACCAACTCGGTGAAGCTCATGTCCTTGTTGTGAGAGTCGTAGACGTACTTTGTCAACTTGGCAACACACTCAGTATCGGTATCACTCTCAAAGACGTAACCCTTCTTTTCGAGCAAAAGCTTGATTTCCTTGTAGTTGGTGATGATACCATTGTGGACAAGAGCAAATTCGTTCTTTTCATCAGAGCGTTGAGGATGAGAGTTGATTTGAGAGGGTTGACCGTGAGTAGCCCAACGGGTGTGTGCCATACCGCATTGACTGATGCAAGGCTTGCTAAAGTCAAGTTGCTGCTCGTCAACGAGCTTTCTCAAAGCAGCGACCTTACCGACTTGCTTCATGATGAGGATATCTTCGTTATCACCATCAACAGCGAAACCTAATGTGCATATTTTTCCTTAGTACTCAATACTAGATGTATCACACGCAAGAAATGGGACTTACCAGCAGAGTCGTAGCCTCTGTATTCCAAACGAGAAAGACCGTTCAAGAGAGTATCACAGACTTCACGACGAGACTTTTCGCAGAGAAAGTTACAATAACTACAAGACGATGGGTCAATTCAGCTCTCTCTACATGCCAGCACGACGCATTCAACTTACCCAAAGATACCACACATGTTTTATACGAGTTTGGAGAATAAAGAAGAGGAGAAGAAGAAGAAAAGAGAAATCAGAAAAAAAGATGTGATTTACAAGTTGGCCTATTTATATGAAATCCAACCCAACAAACACACACAGATCCCGCGGATATTGTGTAGCCATAGGTCGCTACTGGCTGTCCCGCGGCCACGCCCTTGAACTTGTTTTTGCTGGCGCTCACTCTCCTCGTTTAGTTATTTTGGAGCTTGATTCCGATGACTGGTACCCAAAAATAACAAGCCAATCGATAGAGCAGGTTACTCGACATCTATTTTTGAACATTGATTGTAATTAAAACATCATGGTATATTATAAAGAAAGACATCTAGGCTTTCGAGATGTCGAGAAACCGTGCAAAAAGGGGTGGGAGCGTGGAAGGAGTCTAGCATGCCATGGAAGACATGAAAAAAAATACCATGTTTGTTGATGTTTGGGATGTTGTTTTTGTTGAGATTTGCATATCGCATGGGACCTGTATATATTGTATCTAATGAAGCGAGAGATGAATATTTCCCCATGGCATAGTACTGGTACTTTTGTAAATATGCAAGACAGGAGTGAGAAGCGCTTCACCATGGAACAGCAAACTAAATTAGTATGATACTCTTGCTGCTAAAAATAGTCGGGCATGGCACTGCCATTACTGATCTATTCTCCTTCATGATTTCATATATTGTATAACCATTCAACCGGCATTTAAACTGGTGTCCTGAATGGATGTCTTACATGTGCGCTTGCTATCTTATGCACGCTCTTGATGTAACTCGATGGAACATCAAGTTGTATGCAGCTTTATACAGTCTGAATTCTAGTGTAGCACATCTCATTTGCAACGTATAATAAGATAAGATTCGATATCAAATAGAATTCGTTTTCTGATCCATGTTACATTTTGAGCTGACATTGTGCCACTTGAAGTTAATTGATCTTATTTCATGTTTGTTGTGTATAAGCAGTTGTTGTTTGTTTGTTTTGTTTTGCGTGCAAACTGTATAATCAACATCTCGAGTACCATAGCTTGACATGTTTCAGTCGGCACATGCTTCATCTAGTATACGCTCCAAATGCTACGATTTCAGTTACGAGACTGTGCCAGGCATATTATTGACTCGATTTTAAGGTTAATTAAACGATTTATCAATATTTATTGACCCGTTCATAAAGGCATGCGTGTACATGTAATAAACAGATCCAAAATGACAGCATATGGGGGACATTTGCTGAGCTCTCTTGTTGCTGAATCAACAATGAGTTTTTTCCGCTTCGTAAATAATAAAGTTCAGCACAACACATGCTATAGATATACATTGCTGCATGGCTTGTTATTCATTGCCCTGATTTATGCTTGCAAACGTGAGATGTGCCAATGAAGCACTTTAAATAGTCTAGCATTTTCTATTGATTTACGACATGTCCGTATGAAATACCCCGTTTGAACTAATTTGTTTTCCAGCAGTGGTACAGACGAAGGTCAGGATGGAATTTCAATATACCCTCGAGTTCCGTGGAAAAGGAAAATACATGATACAATTTAGAATTTTAAACCGAGAGATAAACTCTCCAAACTTTCGTTATCGTCGTCGTCGTTGTTGTTGTCGAGACTGAAACACCAAATGTTTATTTTTGGATGGCAATGTCATGGAGCAGTGGCTGAAACTATTATTGCTTGCAATCTCACGATACATCGCCACTCAGCATTTTGACCATTGATTTGTAGTATCGTGTAGACAAATGGCTACAAATTGCTGTAAAACTTATCAAATAATAAGTGAGCACGACCAACGCCCCTAAAATTGGAAGAGGGGAGAACGCAGGAGTCAAATGTATGTGCTACTTACAGCATGCTCATTTTTAAGTTTCAATTTACTATAATTCTGATACTTCTTTATTCCCTATAGAGGCAAAACAGCGTTGCATTTTGTATTCAATGCACTCAAACCACAAGCACTACTACAGTAAGCCTTGAGAAAAGCTCTCTTCCATGTAAAATCGCATCTGATCACAGCAGCGGCGTCATTAACCATTTCATAAAAAAAACATTTATGACATTTATTATTGTGCAAGTTTGACAGATGCATTGAGATTGGTTATATCACACTAGCAAAAATATTGGTTTAAAGAGAGAATCACGGACTCGATACCGCTGACATTACATCTAAATCATTAATCTCTACATGTTAGCAAACTGCATAAGAAAAATTACATAATGTCTACATACACCGACATTTCCAGCTCCAAAAAAAATTCCCTGACGGGGAATTGAACCCCGGCCGCGTCGGTGAGAGCGACGAATCCTAGCCACTAGACCATCAAGGATAATTGATATTTGTCAAGGTTAAAGGATATTCTAATAGTAATTTAAATCTGCAGGATATCATTGACAGGCTAAACACAAACAAGAATAAGAAGCGCAGGTTTAAACCTAGAGCGCCAGCTACCAGGAACATCAAACAGTAACTAACCTTGATAGCACACAGCATTACACAAACTATATTGGATATAACCAATATCCAAATCTTATAGTAATAAAGACTGTGGAATACATCCACTATGATCTGCATTCCGACAGTTCATCCAGTTACCAGATTTAGATATAAACTGTATGTACACTGGATTAGATGTACGATATCGATTTATACTATAAGAAGATATGGACTTCAGATACGCTAGTACTATAAGATTCATACTATATAAGATATAGGCTATAAATGGCACCACGGACATGGATGGCGCTATAGACTTATACTTGTATTCCGACATTGACTACGGATGTTTACCATATCTGGATAGGCACCAAGATTAATGCAATATGAGCTTGTTGCTTCAGATGTGCACTTTATGATCCACGCTATAAGACACATGCTTATATCCGTGATACTAGCTACAGATACTTTATGTACTACAGACTTTGATGTGTCATTTCTAAACCGGATCTCCAAATGCGTAGGAGCAATTAGTTAAAGCACAGATCACATCAGATCATAAACTTTGACATGAAACAGGATTCAGTTACGATCCGAATAATGGCATGTTCAGGATAATAGATTGGATCTGTTATCCTATCACCCAAATCAACCCATCTAATACCTTATCCTCACATCAAATCCCTCAATTCGAATAGTATATAAACCCTCTTATTTCCAATGTAATAAACGATATTCTTTACCTGATTAATTTCATACTCTTTTTATAAATAATTTATTTCTGATAAATCAGACTTGTACTATATATGAGACATGCTATAGACATGCATATGATATGCTATAGACATGCCATATATCCAGATACATGCTAAAGATGTATGCTTAGCGATATACACTCAGATATGTACTATTAATATAGACAAAGAAGACTTTACCTATCGGATACATGCTACTAGATCGATATTAATTATCCTTATAGAAAGGATAGATCAGGGTACTTCGGATGAGAGTCTAATTATTCATCCAGACAGAGCTAAATCATGATTAGCTTGCTGGAGTTGTCTTTTAGCATGATCAGACATTAGTTGATCTGAGTTGACTTATTTGTTAATCTAATTAATAGAACTTTTATCCATTGTTATAGTATATAAAAAGGATCATCTACCTGGCCAGTAGAGAGACTTAAGTTTACTTTACACCTGTCAGTTTGATAATAAAACATACCTTTATCAAGTTGACATTACTGTTTTTTTTTATTCTTTTTTTCCGTGAATTTTAGTCTATCAAGCCTCAAATTCCACAATGAGTGTCCAATATTGCGAATAGACTTTAAGTCTAGTTTTACGGCTAGATATGGTACCTTTGTTGTGGACAACCATCAAAAATACCCTGCTAACTTGATGAACATCTAATTCAATCCGAGCAAGTCATTAGTTTCAAATTTGCAGGATATTATTGACGCTCAAGTGTCAAGGTTACTGTAATCGCGCATTTCAATAAGCAAGATCTGTATTGGAGCCAGTCCCTCGCCGATATGAACATTCATCATCTTCATACTGCTTTGGATCCCGATCCTCTGATTTATCTCGGATTTCCGCTCATTCAAAGCACTCTCCAACGGAACAACTGTTGCATACAAGCATGCATCTTAGGCTACATTCACTTTCTCCTCAAGCCACCTTTTACAGTGTAGCAGCATAGATGATGTTTATCGTATCACATCACATCTATGTTTACAAGTCCAGTCAATTGTGTGTGCACAGGTGCCTCAGGAACTACAATACATTCAATCTCCCCAATGTCAAAATATCGAGATCCACCTACACTACATGAAACATACCGACTTAGGTGGCCTCTCAACAAGCTATACCAACAATCCATAAGGCCCCAGTGGCCTGCTATTTATATACCATCTCAACGTAGTAGTCATTGACCAGGGATCTACCATATTTAAGCAAGCTAGATGCCCTGTAATAAAGAAGCTCTTTGCTTTCGTTTTAGATACAGTTGACAACTGATTATTATCATCGACTTATTATTACGAATTCATCATTTTTTTTAATCAAAACCTTGATTGTATCATTACTACTACTCTTACTACTACTACCTCTCAATTTTGTATACTCTGATGTCTGCTCAAAGTACCACCACACCCCCCAGTTCCGAATCTAAGCCTGCTGGAAACACTGAGCTGCGTCCTTCAGACGCCAGTGCCACCAAGGCTGTAGATATTACTGGCCCTTCTCAGTTTTTTCTCGCTGAAACGTCTCAGAAATTGGGTGGTCAAGCTGGCGAAGCTCCCACTACTACTGCTAGTGATGCGATGGACCTCGACCCCCCTTCCTCTGCTAGTTCATCTTCTAGTGATGTGGATCTTCAAGGTCGCACTGATCAGTTGAAGCTAATTGTTGACAATCAGCTCGCCGAAGTTCAGCTTCTCTCTACGACCTTGCTCCTCGAGCAAAGTGAGGAGGCCAGAGCCCAGGCCCTAGCTCGGTTGATCCAGTTGAATACGTCCATTCAAAGTATCATACAGATTCGAGATTGTTTGCTTG